CCAACCGATTAAAAGATTAAAGTGCAGTGAGTGGCCGTACCCGAGATAGATTTGAACCAACGAATGTTTAGAATCTATAAATGGGACACTTAGTGAAATACATAGCGAAAAGCAAAAATTTATATCAATATCATCTAGTTCTTCCAAAGGGTTCATTCCTAAAATGTTTTCTTCATAGACCTGATGCACTGGAACTTCTATAGACAGATTGGGAGGATTTCCCAAATTTCGTCTCCTTGTCATAGAGGTCTTATTGGCACTTTTTTGGGGGTGTTTTCGATGACTCTTATCGTTTTTCAAGGGTTAATGGTGTTCAAATTAGCTTATGTGTATTTTAAGGATTATGGTTAGGTTAAAACAGGTCATTCATGTCTAGATTAGAGTATTTTTTAAGGATAAATTTTTTTTGACCTGACCCAAAAATTCAAATTCAAGATATTTAGATTTACAACTTGTACTTGTTACCACTTAAACTACGACGTGGGGTTGTGGATTAGGATTTTTTTGCATCGGTCTATAGCTTAATTCAGATGAAATGAAACCTTTGTTCCTTGACCAATTAATTTGGATTAGAATGAGCTTTGGTTGACTTGAATGTTGGTTACCATCTGAATTCTATACCCATAATTGAAGAAAGTTAGGCAGATGCATTCACTAAGATGCCGGATTCCAAAAACCATTGAGTTTTCCTTCTTAGGGTTCACGATTCATCCGTTCGTCTATGTTTACATTAGTCTGCCTCCTAATTTGTTTCTTGAATTTTCAAACTTATTATAAAACTTCCTCGCAGGGACGCCCAACCCAACTAGGGGCCTAAGAAAAATGTAATGTGGGCCTTAGTAATATTTATTCAATAATAATATTAGTATTAAATAGTTATCAAAATATTAAAAATTATTTATTTTGTCTTTTTTTTTTTGAGATACAACGTACTAATTAAAATTTAAATTTTACAGATAAAAATTGTGTTAACCGTAGTTAAATTTAGAGATTAAATGCAAATGATACATACTATTTATTGAAGATAAAAAAAAACATAATTGAAAATTAGTTTAACTAGTAAGACAATTATGATTGATTAGTTTCAAATAGTGTATTACTTCTACTTATTCTATTTTATAGTTATTTTATTCATTATAAACAATTTGATCAAAAAATAACCTTAAATTTAAGTTATAAAAATATAAAATAATTATTCATATCTATTATACGATAGATAATTGATTTTAATAATAAGACTGCAAAGTAATAATACATATAATATAAACATTAGATGAGATAAAAAAATTAGGTTGAACTTTAGGGCCCTAATTTTTTTTAAAGAGGTTCTAAAAATTTTACGATAATACTACTTGTATTTGATTTGAGATCTAAATATATTGGATAAATAATGTATTTTATTTAAAGTTATCACTCCCTATTAATTCAATTGTTAAAATGTATTGAGTATTTAAATTATATCACAATATCTAGATTGCATACCATTGTATAAAATTTTATCTTGGCACCTCAAATTTTTCTTCCAATTTGGGGGCCCTAAGCAATAGCTTTAGTGGCCTATAGATTGGGTCGGCTCTCCTTCCACGAGAGAGAGAGAGAGAGAGAGAGAGAGAGAGAGCATATGAAAAAAAAAGTATTATTATTATTATTGTGGAATCGGAACGAGCAATACTACATGGATCTTTTTTGCTAACTCTTATTTGTTGACCTTATCATTCTCTTTTATTAGATTGACAATAGATCTTGTTATTAGTTAAGACCCGCTATCAATTCAATAGTTATGATGCATCATGTTAACAAGAGCAATGTTATTAAGACTTAATTTGCTGACGTAATTCATCATGATTTTTGGATTGACTGTGAGTCCTATTAAATTTTGAAACTTAGTGTCAATTCAACAGTTATAATACAATCACATCATTAGGTTAATAAATTAGATCAAATTTTATGTCTAAATAATATTATTATATCAACAAATAAGATCAGTGCATTAGGTACAAACAACATTTCTTGGAACGAGAATCATTGTTCCTACAAAATACTTGGTCAAATTTGCTTTAAAGGACCTTACTGAAATTCCAGCAAGAACATTTCTATTGTAGATCAAAACTTAGAATCAAATTTTCATAGAATTGATTGGTTAAATACATAGCAAACATCTTAATTTGGAAAATAATACTTTGACTCCTTTAATTATGAATTCAATTTTATTTTACCCTTTGAATTATTGTACTTTTCATATTGTCTCCTTAATTATTGAGTTGATTACACATTGCCCCAAACACTTTTTTGTTTTCTCTCTTTTCAATGAAAATTATGGAGCAAATGAAACAAAACAAATAATTTGGAGTGAAAAATGAAATAATTTTTTCTTGAATTTGTAGTAACTGGGGCATTCCAAAACTAATAACATAATTGAAAATGTAATGCGAAAAACATCATAGTTTAAGAGTAATAATTGAGAAGGTCAAAGTGTAATTTGTCCTTGTATTTTTAATAATTGTTTCTCTGGATGTCTTTTTTTTTTTTTTTGGGTACCGATTACGTTTTAGAGCTCACAAGTTAACTACCATAACTTGAGCTAATCTAGAAAATATCTCCAAAAGAGGAAGGGTGACCAAGTAGACAATCTCAACCACTAAACCATCGTAGAGTTACCGACTTTTTTCTTAAGTTAAAGCAAAAAAGTTTTTCTGTTAACTTTAGGAGAAAAAATCTCTTCATAGCCACCCTAACCATGGGAAAATATTCAGTACAACAACAGTGATATTACGTGGTAAGGTAATGTGATGTTACCAATTAATAATGATGATACACAAATTAGTTTGCACACCACTAATCAAGTTGTAGTATAAAATGTAGTAAGTTGAAGGAGAGAGAAAACCGAATTTATAGTAGTTCGGTCAATACGACCTACGTCCACTTTGAATGACTAAGTTTGCCGGAATCTTATTATCTCCAGTGTGGAGGGAGAGCACATGATTACAAGCTTTGAGATGGGAGGAGAGAATTATACTCAAATGAGTCTGATGCCCCCCAAGTGTTTGGGGAGCTTACAATTTATAGTAACTTGGTATAGTAATTGTATCACTAGTCTGACGATTATAATGATTTAGGACCGTTTGATAATAATTAGGTAGTTGATCTGGCGGAGGCGACCTATCATCTTCTTAACGGGCGAGATGTGATGGTTGGTATGCTCTCCAAATGACTTTGTTTAAGGATGAGGGAGGTTGATTCTCTTCAGGCTGCGAGGGTGAGACTCCTGGATGCTCCTTTGGTGGCATAGAGGAGACTCTTAGATGACCCTTACTCTAAGGTGGTAGAGGAGACCCCTGAATGACCCTTACTCCAAGGTGGTAGAGGAAGCTCTTAGATAACTCTTATTCCAAGGTGGTAAATGAGACTCTTGGATGACAATGCATGCTCCTCTGCAACTCTTTGATCTTGACAAAGTTACTCGAGTATAAACTCCTTTGAACTTGACTAATTGGATCTCTTGACATTGGGCCTTTAACATGAGTTGGGTCTGACCCATCAAATAATACTAAAACATATAAATAAAAGAATCCTATAAAAATCAATAACTAATAATCTGTTATTTAAATAAATAATTTTTTATCTTTCTGTCATATAATTTTAAATAAAATTTATTTTTTTATTTAATTTTATTATTAATTAGTAATACATTAACATCGTGTCACCACCGTACGTTGCATTCAATATTTAGTTATTTACTCACCAACCACCCCCGTGGGGGAGTGTGTGAGAGACAGACGTATATACAATCAACGTTTAACGTAGCATGGATGTTGCCTTCAAGTGGTACTAATAGCCGTAATTAAGATCAAATGTCAAGTCTTTTAACTTGTCTCTGACTAGTATCCTGCCAAGTCTTCTCCGAACCTCTCCAGAAAATGAGAAATAGAGAGAAAGACTCAGTCAGTCCACTGCCACACCACAATAATCTCCACGAACTTTCTCAATCCAAACCCACCAGCTGCCTTTACTTGACGAATAACTTTATAATTCTTTCAATTCATCAACCATTCAAGTTAAAGCAAAAACACTCAACTGGGTCGAGTGAAATACCTATTGTTTGGTAAGTTTCTCTCCTTTTCGTATCTGTAAGTTTCTTTTTAATTCTCTGGTTGTTTACCCAGAAAAAAGCTAGAAAAGCACAAGGAAACGAATAGGTTATATCATTCCCAAAAAACGTATATTATTTACTTAAAACTAAACAAACACAACTTCTTGAATTTGTTTGGGCCATCATGGCTCTGAGTTTCATGTTTTCCAGAAACCAAAGGACATTGGTTTCAATATTTTTTTACTTTACCTTTCCTCTGTTTTCCCCTCTAGTATGGGTTTTCCCAGGGGGATCCCACAAAAAGTTGGATTTGAGTATGAGTTACTGAATTTTGGGGCTTCTTGTTTCCATCTTAATGATGTCTGTAGCTTCAGTAGCATGATTTTTCAATCTATCAAGAAATGCTCTCTCTCTCTCTTTCTCTCTCCATTTAAGTAATTTGGATATTATATTCAAGAAAGCCTAAGTATGTCGTTTTAGTAGTCAGTTACCACTGCATGATTGAATGACTTCCTGTTTGTAACTTATTTATATATATAATCGTTCACCAGTCTCTCAAAATTTTTTAGAGGAGGGAGGCTTATATTATCTTTAGTCAACATTTCAGAAGAGCTGTCTTGTAAGATCTTGCTTGACTGATGTATAAAGTTTCCAACTTTTGAAACCTTTGCTGTTTGTTTTTTGGGATTTTAATCTATATATATATATATATATATTGCATTATATTAATAGTTGTAATTTTTGTAATGCAACCATGCAAGTAGGAATTTCTGATTTGGTGTTTGTGTTTTACAGGGGGGGAATAATGAGTTTAACACTTTTGATATAAACATAAAAGCATCATCTAAATTAATCCCGAGTTCGATCATCATCAGTATTTGTTACTTTTGCAACAAAGCAAGCTCAAGTTATGGGTTTGAAGCGAGATAAATATGTGAGGTTGGTCCATTTGATACCCATTTTATTAAATTGTTGATCAACTGTTTTAATTGAATTAAATCTGTACTTTGCATTGGGAAAGAAATGTAAACCATTGGAGAGGTCTTAACTAGTATCTCTTGGAATAAAAGGAAAAAAACAGGGTCCCGCCAGGGGGGGGGGGGTGTTGAGAATGCTGTGCCAGGCAACTATTGTAGGAACCATGGAGTACCACTCCGAAGTCAATCTGCATCTAATTCCTGTTCTATTATTTTGCACAGAACCGTGCAGTGTTTACATGTTTTTTGAGATTTGCAATCTAGAATTGTGGTATGTAGATGCTAATGATAATCTTAAAGTTTCAGTTCATCATTATGGTTCATGTTTGCTCGAAAAAATTTCACTGGCATTACCCTAATTGGGTGATTGATTGGACTGTTAATTACATCATCCATTGCAGATTCTTTAATCTTTGTTTTGGTTCCCATTTTGCACAATAATGCGAGTGATGCATGCATTTTTGTATTAGATCGAGATCTAAAAGTTCTCTCTTGACCTAACTACAAGGATGAGGCTTTATAATATGCAAAGATAAAATGTAGAACCTATAAAGGAAAAGATAATCGAAATCATTCTCCAACTTAACCAGATTTAGAATAACATTTTGTAGGCTACTTCTAAATTTCCATTTTGCCTGCTGCCATTCTTATCTATGTTCCAATACTGGATAGATGCATTCAAGTACTAAAAGCCTTGCCCCTCATGTTAATTTTATAGTACCTAACTGACTATATCATTCAGGTTTGAAGACTGGAGTTCAGAGAGGTCTTCTACTCCTGAGCAACGAGTTTTCTCTGAAGAAAAACTTACTGTAAGCTCAGTGATGGGGAGTATTAGAAGAGGATTTGAGATGGCTTTTACGTGGGCTAAAAGCTTGAAAAAATCATTAAACTTCCATCCAACAAGTAAGCAGCCAACAAAACTTTCGGGTTCTAGGAGGAAAGTTCTTGATCCACAGGGTCCATTTCTTCAACAATGGAACAAAATATTTGTACTCTCTTGTATCATTGGAGTGTCCTTTGATCCATTGTTCCTTTACATCCCTGTAATTGATGCCAAAGAGAAGTGCCTTGATTTGGATTACAGTATAGAGATAACTGCTTGTGTTCTCCGTTTCTTCACTGACATCTTCTATATACTTCACATTATCTTTCAATTCCGTACTGGTTTTATTGCCCCTCCTTCTCGAATATTTGGAAGGGGTGAGTTAATCAAAGATTCCTATGCTATAGCCAAACGGTACTTGTCATCCTACTTCATCATTGATATCTTATCAGTGCTTCCTCTCCCACAGGTATGTGCTCTTTCTATTGTCAATCTGTGGTTTCAGAGGCATGCCGTCTCTATGCATTAATTAGAATATGTCTTAAAATCTACTTCTTTCAAATGCATATGACCGATTGGAAGAAACTTATACTTCAACTTGACAAAGCATTTTACTAACAATACCAAAACTTAATTTCATTCAACAAATTTATCAGTCACATCTTAGTTGATTAAGAAGCACTAGTAAACAAAAATGAGGTGTTTGAATTTCAGTATGTTATGGTTAATTTATTCAGGTGGCAGTTTTAGTCATCATCCCCAGCTTAGATGGCCCAATTCCACTGGCAACTAAAGACCTGTTGAAGTTTGTTATTTTTGTACAATATGTCCCAAGACTTATTCGGATCTATCCTCTATACAAAGAAGTGACAAGAACGTCTGGCATATTCACGGAAACAGCATGGGCTGGAGCTGCTTTCAATCTCTTTCTCTACATGCTAGCCAGTCATGTAAGTTTCATGCAACATATTTTTTATTCTTAGCAATATTCCGAGGATTCTTGCCCTCATTTTATTTCTTGATTTTTTTCTTAGCTTTATGTTGGTTTGGTTTGTTGTCTTATATGTACATCTTGCATTTTGGCTTTTGTTTGGAACATTTAAGTATAGCATAGACGAGTTCTAGATGCCTACATCTACCTAGGAAAGGGGAAAATATGTGAAGGGAAACTTTGTTTTCTACTTATCATTTCTCATGGCTTACCTCAGTCTGTAATGCTATAGAAGCAGATGTCTGTGTAGTAACCGTCTAAACTTTAGTGGTCTAATGTTTGAGTGTAGCAGATGAAGGTACTTCTCCATGACTATCATCAGATAGAACTTGACCAAGTGTGACTACATCAAAAAGGAATTGCATCTCACACTATTCTGACAAAGGCTTGAATCATATATGTTTCAGGTGGTTGGAGCCCTCTGGTACTTGTTCACAATAGAGCGGGAAGACAGGTGCTGGCATATTGCTTGTGGAAATCATAACTGTACTCCTAGATATTTATACTGTGGAGAATCCCGTGTAGGAAACTTTTCATTTCTAAATGTTTCCTGTCCTCTTCTCCAACCAAATGAAATAAGAAATGAGACGGACTTTGACTTTGGCATATTCCTTGATGCTCTTCAGTCTCGTGTGGTAGAAACAAGGGATTTTAAGCAGAAATTCTTCTACTGCTTTTGGTGGGGTCTGCGAGGTTTAAGGTTTGTGCATATATGATCTTCTGATTCTTATATATTCTACTTTTTCATTAATATCTGTTGCTAAACAATTTTTCCCTTTTACACTTAATCAGTTCTTTAGGCCAAAACCTCAAAACAAGCACCTTTGTAGGGGAGATTCTGTTTGCTGTCTTCATATCCGTCGTTGGATTGGTTCTGTTTTCATTGCTTATTGGCAACATGCAGGTAACTATTTACATTTTCATTCTACACTACTTGAAAATTCTATATTGTGTATGAACATAGAATATCTTGCATCAAATACATGGCACACATTGAATGTATGCACATCCTTTAAATTGTTCAATAAACTTTCGGTTGTGCATGTACTTGTGTGGAAGTGGACATTGCTCAAAATTTCTTCTGGTCTGGCAGTAGTGATCCATAAATGTTCATGTCTCATTGTGCTATTATGTGTCATCTTTGGCCTACCATTCTCATTCTAGCTCCAACTTGAACCTACTCCCACCACTCGCTAAAGCACCATTTTCTAAATAGGTGAGCTAAAGGGCTCAAACTTGTTTTTTGGTTCTGTTACAGAAATATCTGCAGTCCATCACCGTTAGAGTAGAAGAGATGAGACTAAAAAGACGAGATGCAGAGCAATGGATGTCTCACCGTTTGCTTCCAGAGAATCTGCGGGAAAGATTCGGCGGTATGGCCAGCACAGATGGCAAGAAACCAGAGGTGTTGAGGAAGAATCTCTGGTTCGTAACCTTCCTAAGGACCTCAGGAGGGACATAAAACGCCATCTCTGCTGGGATTTACTCAAAAGAGTAAGTGCAGTTCCAAGTCTTTCCTTTGAACTTTTCATGTTATGCATTTGTGCTTGTCTGCACACTATATATATTTTGAAACTCACTTTCGAAGTTTAAATTGGAGTCTTTAACTTCTTCATCTTGTTTACTCTAGGTGCCAATGTTTGAAAAAATGGATGAACAATTATTGGATGCAATGTGTGACCGGCTCAAGCCAGTTCTTTACACAGAGAATAGCTTCATAGCTCGTGAGGGGGATCCAGTAGATGAGATGCTCTTTGTCATGCGAGGAAATCTATTGACTATGACTACCAACGGTGGTAGAACTGGCTTCTTCAACTCCATTGATCTCAAGGCTGGTGACTTCTGTGGAGAAGCACTTCTTACATGGGCTTTGGATCCCAACTCTTCCTCTAGTCTTCCCACTTCAACCAGAACAGTGAAAGCCATTACAGATGTTGAAGCTTTTGCCCTTATGGCTGATGACATGAAGTCTGTGGCCTCCCAGTTCCGTCGTCTACACAGCAAGCAGTTCCAGCACACTTTCAGGCAAGTATCAGAATGAAGTTTCTCATATAATGCTGTGATATTCATTAAGGTTGTTAGTAGCGCTTTTGGTGGTCTGATATTCATCTCCATGAGATTTGGTTATTAACAATGTATAGTTGAGCTGTGATGCTACTACTAGCCACTGGTGAAATGGGATCATGATGTTTCTCCTGTGCTCATTAAAATTTCAGGTTCTACTCTCATCAGTGGAGGACATGGGCAGCCTGTTTTATACAAGTAGCATGGCGCCGACATTTTAGAAGGAAGCTAGACAAGTCTCTGCGCGAGGAAGAAAATAGACTGCAGGATGCATTGGCAAAAGAAGGGGGAACATCACCAAGCCTTGGTGCCACCATTTATGCGTCAAGATTTGCCGCCAATGCACTACGTGCTTTGAGGCGCAATCGTGCACGCAATGCGAAAATGCCACAGTGGTTACCTCCTTTATTGCTTCAGAAGCCAGCAGAGCCTGATTTTAGTGATGAAGGTCAGTAACAAGGTGCAGTCTTTATAGTGAGCCTTGGAATAAGATGTATTAGTAAGATGAATAGTCCGTGGACTTGTCATAATGCAGAAATTTCTAAATTTTCATCCTATTTGAATTACGAAGTTGATGCTTCAAATCAATGTTCTTTTAGGTAGTTTTGCTAATGGAACCTCTGATTCCTGCTGATAACGATGTATATGTGTATGCAAAAAAAGATAGATTTGTCAAACATGTTTTGCTATAGGTTTGTGTCAAGAAGTTAGTTTTCTTAATAACATGAGACTTTGCTTCATTCTCATCCTATTCGGATTGTTTGTTGTGGTACTCCCTCTAGAGTATTTTGTTACTGATAATTTGGGTTATTAAGTGTTCTTCCTTTCTTTCCCTATTTGAAATAGTGGATGGATCATGTTCGCTAAACCAGAAGTTGATAGCACAATGAGTTGAGCAAAACATAGTATAACACCAACACAACTGAGCTAGCTCGTATATAAGTTGTAACCATATTGTGATTCTCATATAGTGATAACAAGCCACTCATGTGGCCGTATTTTTCCGAATCACGTAAAACCTCATGCTCATTGTTCTTGAATTCCTTTTTTTTTTTTATCTTTAATTGATTGGCAACCATTTTGCACGTTCACAGAACCCCAACCCAAAAGAAAACACCCCTCCCCACAGACACACACAGAGATTGCACGTGTTTTGTAGAATATATATTATATAGTGATGTTATTTCACCAAAGAGATCAACTGATACATATATAGCACTGCTACAGAGTTTTATTTTGCAGTGTCTTTTGGTTATTGCACGAAGACAGAGAGCTTATAGTCCACAAAATACTGTGCTTTGTATCACCTCTCTAGAAATTTTTATGAGCCTTAGCATGAAGTACACGTTCCATGGGAATCCTGCATGAGAAGCCAAGGTTATTATGTACCACATGAGAGAGAGAGAGAGAGAGAGAGAGAGAGAGAGAGAGTTTTACGTGGAGCAGTCGTATTTTTGGTCGATTGGAGGCAGATTATAGTTCACACCACATTTTTGGGGAAGAAGAGTTAGGCGCTTGGGATCATATTTAACGTTAGACAAAGCATTCTTTATACAGTTACAAATTGCAACCCGATCTGCTTTGGTTTTGGCATTGTTTTTGAGGTCCTTAACGCCCGAACAACAAGCCGGAGATGGGCCGTTACCCTGTAGAAAGCCGAGGCAAGTTTGCACCTCGTTTACAACCGCCGTGCATGATGGTGCAGACATGACCGACCTCGCCACTAGTAAGAGAATGGCCAGACTCCATAGTAGACGAGACATATTTGTTCTCTGTATTGGGACTTGAACTCAAATTTGGCTGCTGATACTTGTGAACAAGTGGGAATATATATAGATATGTATACAAGGTTGTGGAGTGCTTTGATAGAGTTCTGTATAGATGGTTTTTGCCATGCATACAAGTATCATGACGTGTGAATTGATACAGATAGTTGCCTCCACGACTCATGAAATACTAGATTTTCAGAGTTCTAACTATGAATCTAAATCCACATGTTATTGTCAAATCACATAATTGGACATTTGCACAGGGGTTAGGCTTCTTGAGAGGTTTATTCACACTCAACGTAACATAAAAACTCGAGTGTCTGCTTGAATCTTCCAACCATAATATTTGCTTGAATTTAGACTCTTGATTTATGATTATGCACTTGGGCTGTAACTCGAGTTTAATACGCATTTGGGTCAGGTTGAAATTTATCATACAGTTATTCTATTATCACGATATATGTTATATTGTCGGGTTGTGCCAAATTTATCCAAATACTTAATATTATTATTTTACGCAAACACAGGATATTTTCAGGGTAAACTTGGATTGGATTTGGGGTCCACGCCAACCAAATGGCATCCCTACAATCATAAAAAAAGGAGCCACTTACTAAATCCGTGTAGGAGAATGTCTTCGTGTTGGGCAAAGTGATAGAGCTCATGCAGCTTGTGTGTATTATTCATAGAAAAGGAGGACCTCTTGCAATGAGATGCGGATGGAATTGGTCAGCTCTTATGGCCTTACCAGTTTAATAACAACCAAATTATAGTGCATAAATAAGCAGATTTTGGCTGGTTTTGTCATTTTGCAAAGTATGCAAGCAACTATTCTCACAGGCAAAAGAAGACTCCCATACTATTCTACCTTTAACAAGTATATGAGATTGATTGAGAGGTTTCTACTCTGACTGAATGTACACCAAATTGTTTTATGTGGTGAATTGCCCCTGTAATCTCTCAATAGTGAAAATTTAACACAAAAATATGCTTACACCAGGATCCTGCTGCGTGTGCGTGTGACGCAGAGAGAGAGAGAGCTAAGCTTTGTGGAATTTTGCCGCAATTACAGGAGTTGCTGAGATATTCGAATTGAAACAACTTTTCCATCATCTCCAGCTCTCATGGCATGGTATTTTACGTGAATGCCTGCTTTGGACCAATTTTATAAAAGGCTCAACTATTAGGAGTATATTTACTTCTATCAAAAAAATTAAGAGGAGTATATATACCTTCATTTTCTTGCAAATTTGTGTTGACTGCTGCAGCATGGAGAGTTATCATAGCTTTTGGCTGCCAGTCACTGTGCTTCCCCACCCATTTCTTGAGATCAAAAATGTCTGAAAGACACGCTTACAAGTTAGACTGGATCGTTCTTTATCTTCACTGGCATGAAATAACTAATCATATCACTCAAAGGAGTTGATGTTTATACAAACAGTAACAGATGTCTCAAATATTTCTAATGTCAAAAAAAAGAACCCATGCAGCCCGAGAAAAAAATCGCTCCATGAATTGCATTTACCATGGTTAAGTGTCTCATGAAGAAGACATTGGAAGTAGAAAAGTAGATAGAGAGCAAAAAAATTATGAGGTAAACATTCCTCCTTGTTCGAGAACATGTGAAAGAATAGAACTCCCAGTCATTTCGGTGGCATATTTAAAAATAAATCAGGGGTTCTCAATAATCTCATATTCATCTTAAGAGATGTCCCCACCAGTCCTCTGTAAATACGGTGAGTTTTAGAGGCAGGACATTGCAATGATAGGAGGGCACAATCACGAAGTATGGGAAATTACCTGAGTTAGAGGGATCCTTGAGGTGTTTGATGTCAAAAATTCCACCAGAAGCTGTCTCTGTATGCTTTTTAATATCTTGGGATCCTAACAAATTATACTCCCAGCTCCCATCCTTGTATCCCTCATTCAGGAACAGCTCTATGTGCCTTGCATCCAATGTCTGCATTGTTCCTACAATTTATTTTGTAAAATCAGAGCCTTATTTCTAACTCCTGGATGCTTCCTCAGCTTTCACACTTAAATCTTATCCAATCCTAAACACGGGCACACCCACACCCACAGCTACATGCATATGTGATATATGTAGCGTACTGGCTGTAGTGTCTGCTGTTTATTGGAATTTTATTGAATACAAGAAATCATTATACACTGTAAACTGTGAATTAATAAAATCTGGCTTTGTTTTTACCAAGTTCCTAAGTACAGAATCATTAGGAATTATAATAGGTAATTCTACACTCTAGCCCCATACATCCACAAAGCACCCAAGTATAGTATCAACTTGAAGGGAAAACCATGTGAACACAAAAGGTATCCCAACATATCCCTTAGAAAACTAAACCATGTGAACACAAAAGGTTTTCCAACATATCCCTTAGAAAACTATCACCATCCCCTCAGCTATGTGATTCAGACATTTTTTTTTATGTGATTCAGACCTAAGGGCCCAAATTCTGTAGGTATGACTTTTCCAGATTAGGTCTGTTGATTGGCTTGCATGTGTTTACTAGTGATAAACCAAGAACATCCATCTTAACTACTGAAAGTAAATAAATTGGTAACTTTTTCTTCCAAGTATAGGGACAGGATGCATACCATCACACGTATTAAGGTCACAAACAGGGCATCGAACAAGCTGTAAATCTGAAAAAACCATCATCCCAATTGGAATATGCAGCACACTAGTGCGACTATAAATTGAAGACATTTTAAGTACTCCTAAGAACTTTTCAGTGAAGTAGTCAACTAGAAAGTACCAGCTATCCAAATTCCAGTCTTGATGTTGTTTAACACGCAGCAGCCATGCAACTGCAGCATTTTCTCCAGAGTCTCTTCTTGTGGGATTTTCCTTGGAGCAATCAAATTCTCCGTAAGGAAAGCAACTGGTGAGTCAAAGAAAAATGCTCCTATTCGCATCCAATCTGATCTTTTCAAAAGAAAATCACGAGTCTGAAATTGCTATTTATATATGAAGGGAATGAGTTTATACCCTGCATGACATCTAATCAAATTGAACACTTCACAAAGCAAGTCTCTTACAAAAGGTAGTGTACACCACTCAGTGCAGCTTGCTTTTGTTTGAAAGAAAGCATAAAGCTGTAAATTACCACCCATGTTTTGGAAACTACTTAAATTTTTTTGTTTTAAGTAAGCTTTCTACTCTACTAGAGTGTAAAGCAGAAATTAGTGGCATATTGTGGTACAAATGCCACCAAATGAACTATTTTCAGAGACTAATCCTATGAAGCAAAAACCGTGGAGAGACTGTATTGTCATTCGATATAGCATGAATAGTTCTCTAGCGTCTTTAGCCTTGTTAAATCTCACCTCTCTGTGGTGTAATGTGATATGGAACTGTAATAAGGGATATAGTCCTAGAATCTATAGAAGCATCTATGCCCACTATCAGGAGGTCCTGAGACCAGCAAAGATAGGTAGCTCTAGCCATTCAATTCCTAGTTAAGTTTCAGAAATTAATTGGACAGACCTCCTATCTTTGGTAATCACAAGCCCGTCTGAATTTTTTCCCTAAAACAACTATCACTAATTACAAATAATTAATAATAGTGAACAAGAAAGAAAAGTCACCAATATGTTTCTCCTGCTGATGGAACATGTAAGAGTGACTTCCATCTGCAAGGAAGTCCCTAATAAATTAGATCAGAGTGAGACACGCATCAAATTATCCTAATTCATTGCAGTATCAGTATCACCGAGCTGAGGTAAAACAGTCAAAGGTCCCGATTCTTACCAAAAGCTGTAGCATAAAGCTTGAACCATTTGAAGCCCACGTTTCCAGGATGGGGGACCTGAAGATCACGCAAACAGGCAAACTTCCAAATGCTCTCCTCCATGATAAGGCGATGGAACCACTGGCATGTTGCTGCAAGCATCAACAGAGACTTTCCATCCAAGTACTTTGCTATTTCGGTCCAGATGTCTTCTTCGTGCCTTTTTGGTGTTCACAGTGCAAAAACAAAGCTCAGAACATACAAATACAAAAACATTGAATAACATTTCCAGCACTAGATCAAATCAAGGACAAATATAGTATTTTCTTTTTCTAGAGTTTCTGATCAAAAAGGTTCTCTCATTTTATGTATTTACCTTAATTATAAGCAAACACGGAAAATTAGTGCTTGAGAGTTCATAACCTTCGAGTCTCAACCTCGGTAAAAATTTATAACAGGAAAAAGTAAAAATGTTCACATCTGTATTGGGCCAATTATTCACTGAATTCCACAGCTTATTTCACTGGTGAAAAATTATACTTATGATCTCTTTGGTTCCTCAGAAAAAGTAGGAGCAGCAAATAAAAATCAACTCCTGAATTTCAGAAATTTTTGACTAATTATTAATTAAGCTTAGTTATTGACCTTACAAAGCTCAATCAACAGAAAAGCTGAACTTAATAGCCAATTTCCAATAGCTTTCTATTTTCTTCGTTTCCTCTGCCACAAAGCCGTAGAACTAATTTGAATAAGCAAATTCCAGTTTAGGCCTCTGATACCTTCTGTTAAAAACTGTCCATACTAACTGAAGTGTTCTACGATGAAAAACTAGCGTTTGAATTAATAATTTATAGATAAATGCATGATAACTCCATGCTCTGATTACTGAAAAGCAGGAAGCATATTGACTAGACCTCACAGGTCTTATCCATGTATTATAGTTAATTTTGTAATGATCTGTTTGGATATTTACATTATGTATGAAAACAAAAGAAGGTAAGAGTTGAATATCAAAAGTTAGGTTGTTTTTAGACCTGAAAAACTAAAACGTCAACAAACTGAGCCTGATTAACTACTTGATTAAATCAGTTGAGCTCATCTTTGACGTGTAAAAAGCCTAATTAAAACAGAGAACCTGAGAGGCTGTATATTTTTTTAAATCATAGCTGATACATCAACAAATTTAGAGCTAAAAAATTCAACAAGAAACAGAAAACACATAAATTAGCCCGAAGACGGCCATCGTGATCACGTATCAACCGCTTCGGACTTCAAAAATCTCAGACCAATTACGGTCCGTTCATTCGATCTGAAGTGGCGGTCTATCTGAATATGAAGCTATTATTACCTATCATTTGATCTGTAATTGTTTGTGTATTCGAAAATGAAGCTATTATACTATCCAATGTATCAAGTCAAAATAAGCTCGATCATCATCGTGATAAACAATTAAACATCGATTCACAGATAAAATTCGAATTCAATTCAATTAATTCACTGAAATTCAAATATCAGATTGGAAAGAAAACATTGAGCTCATGAAATTCAAAACAAAATTCAAAAATTCACTTTCAAACTCATTTTTCCAAAGATATTTTCGCACCAAAAAAAAACTTAGAAAATTCAAATTATGATTGATGTTACCGGATTCATCAGAAAAGAGAGAAACAGAGACTATGGAGCTTTCAAGACCTACGAGTACGAGATCAATTTTCAGCAATATGTGTGCATGATCGAATGTGTTGAGCAAGCCTGTAATTGTGCATAGTCTACATCATATCTGTTATATCTGTATTGAGAGAGAGAGAGAGAGAGAGAGAGAGGGAGAGAGAACCAGGAGAAGATGGGATGAGGAGTCAGAAAGGAGAATCGAGGAGACACGCAGGAACAGATTTTGTTTCTTCTGAGTCGTTTCCCCATGTTCGTTGCTCTTTCTCTGGCAATGAACACAACAGTTTGAACTGATGTGGCTGAGAAGTGTGAATTCCTTGCTTGTTCGAAATTAGTATTTATAGGCGCGCCAAGGCCAGGTTCAAATGAGAAACAAGAGAGGGTGACTAGGGTAGTTGCAAGTCTACTGAAAGTTGTGTGCACTAAAGCCAAGCTCCGTCCATTATTTTTATTGTTTTAATCGAAATTAGTCGTGTCTTTGGGATATTTATTGATTTGCCACACAATAGACAACATTAGGTCCGACAATTTAGATACGACTCATAAAATCGATAGGACACGAATTTAGTGAGTTTGACTGTAGACTTAACGGGTTTGAGAAGTTAACAGGTTAACTCAGCAAATCCGTAAAATAAATGAATCGGTTTTTTATTTAACTCATAAACTCATTTCAATCTATTTAACCCGTTAATAGTAGTACAATAAATTTTTTAAAAAAACTTAGGTCTCTCAGTCTCTCTCTCATCTCACACCTTCCATTGCTCATACTCATTCAAATTTATTAATCATTTAATATTTATTTTTTGTCTTTTTTTTTTTGCTCAGTTATGATTTATTGTTATAATAAACAGATCAAAATTATGTAATGTATGGCGAATTGATGATTTTTTGTATGGACTCGAAATACTCTAACTTATTCTCTTATTTAACGGATGTCACACGGATTGTATCGGACAACCCGTCTAATAAACGATTCGTGGATGAATGTGATAGTTAAACTCGTTTATACAAATAAATTAGGTATGGATAAAAAAAAAATTATACAAACAAATTATGTATGGATGAAAGATTTTTTAACACAAATTCGTTTCACCTGACACAAAATTATTTCACTCGACACAACTGATAGGGTTCGGCATCATCAATTGGAGGGATTATATATATAAAGAATTATATTAAAACTTTCAATGCAAACCATTGTATTCATTGCGAGTCTACTGAAAGTTGTGCACCAAAGCCAAGCTCCGCCCATAATGTTAATTGTTTTAATCGAAATTAATCATGTCTGTAGGATATTTATTGATTTGCTTCACAATAGACATCATCAATTAGAGGGATTATATTTGTTATGGACAAAAATAAAGAACTATATTAAGACTTTTAATACAAACCATTGTATTTTAATTTTTTTTAATAATTCAATTATAATTAGAGAGAAAAGATTACATTTTGTTTGAGTTGTAGCTCAATTCCAAAACATTTTAGTAGAGAACAACACTCATGCCATTGGGACAAAACCATGGCCCTTTGGGTTTGAATTTGAGTATGATTTGACTTAATTAAAATTGTTCACGTATTTGCAGTCCATGATTTTTTAAATAATAATAGACGAATTGTAAATTTAAACATTATGAATTTAAATTTTGACAACTCTTTAGAGTCAAGTCATAAAAATTTTTTCTCTCATAAATACTTCAATCCCAACATAAATAATCTGCTCTTGACCAAAACAAAAAAAAGTTAATCAAAATACATATAAATTAATACAAACACCGCTAACTGTTAAACCAAAGAAGACTAGATATACAAAACATCAAATTCTAGCATTGACTTTTGGAAAGAAAAAAAATAACCCAATTTCAAGAACTCATGAACGTTTTATTAGGCAGAATAAAAAAAAAGAATAAAGAATAAACTTCTACATTGAAGGAAAAATCAAATGATTCACAAAAGATACCCAGCCAAACGGCTGGTGAATTTACATTTCATTTGCAATTGGAGAAATAAAAATGGAGGGTATGAAACAATCACACGCTGCTCTTTCTGGTCTAATTCTGCGATTTCTACTTTCCGAAAAAATTGAGTGTTGTTCTCATGGGCTGAGAGAGAAGGGCCAAGAATGCTCCATGCGGAGAAAAAATGAATATCCATTCCTCTACTGTAACCTAATTCATGAATTTCCGACAGTTGGGAGTTCTACATAGGCAGGGCACTTTAAGGTCGTCACGTTCATCCGGATCAAACAAGTAATCATACCTGTAACAGAAAAAGAACATATGCCGATGTGCGAATGAACACCAAGGTGAAAGAACCAAATCAGAATGGAAGTGAGAGAGAGAGAGAGAGGTCAAAAAGTCATACGTTAACTCTTCGCCAGCAGAGACGTTGGTTTTAGCTATAAGAACTATTCGTCTATCTTCTTCACCCACACTCATGATCCTTGCATAGCAATTGGGCATGCACTGCAGCAAAGGGGTAATGGTTATCATCAATGCATACAAAGCAGTATACAGACCACATAAGACATTCTAACAACTCCATAAATAAGTCCATTTGTTATATAAACTAATTGCTCATAAGGGATTTAACAAAATTTACATTTACTATTTGATACTTGACGCAACCCTATACTTTCATCCATGTTTTGGACCGGTTGTGTAAGAGATACAAAGTGGTCAAAAGGAGGTGAAAAAAGAAATAACATATAAACTTTTCATGAGGATTTGACACTAGTGAGTAGGTTGGACTGGGATCAAAAAACCTAAAATTCAGTATTTGCCATCAAAGCACAGCTCAACCTCAATATCATGCACAAGTGCCATTCAATCATAATATCATTGAACAAACAGTGGCTGCTGGTCCATGATTCTGCTCATGTGCACAGTTACTCAACCTAACGGGCATTTGGCAAATTTGTCACCAAAGAAGCAACATTAGCATCAAACAAAACTTACCAGCACAAATGACCAATCTGACCTAAGCCAACCAAACCAGTGCTCAACTGAGCAACTAATAAAGGTCAACCTCCACCATTTGCAAGCAATAAACAATATACCTACAGCATTATGCAACCCAACAAAAATCGCTTCCCTTCTCCATCTTGTACCAAAATGGTGAACATACAAAATTGCTGTTGTTTACAATTTCAACTAACAAGAACTTGCAAACTGGTTCACTGTATATGGGAGAAAAGGGAACTTACAGAATGGTTGATTAGTCGTCCTATATTGCCCTTATCTGTGGCATCAATTACCACTTCCTCGCTGATTTTAAAAAGCTGCACACCATAGCATCAAACTTGAACATAAGAACCAGAATTAAAATTACATCAGTAAGGAACAAATGGAGAAGCAAAATGAAAGGCCAATTACGTAAATTGGCAGCATAGTTAAATATCAATGTGATCGTGCACAATTTTATTTGTAAAAAAGATGAAGAATACGTATGCGGGTTACAGCATCCAGTAAGTGAAAGTAAACCCATCTGAAACCACTGACATTCGTAAAAAAGGAAAACAACAAGAGGGAGTTCCTCTGCCATTTCCCTGCCTACAGTTGATATTTATCTGAGTAATCATTAATGACTTGGCCCAGTCATAATTCAACACAATGACTTCGCCCTGTTAGAATTCAACAGTCTAAATCTTACAGTTGTGATAACACTAGTCAACAATTTAGGTTTAGCTTGGGCATTGACATGTCCAATCAAAGCCCTTCAGCGTTTATGCGTCTAAATCTTAAGGTCATTATAAAACCACAGAAAGATTTAGGTTTAGCTTAAGCATACATGTCCGAGCTAGCCTTTCAGCACACACACAAACACAGACTTAAAAGGACAGAGATCTACTCACATAGCAATCTTTGCCCTGTAACCGGTAGCATGCCTCCCTCAAATCTGCAACACTCCGCCTCACCTGCTCACCACGATATTCAAGAACCTGGCGACACAAGTATCGAGCAACATTAAGGTTGCATCATTTTCAAGCAATCCAAACAAAAAATAAAAATTCGACACTACAGAACTTAAGGAACAAACAGGGGATGGCACTATTATATCAAAAAGAGGATTACAAAAAGAGAAGTTTAGTGTCTATCGATCTGTATGTGATGTGCAACATGTTGATCTTATAGAAAAGATGCTTGACATTAGAAACCCACAAGAGAGAGGAGAGAGGAAAGGTTAATAGACATGGTTCTCTCAATCAATTTCATCACTAAGTAGTACCATATCTCCTTCGTGAATGTTCCGTCGTGCAAAGAGACCCCATCCATGAATTCCAGATTTACCAAAACAAACCCGATGATTCTCCGTTCTCTGAAGAAATGAAACAAAACAAAAGAAAGTGTAAATATCATATCCAGCTGATAATATTATTGCTCAAGGTGAAAGATGATTTGCCTGTAAATGGTCAAGCCGTTCGTTGAATGTAGCAAAATTCTTCGCATCTTCAACTTCCTGTGGAAAGAAAGACAGAACAAGTAAATTATAAATTAATCAAACCTAGAGCTGAACCAGATTCAAGATCTTCAAAATAAAACATGAGAGCAAATCATATTATACAATTGAAAAACTCTAATGTAACAAAGGAACAAAATTACTCTGTGTGAGCTAAAGCAATCTATTGCATCTAGGGAATGATGGCTTGGCCCCATTACTCGGTGGGATATTGGCTCCTCTCCAGCTTTCTAGAAAACAAAGAACGAAAAATAAAAATGAGACAAGAAAAAGGAGAGAGAAAACTACAATGTTCAAGGAAATATAAATTCAAAGAAGAAGAAGAAATAGACTCAGCCACCACAAGGAAAAAGAAAACTACATGGGACCTTCAATCTACGCCTTTTGATCACTTACGGCCTGAACTAAAAAGCAGACAGGTTGTGCTACTGGGGACTTACCTCCATTAGGATTACTTCACAAATAATTGGATAGAAATCATGTGGCTTGCATGTGACAAGCCTAATGATTTATGACCAAATTGTCAGTTTAGATTAATAAGTAAAATAAAAAATACATAAAGATCTGCTGTCCCTCTCCCTTAAATTAATACAGCTCACTGCAGCCATGGCCACTGCAAGTTGGAATCCTAACCATAATTGCCTGCATACATCACCACCACTGAACCAGCACCCTCACATACTTCTTTTGTCTGATGTTCCTTTCTCTCTAAGCCATCTCCATTCACATACTGGGAGTATTTCACTATTTTTCCAATTGCAAAAATTTTCAAATTTTGCTGTCTCTATCACAAAACCCAAACCCCACACCATTTACCCATCAAACACAACCCACTTATTCATTAAAGCTCAAGCAAGCCTCTGGATAGCATCTTCTGCTGGCTTTACTGTTGGTTATGAGCCGACTTGGAGTACCTGCTCAGGCATCGCTTTGGTAGCAAACTAAAAAGTGGACTAAAGGAGTGAAACTCTCTATGGTAGCGGCTTTGGTGCAATAACATTAGGGATGGTGGGGTGGGTGGCGGTGTAGTTTCGATGGCGGAGGTTTTGAGTTGAGGGAGATAGAGATGCAGTGAGTTAGGACAACATATATTTGAATGCATGAGCAGGTAGTAGATGGTGGAGGCAATGGAGGGAGGTAAAAAGATCAGAATGTGGATGGTTTTCAAATTGCATGACACTTAATTGGTGGAAAGGGGAAGAAATGTGTAGAAGATTTGGGATGTAAAGGGAGAGAGAGGAAGTAGATATTAGGGTTAAATTACACAGAGAGCTATGAGTGGGTGATTGGTTGGGCTGAATGGTGTTGATCAAAGATATGTAGAGAGAGAGAGTAAGAAAGAGAGAAGTTTAAAGGTTTGTTTGAGGTGATGATGCTAATAATTATTGGCAGCAGAGAATTGTTGTGCCTTGTGGGCAAAAGTGAGAGAGAAATGAAAATTCAAAAGGAGAAAACTGTCGACTTTCAATGGCAAATTTTACATGGCTATTGTTTTGTAAGGACGGGAGTGTCATTTGTATGTTCAGTTGACAATAAAGGGTGGCCCAAAGCAAGAGGCTTCAGCTACTGCAGGGTATGTTAAGTAAACTTCAATTCGAATTGGTCATGGGGGGTTAACTCGACGTCAAATGTGGAGCGATGACAAAGACTCATCCACCCAAGAGATACGGTGCCTATTTGAGTCGAAAAATCGATCTCTCCAACATGAAGGCAAGACTACATACCCTTTACTGACTTATCATCCTGCAATAGGCAAGAGCCCTGTATACAAGGACAACCTTTTTCTAGAATAGGGGGTCAGTGCCACGAGTATTAGTTTCATGGGGTTGACAGGAAAATTTCCCTACATTGAGGTATCATGCATAATTTAACCAAAAAGCAAAAATAACAGTAATGAAGATGGCCAAGCAAGCTTTGCAGCAGGACATAGAATAACATACAAGAAGCAAAGGTAGTCCCCTGAAAGAAGAAATTGATTCTGACATATTCAAGAGGAATTCGTAATTCCATGTATTACCTTACAGTTTGATCTTTTGAAGATGCGACATCTTGCAGCCGATAGCAGCTCAATCTCATTCGCTTCTGCAGTTGATGAATCATGGAGTTCTGTTCTCTTAGACGAAATGAGCCTTGATCCCTGGAAGCCCTGTTGCTGATTCTGGCTTTGGAGCAAGCTTCGTGTTGAGAAAACTCCGAAGGGAGTCTGCATGACTAAAACATTATCTGGATTTGGGGCCCTGCAATGAAGGAAATGTATCAAAAAAATCATCTAATCAATTGGTGGCTATTGCATATCAGTTATTACTGATTAATCCAAATCCAGAGATCATATAATTCCGGAAATTTTCAAGCAAGAATATGATAATGGAATGTAACTCTAAATGATTAATGTCTATTAACTATATTAACAGTGCCAACATTATGATCAAAATGAACAGTAAGCAAGAAAATCCCAGTATAGTGACCGGTTCCATGAATTCCCAAAATTTCACCAGTTCTAGGCTCAAGTGCCTGTTGCACATCATAATCCATTTCTATAATTCTATATATTCTACGCAGCTTTCTAACACACCCAAAATTCTTCGCATACACACATGATAAATATACACATATATCACGATTATTGGGACATATTTTCCCTGGGAGTGAGAGGAAGGTCCATCCGATACTTTTTCCTTGGATACTGATAGCATGAACATCAGATCAAACTTACTGGGTCCTCATATGGACCTTGGTCTGAAACAGAGACCAGGGTTTACAATTCAAAAAACAAAAAGACTGACCGTAATATCAATGTCTATGGAAAAAGAGGAAAAAAAGAAAGGATGAGAGAGCCTAGTTCTTACCTATGAACAGCACAATATGATACCCATTTTGTTATCTGTCTTCCATTCTTCTCCGAGCAATGCAGCTGAAATTTAAATTATGAAATCAATGAACCACTTCAAACCAAAAATGTGAGTGTTTATGGGCACATTGATAAGTGGAAGATTGAAAAACAAAAAATCAAACAAGATGTGATAATGGAATCCAAACAATTCAAGTGACTTATTGAGCATGGGGATCTTAAATCCCTCCCTCCCTCCCTTCCTGGTCTAGATTTTCTTTTGGAAATGAGATTCACTTTCTATATTCCTTTACCCTATTCTGCACCATCAAAAACTAAAAACCACTTTAATGCAACAAGAAATCTAAAAGCACTCAACTTGATTTGCAAAATTAGATACTCAGAAAAAAGGTTCCAAGTAGAAGAAACATGAGATTCTCAATATTATTAGTGATAGAATAATAGCAGAAATCTCAATTGTTGAAGTTTGAGAACCAAGTGTGTTTTTTCTAACTACATCCAAATTCCCGCATATATAGCTGGAAGTCAGGTTTATGCCCACTCGCTCCTCATCCCTAACCCCAACCAAAGAAGGCTCACTCCAAATTGGTAGGATAACACTGGTAAACCTAATAGCTTCTTGTTTTTTTCTGAAAAACATTATATTGCTCATGATCTTCCTGGCTTGAGAACTCTAATATTAACAACTACAAAATAGGCATGCATATAAGATATAAGAAAATGACAAAGCCGTCAAAATTTCAAATAATATAAAACACCACCTCTGTGTCTTGCAAAAACTAGCTTCACTAAGTTTGGATCTCCAATGAAATTAGAGTTTCAAATTTAATGCCAAAAAACAAATTGTGGAAAAACTTACCTCCATGCAATATCCTGCTCGCGACGCACACATTACATGAAAATAAGTGGCACATTTGCAACACTGCATGCAAGACCCATGAGTCTGCTTGCAAATTACGCACGCCTGTATTCATTCAAATAAAGCACTTTAGATGACAATGGCTGAATACTTAGACCGCCAAATAGCATTTCTAAGTCAGAGAGCTGACAGACAAAACCATATATCATAACAATTGAACCAGTAAAGCCAAGAAAGCCAACTATTGTGTCCGATCAACCATAAAATTAGATGTTCCACTCAAAAAAAAAAAAAAAAAGGAATCGAGATGAATCCATTCCTACAATAAAAAGCATTTTGTATGGAAGATAACATTTTGCTTTGTATGCGGGTATGTAATCTCCCCCAGAGAACTACTTTGTTTGAGGCAAGAAGGAAACTAACCTTTGCAAAAGAATATGATGGAATTCTAAGAACTCCAACAGCAGGTTCCATTTTCTCAACATCCAAAAAAGCAATTTCAGGCTGAAACCATGCACACGTGACGTGCACCCACAAGTTGTCAACATCAGCTGGCTTCAGAGCACCCCCTACAGGAGCAGTAATTCAGTTATAATAAAGAATTGCAAACCACAAATGAAACAACATATTATAACAATTAGATTGTCAAAATATCAGATGGAATGCCTTTTACAGGGCAGAGGCAACAGTCTCTCTCAACATCAGGAGTTTCGCATGCTCTACAGACCCATGAAGTGAAATCCTGAGAATTTCTCACTCCATAGCATTCTTGATGGACAGCTATTTGACACCTGGACCATGCAGAAAATCTAATCAGATGATTCTACTTAAATGCTCTACTCAGGTCCAATTTTATGCAATCCAATAACTTTAATTTCACATAAAATCCATAAAACGAATCCAAACTTAAAGATTTATGGATGGTGGGAACACCTGATGCAGATGATAATTTTGTTGTAGTCCCAATCTTCAACCCATCTACAAATAGCACATCGTTCTGTTGTCCATTTTGCGTAAACAGGCTCATATTTCTCTGTCAAAAGGGAAAGCAGTAAAAGCAAATAATCTTCTTGTTGAAAATTAAGTCACCAACAGGTCACAGGTGCTATAAAGAAAAATAATGTCATTGAAGTTTCACAGAGAGAGATATAAGCAAAGCAATTACCTTGCAAAAAAGCAAATAGCTGTTGCTTATCTAACTTTAGAGGATTAAAGCCATGTGCAGTATACTCTGTGATCTGCAACATCTTGAAAGTTAGTCGACAGCATAAAATATACAGATTTATTAACATTTATTAAAGTGAAGCCTTTTACTTAAGAAATTCTTCTCCCTACACAAACAAGAAAGAAAAAAGAAAAGGGAAAAGAAGAAGAAAAAGAAAAATGTGAGTTATAGTGATATTAGGCATACAGTATAGCTCTGAACTGAACAGATAGAAAAGAACACCACGGGATAAAATCACCAACACCATACAAGCATCACAATTAAGCAAAAAATAAAAGGGTTCTGTTACGAACCCATTTTTCCAGCGGCAGCATTGAACCCTTCACTTTAACGCTGAACTTCCATTTTTTGGCTCTGGAACCTGTATGTCGTTCCCATTCACTAAGTGTTTGTTTCCTTTTCCCACATGAACCACACGTACACTCAACTCTGAAATCCAAAGTAAATTCGACTAAATTAAATATCATGCCAACTTGACTAATTCAGATTGCCATAAATCAGCATTGGAGCAACACCAAAATTCACAAATCATGGTCAGTCCAAAACAAACAAGGTGGTCAAGAACTCAGGGGAATGACTTAAATTCAATTTTACGTTTATATTGTACATCATATTTGTTCCTGATATGTTGTTTTATCATACGAAAAAAGGACAATCTTTCTGCCATTTTATCATAACAGAGCAGGACAAAATTAAGGCAACCATGACTCGAGAAGTTCCTGCCAAAGTGGGTATCTAAATTAAGCAACTGGAGCAAAAACAAATGAAATCATTTACAAAAATAATATCTGGCTAATGGTCCGTTTGGTACAAAAGATGGAAAGAAGGAAGGAATGAAAAGTGAAAGATATAAACTTTCTATCCATGAAGGAAAGAAAGTTATTTTCCCTCCTTTTTGTTTGGTATGAGAGATGGAAAATAGAAGGGACATATTTTCCATCGTTTGGTATTAGATGAAAAATGAAAAGAAAGGAAAAACATATATGCCCAATTTACAATTCTACCCTTAAATATATTAAGTGAATTTTTTATTACAAATAAATCCAATTAAATTGAAAAAGCTTTTAATCCCCTTATTTTTGTTACAAATTAATTTTGGACGAATTAATTTTGCTTTGAATGATTTGTAACTATTAATTAAAAAATGACAAAAATGGTATTAATTAAAAATAAGAATATAAAAAGAATTTACACATTGGTGCATTTTCTTGGATAAAAAATGAAGATTCAAAACTAAAAATAATATTTAAATTCTATAATCATAACTTTAAAAAGGAGTGGTGAGCTTCAAGTGGTTAACATCATCAAAAGTAAAATAGGCATAGAATACTATGCACAATAAGAATGGACAAGAGGGCATAATAGTAATTTAGCTTAAACTTTAATCAAGATTCCCTTCTTCTCTTCCACTTTCCTCCCAAAACCGGAAGGAAAAAAAAAAGGCAGGCAGAGTGGATTAAGCTTCCTTCCCATTTTCCATTCCACTGTGTTTTCCTTCCATACCAAACGAGTGAAAACCTTTCCTTCCCCTTCATTTTCCCTCCTCTATTTTCCATCCACCCTTCTTTCCATCGTACCAAACACAGGGTAAGTAATTGTGAATTTAGGATATCATATGGACATATGAAATTAAATCATATTTGAAAATTTTGGCATGAAAATATACCAAAATAAAATGATTTCATTTTTTGGGTCTAAAAGCCAAAGGTGAAGTTTGACTACAAAACGGGGTAAGCCCTCCCTCTGCCAGATATCAATGCCCCACTTCTTCTAAAACCAGATAGAGGTGAGATCCAATATCTGGTCCTCAACTCTCTTGCCCTTGTCCTACCTTAGATGAAGATGGACTAGCCATGTTCAAAAAGGCTGAAATTATGTAATTACAACTGTAAGCTGATGACCATCAACTACAAAATCAACGAGCATAATTCTAAACTAAAATTTGGGGTACATGCACAGGTTTGACCACATTTTCAGACTTCAAACAACAGATTTCCAGAATGTAAAAGAACAATGCAACAAAAACATTTTGGTAAAACTCATGTTTATGCATGAGAGCTTACAAATGAAGACTTGGATAATAAATCCCTTCCATGCCAGTGCAAACGACAGTTATTTTGTCAAGAAGCACAGTTTGTCCATTGTTTTCCGTTGACCTGTTTCGTATGATTGTCACAGTATTAGCATACTAACTTTTGAGAAAGTTATTACGCTTTCACATGCGTATAAACTGCATGGAAAGATTAATGGTATGCACTTGTGAGGTACCTGACTTCAGGTTGCCATTTCTCTGATACTGGCAATCCACAATCAGGCTTTGCCGTGCATTCAGGGCAGTAATAATCAGCATCTTCCAAATCCTTTAAAGCATTTTTTAATTAGTAATCCTTGCCATCTCATGAACTTAAGTAAGGAAACCCAACCACAACAATGCAAATAGGTATGATCCACGGGTATACCTTAAAGAGCTTGCAGGAAAAATTGGCACACTCAGCGTGAACCCAAACGTCACAGCCATCACAGCATACCTATTCCAAAGATTTTGTCCAATCAAAAGTCACAGAAATCGATCATTTTTCTTGCTCGAGTAAAGAACAGTAGACCCAATTAAACTAATATAGTCTCACCCAATTCCCTCCATCTGAGTGATGCCAAATCTTCTTGCATATGCCACAATACTGCTTTGAATTTCGTAACTGCAACAATCATAACATTACTTAGAAACAAACTTGCACTTCAAAAATATACAGGTACATTATTTATAAACAAAAAATTAGCAAAATAAGTTACTTATCATTCGAAACCTTAGCACAATGTTCACATAAAAACTGGGCTTTAAAATTTGTGCTCTTCATTTTCTTCATTATTTTGCATGGAAGAATCAAGCCACAGCTGTCACAGGTCCGTGTGTCTTTCTTCTTATCACACACATTCTGCAAAGAAAGAATCAGGATGAAGTCAACCCCCATTTCAAAAGCATTGCTAATGGAACTAAATAAGAATAACAAAAAGAAAAAAGGAATTGGACATATCCTACGATTTACATGATCTTGTTACAGATATTCATTTTAGATTTCAAAGAGATCAATAATCTGCACAATAGGCAGGAGTCCTCCATCTTAATATCAACAGATAATTAACTGAAAGGCATTCAATGTTGCCCAGTGATAGATTAATCAACTATCAGTCAATTATTTTAATAATCATGCATACAATAAACAAGAAAGCCTCTAAAAAACATTCTGGATCCACTCTCGTATCCTGGATTTTTCATTAGACATAATTTATTTGCAGATAAATGAATTTGTATATTTGCACGCATATGGGTGCATCCTCCTTCCAAGGCCATTTTAGTGAAACATACTATCAGCTGTAAAAATAAATAAACAAAACAAAAGAAACATAACTTTTAACAATGATACAGCCATCTTTGCATGGTATAAAATATAAATGTTTTACCAAAAAGTGAACAGATATGAACAAAAATATATCACAACATTCACTTTTAGATACCTAGAATCAACTGGATGTAATAATTCTACCAGATCCTTACCTCCACAAGGAAGACAGAAAAGCTCTCTATATGTTATTACATGTGATGAAATCATTTTCACTTTTCCCACTTTAATTACTACTATGAGACCTTAATCTGTTGACAGAAAAAGGGTGACAGCAAACCCAATTTTACAAACCTTATTGTTAAACAAGCTTGTCACCAACTCATCGTAGAATCACAAAAAATTGGAAACATTTTTCCAAAAATCTCCCCATACATTACAGTGTACTATAAGGTCTTAATTCATACCCTAAACCTCCAGACACTACCAAAATATCATGACTATCTGGGTTCAACTCTTGCACTGTACTTGAACGGACATTTAATATTAATGTTCTTCAAGTGTGTAACCTTCCGAAAGAAACTAATATTGTCAGACTGACTACTAACTTTCATTTTCATTGAGTTGCAAAATAATATCATTGTTTGCCCCAAATATGTCATTGGAATTTACACAAAGACAGAAAAAATACAAGAAAACTGGCCATGCAGGAACTTGCCTGGTTATGGAAACAGTATTCCTGATCCAGATTCAAACCAGTTGCCTCTTGGATTTCATCATTATTTGCAACAAGATAAGTTTCCTGGACAGTACGAAGGTCTGTATCAGTGTGGCCATGTTCTGCCAAAACTGCCTCCTCTATTGCCACATTAAAATCACTTGGCTTGCTTCCATATAACTTAGTCTGGCCGCGAAATCTGAGCAAGAAAACACAGTAAACTCAAACGCAATGATATAGAAGCAAACATTATGTAATCCAAGCACAATATAATTGCAGTTTTGGTTAACTCCGTATTGCACATACCTGTCCATATACTCCTGAAAAGGGAAAATCATTCCATCCTTCACCCATCCATAATCCTGCCAATAACAAAAACTTTAGGTCCTAAAGTAGCTGTAAGAACACATGTCCACATATAAATATTTACATCAGTCACTACGTATGTCCAATGACGTTAACAAAAAAAAAAAAATTAAGCATACATGTACTGTAGTATAAAAGGAGAGGAGCTAACAAAACAGAGAGAAGGAGATATAAAATTACCCTCTTTCCACTTTTTGAAAACCCATAAAACATCACACAGATAGTGTCAGGGACACAAGCCCTCAGAACTCTTTCTGGAGCTTGACATAGGGGGTCGATCACAATAGCCGGCCAAGCTGGGTATTTCTTCCCACATTTTGCCCAAACAATGTCACCCAGAACAAAGTCCTGTGGCTTATAAAAATCCTCCTTCCTTTCAGCCTCCTTCTTCTCCTTCTTCTCCAACTTCTCCACCCCTGTAAATTTACTAGCAAACCTTGTTAGATATTCATCACTATCTACCAATGGCAAAAAGTTCCCATCATTAATTGACGTTATCGAACTGGGCATTTTGTGGTCCAAATCCCTGGTATCGACACACCCCACTTCCGCTTCTTTACGACTAAGCTTATGAAGCTTTTGGCGGCTAAACCCGTCTTCTATGCGACGTTTCTTGAATTGCACATTACCATGAGGGCTTTGGCGATTAATTCTCTTTTTACTGAACATTACATTCCGAGCACCACCATCATCAGCATCAAAACATTCTTCATACTCCTCAACCTTTGATTTCTTATTACTCCACGACTCTAAAACCGTATCATTGAATTTAGTCGGAAGAACCTGAACTCGCCCTCGCGAAGACTTGAATAAGGGAGGCCGATAACCCCCCGCTCCCTTAGGTATACCTCTTCGACCTCTCTGAATCCTCGGATTTAATTCGACTTCTCCGACATAGCATGAGACACTGGAGTACCAAGAATTTACAATGCCACTATAATCCTCAAACTGATCTTCATCAATTTGATCGAAACTATTTAGAGGAACGGAGCACGACACGTCTGTGCTTCTCTCCTTCCTACTCACATAACACGCGTCTTCGTCGTCATCTTCACAATCAATTTCTTCAAATTGACACCGTTTCAAATTCGGCGTTTCGAATTTCATCGTTCGTTTAATAATCATCCTACTTGTCAATATAATTCTACCATTGAATTTGAAACCAACAAATTTCACCTAATAAACCCGAAAAACCGAAACCCTAATTTTACATCGGACCATCAAAAATCAAACAATTCCAAACTCAAAATCGCGTTTTAAAATTAGGCAGACTATTTCCGATTTCGGATAGCCGATAATTCCTTCGGCATAAATTCCAATACCAACCTCGATTCAGGAGAATCTGGTACGAAACCCTAATTTAAACAATGGACGGCAAAACCAACGAAATTCACCAGACCTATACGAAATCTACTCTCAAACAAATCAAGGAGGGAAAATCCGGCAAACTTTGAGAATCCAATCTTCGAATCTATTAAAGAAGAAACTACGAGATGAATTTTTCCCAGGAAAATTTTAATTTTCCGAGAAAAACAATCGAATTCGCAGAGGGAAGATTGGAGACGTGTCTAGTCGAACGCAATAGATTTGTTGGGAGAAGGTGAATAAATAAGAAAGAATAAATATAGGTTATATTGAATAAAAAATAGATAAAGTATCATTAAATTATTATAAGAATATTTTTTGGGAAAAAATTTATTTTTTTATAGTAACGGTTGTTTCAGGTTAGATTAGGACTTGGGCTCCAATGTTGCTGTGAAATTCGAAGCGGGAAGAAACTTTTGGGAGGGAGGGAGAGGACGTAATGTGGGTCGCGCGAAAACCAAAAATGGAAGGTAGCATGACGCGTCCTGTGAAAAATATAACAATTCTCAACTTGTCCTTTGAACGGTTAACATTTTCACATTACCTTTTAAAAAATAAAAAATAAAAAATATTGTAATTATGTGATTAATAATTGATTAATTTAATACAAAACAAATGGACTATCAAACCAAAAAAAAAAAAACGATGAACTACATACATTGTAACGTTTTTATTCTTTTTAGAGTTAATGTGAAAAAATTAATAATTTATGTATCTTTCAAGAAATAAAATAGAATTTAAACTTTTTTTATATATTAATCTTTGTTATTGTTTGCGGGTTGTCCAATCAGAATAAATTCGCATAGTATAATTATTCAATAATAGCCGAGGACTCAAAATAGGACTGTTCATTGGGTGACAGTAGCAGTAATGATGGATTCATTCGGTGTGAATTGGGTCAGCTGTCTCCCTCACGAGTTTAAGGTTTTTCTTTTTAATGACTGTAATCGTCATTTTCCTAGTTGAATAATACTTCACTTATCTTTGGATCAAAAAAACAATAATAATAATAACTCATAAAGAAAAATGGACTCCACTTATTCAAATAATTATCTCTATCATGTAAGGATAGTAATCACTCACATAAAAAAAATGAGCTATTTTATCCACTTATTTATTTAGTATTGAACAATTACACTATATAATAATATTAACATGGTGTAATGGTTATACTCAATATTTATTCACGAGCTTATGGTGTTCCAAGGTGTAGATAAATTGAAATAAAAATCCCTAATGTTTATTAATTATTAAAGTTTAGACCTTTGGCAGTTTTAGTCCTTAATAACAAATCAATAAATACAAAAATATATTAAATTTCACACGGACTATGTAATTAGATCAAATGACACGATTACCTCTTGACAATCTAAAAGATGACATAAAAATTCTAATCAACTTTAAAGTTGATCGGTGTGGATGATTTAAATAAAAATACATTTTGACCCTTCATTTAACTACTAGTCGTACGTGAACCATTTTGAGTTCTAGTTAAGTTGATTTTGTTAACTTTGAATTGAAATATAATAAACTAATAGATAGTCGCACATTTTACCTATAATTCCCGAACTAATTCAGACCAGTGCCATTCAAATTAATACTTTGAACATACAAGGCATTCCTTTTAATGTTGTTGGCCCTTTTGTGGAGTCTAGTTTGTATGTGTTGATTCGAATGATGATTCGACTCAAAATAATGTTGTGTGATTTTTTAATAGAAATTTTTTCTGAGGCTTGGTCCATGTAGCGAAGATTTGGGCCAATTTTTTAGCCCGGCGCGTAGTACATATAAAAAATCACTACTTTAATGATTAAGGTTTGATCGAAGTATATAGCCACTCTCTGTAATTCCGCTTTCTCAATAGTGAAATCCCTGCAGTTTCGTAGATGTAGGCAAATTGCTGAACCACTTAAAATCTTTGTGTCTTGTTCTTTCTTGTTTCTTATTATTTTATGTCATTGGTTTGTTTTTCAATTGTTTGTATTTGTCTGTGAGTTTAAAGCGTGTTAAATCTCAACGGATGTGAATATACCAATTATCAATGAATGAAACTAAAAATAGATCAATTTCTTAACCAAATGAAAATAACTGATACCACCTAAGTTCATCAAACATTAGCAACTTCAAATATTAGTGTGGGTGTTCTGCCATAGACTCATTTGGTACGTATAAGTTAGCATAGAATATCAAGTTAACCACTATATCAGACATCATCTGCATTTGCAGTTTTGCATAATGTTGCTTGAAAATCATCTTGTACCCTACGACATTTATATAATAAAATAAGAATATATTTAAATTTTGTTTCAGTCATATTTTTCCTCTTAAAATCATTACCAATGATTTACCTCACCCATCATCCCTTTGTCAGACTCAAACGTCAAATCGCATCACTTATTTCTATCATATGTTTAAGCATTTATATATTTCTTACCTAAAAACATCACGTCACTCATTTCTATCATATATTTAATTATTTAATATTTGATTAATTTGTAGTTAATATATTTTAAAAAATATTAATATAATGGGATCGATTTTTTGGACGCTCGAATTTTATATTTTATCGTGCCGGGTTATGAATAGTGAATCAATATGTATACTCTTTTATCATATGGCAATTTCACCCTTCTCATAATCTCCTTCCAACAAAGAAGTTTACCAATTTCTTCAATGTTCCTTTGTTCTTCTTGAAGTTCCTTATCATTCAAGTTGATTGGAGGTCGAAAAAGCACCTAATAACCACTGGGACAGAGAACTCGATCAACTTCCTTCATGTCTATTACTTATGGTAGGAAAAATAATTCTGGAAAACAATCACCCAAACAGCCGCACAATCCAAAGAAATTCGAAAACAATTAAATAGAATCTTACACAAACACAAGGAAAAGTGGAGTAACAAGACATTAGTTTATATTACTCACCATTTGCTCCCCATGGAATCAAGCAACGAGAACAGTGAGCCTACCACATCCATCTTCATCATTCACATCATTATACTGGACTTTTATCTATCTCTGCAAAGCCTGCAAGACTATATACCATAACCAGCAGCCTCGGAACAGTTGTACCTTTTCATTAACCTTGAAAAGTAGTGAATTCCAATGCTGGTGTTCAACAGGCTTATGGGAGATCAACCTCGAATTCAGGAAATTATACTTTAAATTCTAGTAGGATGGTTCATATAGTATCATCTGACGCTTCCTTTTAGCACCTAGCCTTGCATCCTCTCCAAGGCTAAACTATTCATCTTCAAACAAATCAGGGGCCAAAGCACGAGAAAATTGGTTGATCAAGATAGTCACCCAATTTACTCAATTTGAAAGGCTTCACTCGGTTGCTTTGAAATTGCCTAAAGCAAAAATAAATTCTGGTTAACAAATCATGTGGTTCACATTTCGAGTAATTAAAGAAATTTGTGGTGAAGAATTAAAGAGGGACGGTGGGGGAAGGTGAAGAGAGGGGGCTTGTTCTTAGTTGATTTTTTAAAACGCATGGGAGAGTAAGAACATTTGGGTCGTGAGTAAAGTAGGAGAGACAGAGACAAAAAAAGGGCTGAAAAAAATGGAGAGACATACAGAGCTAATTATGTTTAGTCTATTATGAAGAAATGGATGGTATAATTGTGTTCTTGGAGGGTAAATGTTGGAAAAAAAATATTTTTCAGGTATAGTGATATATTAAAACAGTATAGATTAATGAAAATAAAATAAACAAATATATATTTAACTCATAACTGAAGCCATCGCTGTACTTATATTAGGCCAAAACTCATGACTCATGCCCAATTACCAACCCAACCCTTCATTCCTGCTTGCAAAAAAACCAACACCTTCAGACTCTATCCCTCATTTCAAAATCCTCCCCTGTAAACACCCTCCAACAATCCCCCCCCCCATCAATCCCAACCCGCAAAAGATCTCGAGAAAAAAAAAAGAAGAGATAGAGAATAACCAAAATGCATATCTAAAAATACAAAATCTCAAGCGAATAATTGAGAAATCAAAGTTATCCAAAGCGTAAACCACTCGCCACGATTCCTAATCAAATTAAAATGTGTACTAAGAAAATTAACACAAATTGTCTATGCATGTTTGGTGTTCAATTTCAACGGTGGTGGTTGTTGCTAGTGTTACTATGGTGGGTGTTGGGTTCAATCTCAACTTTGGTGGCTATTTGGTGTGGTGAGCACTATTTTTGTGTTGGTCGTTGTTGGGTGGTGTGTTAGTGTTTTATTTCATTTGTGGTGGTTATTTAGGTGATGTTTGTTGTTGAATTTCAGCTAGTTAGTTTTTTTTTTTTAACTAGTTATTGTTCATTTGGTGTTCAATTCTCAAAATAGGGAATGTGGATTACGTGGTGGAGGATGGGTGGTTGTTGGGTGATGGTGGTGTGGTGTGTGCAAGGAGAGAGATGTGGGAGAAATATGAGAAGTGAGGTTGTGAAGGTGTTAATCGTATATTTGGGGCAAATTAATATTAATTAATATAATTTAAACAAATTAATGTTGTTCACCAATGAAAATTGCATTTAGCACAAATTTAATTTAATTTAATGAATTTGGGGGAAAAATTAGACTAATTAATAATATTGGTTTTTATTAATGATAATGATTTGATTGGTTTGACTTTGAGACAATCTTGATAATTTTTCATTATTTTAGTACTTTGGTTATAATTTTTGACCCATATAACATGTTGAGCTGATTCTTGCAGCATCGTAAAGAATACTTCAATCCCTACAAAATTGATTGTAATCAAAATTCGTGAATGACATCTAACGAGGTCGAAATTGACATGCAAATTTGGTGAAGTAAATCATTCTATGTTCGAAAAAAAAAATATTCACTACATTATTACTTTTGTCATAACTTTTTACTCGAGTCGTAGACTAAGTCGATTCTTGTTGTATCGTAAATAATACTTCAAGCCCTACAAAATTGATTGCAATAAAAAATTCGTGAATTGACCTCTAACAAGGTTGAAATTGACATGCAAGTTTGGTGAAGTAACTCGTTCACATCTTTAAGGAAAAATAATTTTTCACTACTTTAATATTTTAACTATAATTTTTTACCCGAGTCGCAAATTTAGCTAATTCTGAGATGGCAATAGATAGTGTATTGTAATTATGTTAACAGTGGATTTGGACCTTTTTAAACAATTAGATCATTGGTAAATTAAAATTGATTTTGGGACAAAATTAGATTGGTTGATGAAAATAATTAGAATTGATTGAATTTTGGATTAATTAATGATACTTATTTAGTTTGTATAACTCAAGACATTTTTAATTGAGGGATGGGATTGGCCTTTTAAATACATGCTTGGGATATATAGTGTTATATTCTATAACCTCGTCTTATTGTAAAAAGGAAATTTTTTTGAAAATAATAAAAAAATTAGGTAGACGTTATTATTTTTTCTCCAGGGTGTTTAATGCCTGTTTGATACTATAGGTCTGTTTATAACACGTTACAATTGTCAAAGAGTGGAGTTTGTAAAATTTACTATATAAATAGCGAAAAAACAAAATTATAGCTGAAAATGGTCAACATATTGTGTTAAATTTTATGTGTAATTTTTTAAAATAAATTATAGCTAAGGGTGCATTTTTGTAACGTTTTTGTTTTTATGTTTTTTTTTATAAAAAAAAAACTTAACTAGTTTTTATTTTTTATGATAAAAATTAGAATATAAAACATATTTAGTAGTCATTTATATTTAAAAAATTATAAAAAAAATAAAAACATATTTGATATTATATATTTTGGGTAATATTTTATTGATATTATAAGTATTTGGTTAATATTTTAATCTCAAATGCCTCATTTGGAGATGTTCTTTGTGATAAAAAAAAATGGAGATGATCTTGTAGACAGACACTCACAAACGAGATCCTCTTATTGGGATACACACGCATACATATACACAGACAAATCTATATATACAAAGCATATACACACACAAACACAAATAAGCGCGCGCACACACACACACACGTATAAATCTATGTATATATAAGCTCATATAATAATTTTTATGAATATATATAGTATAGAGTTAAAGAAAAAGGATAAAACGAGCAAGAGAGACGATGTAGGTTTCATCTTTGTGTTTGATTTCGTCTTTGACTTTTTCGTTTTCGTCCCTGGTTTCAAAAGAGAGACAACTAAGAGAGATGACGAGCGAGACACAAAATGAGAGAGAGAAAGGGAAAGAGACAAAAAAAAAAAGGTGGGGGGAGGGTTTTATAGTTGACACAAAAAAAAAAAAAAAAACTTCATTTTGTTGCTCATAAGATTCGAAGGGTTGGACCTTATTAATTGTTAAGAGGGACGCACGCTTGTTTTTAGTTTTTGATGTTTTCAAAACAATATGAATTAAAAAAAATAAAAATATATCATAAATACAAATATACGGTTATCAGACGGCACATAAGTTAATGACATCTATCAAATTTTTACAATTGGAATACAAACTAGGGTTAATTACACTAAGGCTCCCAAAGTATATAGTTTATCTTATTTTAGTTCCTAATATTTTAATTGTTTAATTTTGATCCAAGTATTGAATATATTTATATGTGGTATTTGCAGACAACATAAAAATTGGTAACGATTTTTTATTATTATAAACTTGTCACGTAATATCTAAACATGGGTACAAATAATTTGAATAACTCTTGACCAAATTTTGGTCAAAGAGCTACAAAAATTAAACAATTTTAATCATAAGTTATCTAAATTTTACTTCATAACTATACATATTACACATTTTTTGTCAAGAAGTACTTGAATTTTGGTAAAGAGTTACCCAATTTATTTTTTACTCATATTTAAGTATTACGTGATAAGTTTATGATAAAAAATTGTTAATAATTTGAATATTGTCAACTCGAGAGAGTACATAAAAACATATTTAATATTTCAAAGATAAAAATGATGCAATTTAAATATTAAAAATCAAAGTGAGATAGACCTCATACTTTTGAGACCTCTAGTGTAATAACCCCTATAAACTAACAAAAAATAAAAATTGTGGAATGATTGGATCTGTAAAATCGGAAAAATTTGAACTTTTTATAAAAAAAAAATGGCAAAATGGTAATTTGTTATTATAATGCGCGTTGAAAACTTATATTTTTCTAAACCTCGGATAACGAAACGGACCTCACCGTTGGATTCGTCCCACAAAATCTAGTTATCCAGATAATTTTTGTTGAATTTCGAGATAGTCAAATTTTTTATGTTTTTCGAGACGACAGGTATCGGGTGACCTCAAAAACGCTCAAAAATAAAAAATTCTAAAATTTGATTATAATTTTAAAAAAATTCATAAAAAATATTTTGAGTTTGAATTAGAGCGAAATTTAATCGTTTCGGGGCAAAAACGGACCCAAAAAATGGGGGCGTGTGGCGTAATGTGAGCCAAGGTTTAAAAATTATAAATAGGAAAACTATCTAATTTTCCCTACTTATTCAGTTGGATTCTCTATTAGTTTCAGACGTTGGAGAGAAAGAAAGAAAAAAAGAAAAAAATCCAACTTTGTCTCTACAATTCAAAGAGTTTCGCCAGTCTGAATTATTTTGGCCAAGAATCAAAGTCAATCTCCTCAACGAGGACTACTCAACCATACAAAAAACTAAGAATTTCACCGAATATTCAAAAACGAGATTTTGGGGAAGGTTGAGTTTGAGCTTGAGATTATGTTTTTGGAGGTTTTCTACATTGATTTTAAGCTCCAATAGGTAGAGTTCCCTCCTATTTTGATTTATTTCCATCCTATGGTGTCCATAGGAAATGGGTGGACTATTTTGAGTGTGTTTAACCACTTGCCTATTATAGTTGGTTTAATAGAAATTGGTAAGCTCAATTCTAGTGTGAATCGGTAATTATAAATTGCTAGTTTGTGATTTCTTAGATGTTTTGATAATTGAGTATGTAAAAATCATCTATTTTGATTTTTTTGAGTTATGTGATAAAATTAGGTATGTTATGTGATTACATGATTTGGTGTCTTGAAAGTGTTTTATAAAATGCCTATATGAAATAATGTGTGTTAATTGCATAAGATTATATGATAACATGTTTGGATGATGTGGTAAAGATAAATCATATGCTTATAATATATTGGCATTAGGGTGAATTATGAAAATTATTTGCTTAAAATGTAATTATTCATGGCATGTGTTTAAATGTGATAGAAATAATTCATATGACACTCATTACTTATGAGTGTGATATTAATATTGCAATTGCTCATTTGACATTATTACATATTAGACATGATATTGACATCACACTCTTGGGCATAGAGTCATGAGCGTGGATGTGTGTATATGCATGGGTGATCAAACACCATACTTGGTGATTGATGGATGGGCTCAAAAAAGTTGGGTTGAAAATTTGACTCAGTCGCATGGTTACGTGAATATGGGGTCGGGGTTAGCAAGAAAAACTATAAAATCCCTCGGGCAAGAGACCCGGTGACTTGAATACGCACTCCAGTGGTATAAGAGTCCATAAAGTATGTCGGTGTACGCAAAACCGTTAGTGGAAGTCCATGAATTCTGTGTTAGTTGGGTGCCGTTGATGTAAGTCCATAAATACTCACCCCACACGAAAGACCCGGAGATTTTAAAATGATTATTGGATGAAATTTATAAATGACAAATTTTCTACACATTGGCATTTGCATTGTGTTGCGGGGGTCAGTGAGGGCTCGGGTTAAAGTGCGTGAGTGAGTATCATCTCATATTATGACATGACATGATAGAATTTTTATCTAGAATTATATGTTCTTGAATGGAATGGATTGTGGTTGTTAAATGTTGCATGTGAACATTTCATATGCACTCAGGTTGAGGAGTAACTTCTGTAGAAAATATTCTACTGGGCATAGCTCACCCTATATGGGAACACATTTCAGGTGCGAAATATACCTCAGTGGATGACTCTCATAATGGGTCTCAAAGATGAAGTAAAGTCGGGTTATGACTTTTGAACCGAGTTTTTGTAAAACTATTGTAAAATTATGTTTTTGGACATGTAATTATATGAAATTACTTGTAATGGAACTTGTATATATAAAGTTTTATTGTGAAAAAATTATGTTTTTGCAAAACATTCACTAAGTTAATTTTTGGACTATGTTAATGAAATCTTGCATGTTATTATATGCTTATTTTTAAATAGATTCGGTATGATCAATATTGTATATTGGACTTTGGATGGGTCATGTGATTGTATGATGCATAGATTGTGTTTTGGATAGAGCTTCTCGTACAAAGGAGACTCTGCCTGAATTTTGTTAAATTAAGGACCCCCGATTTTTGGAGCGTCACAGGATCAGTCTTTTTTTAAATTTGATTGAAAGTAGGGTTAATTGCACTAGAGGTTCCTAAATAATGTAGTTTATCTCATTTTGATTTTCAATATTTAATTGCATCATTTTAGTCATTGAAATATTGAATATATTTATATATAGTTCTTAAAGTAGACAACGTCCAAATTACTAAAATTTTTTTATTAAAAACTTCTTATTTGATACCTAAATATGAAAAAAATTTTAATTTGGATAACTTTTGACTAAATTTATACTCAAATTTTAGTCAAAGAGTTACTCAAATTACACAATTTTGATCCGGGGCTATCCAAATTTTGATAAAGAATTGCTCATATGACACATATTTTATTAAGAACTGCCCAAATTTTGGTCAAGAACTGTCTAAATTATTTTTTGCATATATTTAGGTATCATGTAACAAGTTTATGATAAAAAAATCATTGACAATTTGGACATTGTCTGTTTTAAGGACCATATAAAAACAAATTCAATATTTTAGAGATTAAAATAATACAACTAAAATATAAGAGATCAAAATAAGATAAAATTTATACTTGGGGACACCAATGCAATTACCCATTCAAATTATCATCTATTAGCGGTTAAGTCGTCTCCCGAGGACCGATACTATATAAGTACAGTTACCCCCCAAACCCTAGCTATGTCGACTGCTACTGCCCACCACTAACCAGCGACTGCTACCCCCACCCGACCGCATCCAGCGGAAGATGTCTAAGTCAGCCATCCACCAGCCCACCACTGTCGCTCGAGTGACGCTCTATTTCTCCTCGACATCTTCTCAGTCTCTCTCCAAACTAGGGTTGAGCATTAGTGTTGTGTTTGGAGTCGGGACTTTCGAAGCCATGGATAGATACCATAAAATCGAGAAACCAAAGCCCGAGTCGCCCAACAGTTTCCCTCAGGTTCTTTGGTTTCTTATGGTGTCTGGTCGTTTTTCTTTTTTATGCGATTTTTTTTTTTGATTATCCTATTGATTGACATTGATTATTGTGGGTATCATAGATTGAATTCATTATTCGTGGGTGTCGATTTATTCGTCACAAGATAATGTCTGTAGTGGACTGGAGATTTGAATTTAGTTCTCTGACTGTTTATGATTTTAGTCTTCAATGGCTGTGAATGGTTCTGATTGTTTATTTGGTACTTATGATGAATATTCACATAAGAGTACTATTATTTGGACCCAATAGTTTGATCAATGGCAATGGCACTTGGAAAACAAGATCTTGATAAAAAAATAATATCACACTTAAGAGCTTGGGCTAAAGCATTATTATTTAGAAAACCATCCAAAGCAATGAACGTTAATTGAGAACAAAATGTCGGTTGTTTGCTCTTTCCAATGCATTGCCTTTTCGGTGCATCTAAGGCTATGAAACCCTTCATTCAGTTGGATATGTCTTGAACCTAGGCATAATGAGAAGCTTTCTTTTTATTTTGTTATGTCTTACTATTCAACATCAATTAGTTTTTGTTTGTTTGTGGGGGCATTTTTTTTAATAAGCCTGTTTTCTTAGTTCCTGTTACATTGTTGTGATAGCCATAGGTAACCGTTCATGTTTGAGAAGCATGAGTGCTATGGAAAATAAAACAGATCTTTAATCCAAAGAACACGTACCTCATAAGTCTGTCACTCCTACCAGCTGTACTACTAGAAATTAGTGTTTCATTGACACAACTATTTTCTCGAGTTCAACCTTGAAGCAATCAGACAGACAAATAGAAGGATAGTAAAAATTGAGAAGACAACTAATACATATCTACATGTTGGATATTTGGATTATCCATTAATGTGCTTTTGGTGAGATTTGAAGGCACCAATTTCTTATGTGTACAATGTAGCAGAAAATTATAATTTTTCTTTTGATGAGGCTTTTCGGGTCGACAACTGATGTCATATATATATATATATTGTTATTAGTAAATACTATTTATATGTTATGTGTGCATATATATAGCAACTCCAACCTCCAAGCCCTCCATATTGCATATATATATTAGTCTAAAATACCAACATATGTGAAAGACAATTTTTTTTCAATTTTGTCCTCTAACATTACAACTATGTCATCCATTTCCTTCAAAGTTAATTGCTTCCCATTACTTCTCAGCCTTTAATCTCTGTCCTTAACCTCTCTAGTCTCTCCCTCTATCCCTACTTTCTCTCCCTCTTCTCTCTCTCATGCGAATTAACAGACACCTCTCTTTACCTTCCACTCTCCGTTCTCTATCTCTTTTTCTCTTGCGTATTCACAGATCCGATAAGAGCACACCGTCATGGCCCCCGCTTCACCGTACCCCTCTTAGTCTATCTTTCTCCCCAAATTTATTTAATTACATGTATTCAATTACAAAAATTAGTTACCCATTACAAAATTTAGTTAGGCATCAATTTTCTCTTTCTTTTAATGCTTTGATTGTAGTTTTGCACATTCCATCAATTAATTTGTATAATAAAAAAGACTGTTAAACTTCTTCAAAATCTTATTTACAATCGCCATTTTCTATCCAAAAAAATTCTTCGAAATCCTATTTGCCATCGCCCTTCGCCCCTCTCAGTCAGACACCGGCTGTCTGTTGTGTCGTGGCATTACATAACCATCACTGTACTGCTTGTAATGAGTTTTTGTTCACAAATCATTCCCATAATTTATGCGCTTACTCATTATCCTCTTTTAATTTTATACACTTTTTCCAATAATTGATCTTGATCCCTTGGTTGTTTAATATAACATCAGCAGACGGTGAGATTTTGAATGTCTTGCTCATGATGCGACAGGTCGATTGAAGGTAAACATGACTTATTTGGATAGTCACCTAGATATTTGGGGTACAAATGTTTGCTTAGTTGTGCATAACTATATTTGAACATATATTCCTGGATATAAGATGTCATTCGCTGTTTACTGGATCAATCTTCAAAGATGTCGTTTCCCCTTTTCCTTCTTTTTCCCCCTTATTATCTTTTTTTATTCTCTCTTATTTTTTTTTTTGTTTTTTTAATTGCAGGGCGGTATTTGTGATCTGTAACACTTATTAGATGATACTGGTGCTACTAATTGATTATTTTTTTATTGTACTTTTGTGCTTTACTGGGTTCGGAAGGGTAGTTGGCGTTATTTGGATACTGGGCAAGTATTGATTGACAGTGCATGCTTAGTGGACCAAGTGGAGGAAGCTTTGAGCACATTGCTTTCCTGAAATACAATATTTTCAGTTCAATTCAGGTGAAGTTTTGATTTATAAATATTTCATTTGGGCACATGACATTACACATTTTTTTCTTTGTTTAAACCTTGGAAGCAAGTTGAGCTATGTTTACCTGTTTCAAGTTGTTGGTAAATTGTATAGGATATATAGATGTTGAGTTGAGTTGATGATCCTGGAAACCGTCTGCTATTGAGTTTTTGGAATTGACTCATTTTAGTTTAACATTCCTATGTTTATTTGCATTTGCAGCCGATGAACGGTGTGACATGGAGCTTGATGAGACTGATCCTGCTGTTTGGCTGAAGCTGGAGGCTGCAATTGATGAGTACATCCAAAACAACTCTTTGACATTCAAGAATGTCTGTGAAACATTGCTGCAGAACCTGCATGATGAGAGATTGTCAAAAAGAGGTAATGAAAACTTTTATTTAAGGAGGGAATTCAACGGTATTGTGCCGTAAAACTATGTAGATTAGCTTAATATACCTGTCATGAGCACTATGGTTCAAGATTATGGTATCGGCCATCGACTCAAAGATATGTGACACATCGATTGCAATGTTGCGGCAAGGTATTGGGCGATACAACCTAAAAAAAATGTTGAACATGACGAAAGTTTCAAGTCACATCACGGTATCGTATTGGCCAATTTAATGACGATAGCTGGGCAACTTGGGATGATTTGGATACAATTCTGCCGATTCAACCGAGTTTTGCGAGACTCAGAGTTTGTACGTATCGTGTAACAATATCGTTTTGGAAGGCGCTGAGTCAAATACGACTTGGTCGACTCATATCGATATCGCCCATATTTTGAACCATGATGGGCACTTATATTATTGTAATTTCTTTTTTTTTTTCCAAATCAATTTCACACCAATACTATTACAAACTAGCCTAAAAAAGAAAAAAAAAGAATAATTACAATAGGAAAAACATGCTAACTTACAAAAAAAGGTAATGGAAACCTTATAATATGAAGACAAGGAATTTGTCATGTGCTAGATTGATCTTTTATATGCTAATTTATTTTATTTTCATTTGCGCTTGCATGGTTTTTAGTTTGATTTTAATTCCTAATACACTCTGGTTGACTTTTATTCTGTCTGATGTGATCATTATCATTCTAATGTTTGATTTGCTGGTTTGTCTCGATCAAAATTTTGTGATTAGAGTGAAAAAGATTACTAAGCTTAAAATATGTGATATTAGCATAATGATTGGGGGTTGAGGAGAAATTACTTAGTTAGTTGCTCAAGCATCCATCCCAGAATTTTCTCTTCATGTCTTTTTTTCAAGAAGTTTTAATCACTCTCCAAACAAAAGAAAATGCAGTTGTAGTTGAGGTAGTGCATCTGTCAAAATTTATTTTATTATGCTTCCTATTTTTTTGGTTGTAGATGAATTAAATGAGAGGGTTTTTGATTTGACTGATGAGTTACTTTTTCAAGTGTTAGACCTTAGTGTATTGTTGATTCAATGAGAGTACTACTATGTGTACTATGCTGTCTTAGGAGTAACGTTCTCGAAAATTATAGTTCTATTGGACACCAAGTATGTGTTCATGTTTCAACCATACATGTTATTTTGTATATTGGTTATGATTATAGCTTAGACATAAAATATAATTTATTTTTGCTCAAATTTTTTTCTACCTTGTGCCAGGGAATATTCCTTGGTTTACAATGGGGAGTATTGTGTAAGTGCTTTAGATGGTATGATTAGATGAAGAGGTAGTGTAATACAAGCAGAAAACCACTAATAAATATATGTGCATCTTTTAGTCAAATATATGTTCAATGACCACAATAAAATGATTACTTATGTTGTCCAATTAAAAAATGAAAAACTAACAAAACTATTTGATTCTAATCTCAGTTTTAGATTGAATTGTCTAGATAAAGAAGCCATTTGACACAAGAAGATATATATTTTTTTATTTTCATATCTTGGAGTGAGATTGTAATGCAGGATTTATTATTGACTTCAATTATATTATTTTATTTTATTTCTTGCATTTGATTAAGAACTTGACAAATGTTCAACTTCATTCATTAATATATAATGTATTTTTGAGCAAAAGAAATGTCATGTATATCCAAATAACGAATTTGAATAAAAAATGTCTTAATTGATTCAAACACATCACGGAAAAAGTGTTAAAGTTGTCCTATCGATCTCAATATCTGAATTAGCAATATCATATTAATTATATTTTAACATGATCCACTTACATTGCACGTGTGCATCAACTAGTCCCTAAAAATGGGGGACGGGAGATGAAGAAAAGGAGCTCAGTCACCTTGTAAAGGAGAACAGTAGTGTGGAATGACCTTGTAAAGGACAACAGTAGTGTGGACCATTGTGGTCCAAATTTATGGGTATAACAAGTTTTAGTGAAGGGAACCTTTAAGTTGAGGTTTGTGAGTGGATATTGGCACCTACCTGTTGAAACTAAAATCTGATGCACTGGTTTTGCTCTTGTAACTGGACAATTTGGCTTTCTAACTTTACTGAGTTATTGGGAATGGTTATATGGGGAATGATGTGTTTATACCATATGTAAAGATAAGACTTTTCACCTTTCTGCCTCTAATAATTATGCTGTGTAATAATTATGGGGTAACGGAATGGATTAATATGTATGTAGGGAACTTGCAATAGTGAGTAGAGCTGGCCACTTCAATGACGCATATTTTGTTTCATGATTTTTTGCAGAAGGCACTGGTTTTGTCTGGATTATTCTGAGAGTTTTTGAGTTGATCATGCACATTGTGGGTTAATTGCACGTGGACTCTATTAAGATGTCAAATTTATTTATGTGTTGAATTTTACTTTTTCTTGCATGAAAATGGATATGATGGCAAAAGTAAAAGGTCTGAGCAGGATATGATGTTGGTTGTGATGAGATTAATGTGGGGAAGAAGGAAGAGGGCCCCTGTCCTTGTATAAGTTATTACACTGTGACTTTCGCAACCTTCTTCTACAGCAAGATGGGTTGTAAAAAAAGGCGTGGGTTGCATTCTAATATTGAATGCTAACTTAGACTTCTCTCAACATTATATGCTTTTCCCCGTACTTAAAACTCATCTCAGCTACCATCGCACTTCCTGCATTGATCAATCCTTCATGCTGATCCTTTAATGTTCTCTCGCTTTTTCTTTTTCGAACTTACACACAGGAGGGACACATATGTGCACACACACCCTCACAGGCATAAGACAGCTTCTTTTAGCTATATATATATATTAATCTGGATGTTGAGTTCACTGAGAAAATTCAGTATGTTGAGAGGTCTCAACCTCTTCTTAATTTTTACATATTTTTCATGTTATCTTGTTTGTCAAGGCATGGAGGTGGTGGAATTACATGGTTTTACAATATTAAATGGCGCTTAGATGGTGGAGGTATCATATATGAAACTTACTCATGTTATACAACAAGATGAGTGTCTGAACTACTTAACATGTGAGTCCAGTGGGTGATGAGTTGCACATGATTGAACTACAATATAGGACTCGTGTTAGGAAAGTTGAGATACGCATACTTGGCTTAAGAACGTGGAGAAAACACCCAATATGCTTTGTGCTCACCATCTTAGCATCATTTGACACTTCTCCAAACTCATCACCCAGCTGGGCAGGGAAGGATTCCGTTATTCCATGCTTGCCTTTTGAGCCATACTTCCAAGTTTCTTATGAACCATTTTTGTATTTTCTGATGGTATTATGAATTCTAATATACTATTGATTTAGAAAAACAGCAATTACTTGTAGTTCCATTACCTCCCCATTTTGGTTTCTTTATGTCACTTCTATGTTGCTGACTCTTACCTCTATGGAAGATTCAATCTGCTAATCTCACAGGCATTACCACTTGTCCGTGGGCTGATTGCTTTTTATGTTGAACCTGATCTGTAAATCCAAAAGGCTTATGAGGTAACCTTTGTTTTCTGTTACTGGCTTCACTTGGATGTTGCTGACTCTTTACCTCCATGGAGAATTTCTGCTGGTCTCTTAGGCATTACCACTTGTCCATGGGCTGATTGTTTTTTATGTCGACCCAGGACAGTGAATCCAAAACGCACAAGGTAACTATGTTTTTTTTTAATATAAATTTCAAATACAATTCACAGCTTTTTTTTAATATAAATTTCCCAATACAATTAGCAGCGTCATTGCCAATATCTTTTCCCAACAGAGAACTCCAAAGAGGGAAAAAATAATTCTCTTGTTATTAACTGCTATAAGGTGAGAGAAGTGACCAATCGGTGCTCTCGTCATTCAACTGCAGTTCGCTTCTGCATGCACAATGCAGTTTTCTCAATTTTCAAGTGTCTTTTCTGTTATTGGGGTCCTTTACAATTTTGACCATGATAAACTTTACCTCACAAGGTATAACTTACATTGACCTTTGAACATTGACTGCTATTATATATTCCCGCAGGATGCGTATCTACCCATGAGTATGGGCCAAATTGTCAATGTGAGTCTTCTTCACTGTTGTAAGACTTTTTAAAGAGAATTTGTAAAAAGTTAGAATATGGGTGTGGTGGGTTTGGTACACCAATCACGGAACAGGAATTGCCACCACCGCAATCGAGCTGTAGCGACTCTTAGATTGGCATAGTGTTTGACACTTTTTTTTGGGTTTTAGGACACTGATTGGTTTGAAATGAATGGCTTAGATACACTTGGTCCAATTATATGGCTGGAGAAACAACTGTTGGAAAATTAAAGACTAGAAAGGCACTTTAGTATCAGCAATATGTATGACAATGCTTAAAAGAACATTTGTTTATCAAAAGCTATGTCCTCTCTGAGTATAAACGAAGACATAATCTGATACCGCCCCACTCTGTTTAGTGGTTAAGATGGTACTGGAAATCCATGCCATTAGTGGCCATTGCTTGACTTACTGTTTTGTTTATGCCTTTAACCATGATTTAATAAGTGCGCTAATATGCAAGCGCTCTTGTAATAAATGAGACCGAGGCATTGACATTGCAGCATTTATAATAGAGAATTTGTTACATCACGTTGGGTATGATGCAGAACTTGGTATTAATTACTATATGTTCAAGAGATCAGAATGGCAATTATGTACGGATATGGATTTTTTATGACATTATTGCTGGGAAAATATGATGCTGGTGGTCTTAGTGCTTCTAAAAAGCAACTAAACTGCAAATAGAATGATTGGTCAGAGCCTTCGCTACAAGGTATCTATCTGTTTATTATATTTGCTCTTTCGGCTGTTCCTTGAACACAATACTACATATGAATTGCAATTTTGGAAAGAGCAGTACAGATCAGCTATCAGTTTTATCTCCAAGTTTGGAATGGTTATTTTCATACCTCGAGCCTATGACATCTAAATCAAATACAATAACTATATTATGCCAATATCTTTTTTGTGTTGTTCCTAAATGAGTCGAGTTTAAACAATTTTTTAGACTTATTTAAAAAATGAGTCTAAAAAGATTCAGTTTGAATTTGTAAATTTTGGCTTGTTTATATGTAAAATAATCTATATATTAGGGTTCGGTTTATGTATGACTTATTTTTGGCTCGGTACGGGCTCTACTTATTTTCTAAATAAGTTGAGCTTGTTTAGATAAATGAGTTTGATGGGCTTGGCTCGATTATTAATCTTAATGAAGAAATTTATAAAATTATACAAAAGAGTATGTTGAATCATGTGGATGCTAATTGAAAATAATTTGTGGGTTATTAGGTTCAATATTCTTTGCCTGAAAGATGACAGCAAAATAACGCACAAGGGTTGAGAAAAATTTCTATTGATTCTACAAAACAAAACAGACATAAGTGCTATCCTTGTCTGCTGAAGATGGTGATAAATGCCAACTAAAACCCACTTTGTTTAGCATTTGAGGTTCATTACCATACTCTTCCTTGAATAATTGTCGTAGAAGGACAAAGGTTGACGCATGAAGTGCAGAAAAAATGGGTGGTTTGTATAATGCTATCCATCAAACATCATTTTCACAAAATACGGTGGTGGTTTATCTACCCACCAAATAAAAAAGAAGAAGAAAGAGCAACAAAAGAATGTAGTTTCACGTTACTCCTGGCTGCTATACAACATCAAACTTTGAAAAATTTTAATGGCGTACTACTAGAAGTTAAACTTTTGTCTATCTTGTTCTTTTCTTTTTCAAAAAAAAAAAACAAAGGAAAAAATAATAAAAAAATAAATCGGAGAAGGTAAAGCCTGGGACTGCCAAGTTTCGTCTACACTATGATTTTGCAAGATTGATTTTTTTTTCTTTTGTTCAATTGAAGCTAAGGAATTCTAGAGCACGAGAGACGATTCTCTCATTAGCCATGGCTATATGAGAGCCGAAAGGGAAAAAATGGTCATGTTGACTAACAAATTAATAGTGACTTCATTAACTAATAAATCTAAGATTTATATATGAATCAGATATAAATGGACAAGCATAATAGTTATAAAATTAGAGTGCATCAAGCTTACAAACATACGGATTTATTAGCAGGTGCAACTTCTTAAACACAAAGAGTTGGACTATAGTACGGAATAAGTGTTGTACCAAAATTTAGAAATTAATGGGTGAAGATATTATTTTTGGAGATTAGTTAATACAGAAAAAGTTACAATTTCATAGGGTCGCATTACAATTTTTTGGCATGACGGTACAAATTTTCGAGATAAAGTTACAATTTTTTGGTATATTCTTTTTTTTATTATATAAAAGGGTGTTTAGAGATGATTAGACGTAACAATTCTTTAGAATATTTTTTTGAGATTCTCACCCATTGTAAAATATTTGGTTTGAATCATAACTCCTAATTTGAAATAGTCGAATGGTAACATTTCAAAATCGATTCTAAACAGCCATAAAAATTATATCTTGACCTTGAAAAATTAAAATTCGGTGGTACAGAACCCTAAAAAAAACTTTCAAAAGAGAAGGTGGGTTCGTCAGAAATCCAAATGGAATTGTACTGAGGTGTGAAAATACAAACTCAACATGTACAGACCCTGCTTTAGACCAAATGTTATGAAGTGGGTATAATTCTTGTGCAACTCTGTATTCTTCCTTGAATGGCGGTTCACAGTTTTTCCCAAGCACTTCATTGTACTCGGCAGATCACTTGTTTGGCATAAGCTTGTAAGACCTGCAACTCTGGCTATGATCCTTAGACAGTTTGGTGATAGGATTTCCTAGTTTGTGTGGAGCCCACCCAGCCAATGTGGTCCCTCTCATCTGCCACGGGGCAAGTCGCCTGTATGTCCATAAAAGTTTTTATCATTTATATAGAAATATTCCCAGTAATAAAATGCCATTCATTTGACTCTGTTAAATCTCAGCCCTTCTTTCCTTATCTCTTTATATCTCAGCCATAAAATGGCATACAACCTCAGTTATATCTCTTTATGTTCTCTCTTCTTGCTACTTGAAGTGATTGTGAGCTGCAATTCCAACTCTATATCTGTGCACTCTTTCTTCTTCATTATCACTCTCTGAAACCCTTTCATAAACCTTCATTTTCAAGCTCTAAGTTATATATTCACACACATACATACATATCTATGTTTCTGTTTTAGAACAGAGGAGGGGTGCAACTCCTATGGGTGCTGCTTTGCTTGGATATTTAATGCAGCATTAAAGACACTTCTCTATCAATCCTTAAGTTCTTGTACTTGTCAAAAATCTTCAACTCTGTTATATATATATATATCTGTCATATCAGGTAATAAATCCTTGTGAAGCTCAGTAGTTTAGTTGTAGTATTGTTTTAATCAAGATGATGATGATTCTTATGTAATCATTGGCCCCCAGTTATATATTTGGTGTATGTTGAAGTTTCTCTCTCCTGGATTTAAGACACTAGATGGGTCATGCTCTTACCTATGCTGTCTGTTCATATAACATTCAAGTTGTACTTATTAGAATTCTTGTCTTAGACTTTTTAGATTCCTTCTTGTTATTGTTAAGAATCATGAAATAATGAGAAACTAACATATTTTGCTAATTAAATAGGCATACTTGAGAGACTTGAAAATGGCACCTAAGAACGGTAACGGTCGTGGCAAGACGAAAGGAGAGAAGAAGAAGAAGGAAGAGAAGGGTATTTATCGATTTTAATTTGTTTTTAAGTGTTCCATGTTTGGTTCCAATTTGTGTGTTTCTGACTTTGCAGTTCTTCCTGTTGTGATGGATATAACCGTAAACCTTCCTGATGAGACTCATGTGATTCTAAAGGTTTGTTGCAAATGAAAGTCATAAAGGATAATAGTCTTTGTGTTAATTAATGTTTTAGTATAATCTTTTCTTTGCTCCGGGGTTTAAATACTCGTGCTTAATCTTCTTTAGATGCACTTGATGATATCTCTAAGGCTTTTTGAATCTTTTAAGCCTAGTTATGGTCTCGCTCTTAGATTATTGGTCATATTTGAATGTTAGTTCTTAAAACAATCCAAAATTGATGTCTTATAGTCTACATCGGGAATTTCTTTGATTTGACTTAATAGAAAGGTGCAAGTATTACACGTAAATTTGAGTGGTCTGTATAAGTTGCGTAAGTTGATTATAATCACACAATGGAATTACAATTCCATTGTAGATGAAAAGATGGCGTATATTTGAAATAAAACTTTGTTGAATTGAAATACAAATTTTTTTATTATTTCTATTTTGCATGCAAATATAAAGCTTAATTTGTTATTTTGATCAGGGAATATCAACGGACAGGATTATAGATGTACGTAGGTTATTAGCTGTGAACACAGTAACTTGCAACATCACAAAATTTTCATTATCCCATGAGGTAAGGGCTCATCTATTAGTACTTTCTCAACTGACAGGGATATTTTAGTAATTTTGTTCTTTTTTTTGGCGTGGGTCAAAACTTTTATATTTTCGTAATTCCCATTTTATCCTTCTCAGGTGAGAGGTCCGGTTTTAAAAGATACGGTGGACGTTGCGGCACTGAAGCCATGCCTCCTTACTCTAGTAGAAGGTGAAGTTCATATCCTTTACGGCGTCGTATAACTAAACGACGACGTCCGATCTTATTATTGTCTCTTGTGGTTGTGGTCCTCGGTGATTTGAATTGTCGGTTCTGTGCTCGTTCTTTTTCTCTCAATTCTTGAACAGAGGAGTACGATGAAGACGGCGCAGCGGCGCACGTTAGAAGGTTGCTGGACATCGTCGCCTGTACAACGAGCTTCGGTTCATCGGCGAGCAAGGAATCAAAATGCGACTCCGGCAAGAATGCGCAGGATAAGGATAAGAAGAGCGCCAAGAAGTCAATCAAATCACACGGCAACAGCAAGAATTCCTCTCCTCCGTCACCGCATTCGCCATCGCCAAAACCTTCTCCTACGACGTATCCTGCAAAGAAAGATGCGTCGGCGGTCGATGGAGATGGAGATATGAGCAATTCGTGCCCTAAGCTGGGTACCTTCTACGAATTCTTCTCTCTTTCACATCTCATTCCCCCTCTTCAATGTAAGCCCTCCTCTCTCTCTCTCTCTCTCCAACTCACTCACTCAGTAACCAACTCACTCACTCACGGAGCTACTGATCTCTTCTTTGCTAAGCTACGCCGCTATTGGTGCAATGGCCCAACAGAAAAGTAGCACATATAAGGTTTTCTTTTGCTATAGGTTTATGCAAAAGAGTTTGTTTAAATCAGCATAACGTTTGGAATGAAAATAGATTAATTTAAGAAAAGAACTGCTCATTATTATTATTATTATTTATTTAATATATTTTTAGGGCAAATTTTTGGCATTACCATTTATTTGACGTGACCACCCTATGATTCTATCTTCATTATAAGATTCGATTGGATGTGTCGAACTGTATGTATTTGGAATGTTTTCTAGAATCGTACATTCCTTTAAAAATTCCTTAATATGATATATGTTTTTTAATTAATTCAAAGTAAAATGAAGAAGTGCAGTATTTTGCACAACATGATCCTTGAAGATGAGTGTGATGACTCCCCGGATGACAAGTATGATGTGTCTGTAATGACGCATATGACACTCCTTTTCACTGTTGTCATTGCTTGTCCCAAGATGGTTCGATCATAAACAATCCATTGTCTGCTACGTGATGATCTTATCAAACACAGTTGGTCATGACAAGGAGAGCAAGGTTGAGTGTGTGTAGTTGTATGCATTTTGATGTCTTCAAATTGTACTTTGATTTGAAGTTATTTTATTGTGATATCTGTGTTTTTTTTAAAAAAAAAAATTGCTTGAAAGTTATCTAAAAAAATGAAATGACAATGTGTCAACTTTTGAGGTCAAAATAGTAAATTTGAAGGCAATTGATGGTCAAAACATTAAAATTTGGCACATTAATGTTTTGATCATCAAAGATTTTTAGTTTGTCATTTATACCAAATTGTGGCATTCCGATACCAAAAGACATAAAATTGGACTTTCCCTCATTGGCAATGGAGGACCAAGGAAAAATCAAAAGATACAAGAGGAAGATTAGTGGGTACTGTAGCAATGACTGTTATTCGCATAATGCATGTTAGATTGGAGTCAACCATTGGTTTGGTTGGTTCTCAGCATATACAGGTTTTTCTTGGTTGGTTCTCGGCATATACTGGTTATTCTTGTTTTGTACATTGCTAATAGACATTATGTTTTTTTATTACATTAGATGTACAACGTCAATCGCTATAGTCTGCATCTGTCACCTTTTCTTGCTTCAAGAATTAAAAGGGTTAATAGTAACTCAAAACAAATTGAGCTTTGTTAAATAATCCAATATTGTCATTCATAGAGCGGATAGTTGGAAAAATAACCGAATGGGAAGAGAGACAGTAGTGTAAGTGATAACTGATAACCCACCATCCTTTTATGCTAGGTGGTATTACACACTGTTGGCCTGAACCTTCAGCATTAAGGTCATTAGGTGAGTCTTTAGATGCATTTGAATGAAGGTTTTGGTGACAAACCCTTACAATTAAATATACTTGGAATACGGGTTCTTCCGTTGAATAGATCAAATAGTGTATCAAAGTTGAAGAGAGCAAATAGTTTATCAAAGTGAAACTCTCTTAATTATAGATACAGTATATAAGTGAAAACCAGATAAGAGTTGCTCCTAGCTTTGCTCAAAGCACCTTTAAAAGTCAAATTGAGAACCCGCTGGCAGAGGGAAGGTAAGGATTAATACCATGTATTATTAGGATACCAAAGCATCATATTTCGGAAAACACATGTTAAATCAAGCACAATGAATCACATTTTGTCCTTCACTTTTTGAAATTTAGATCAATTTGTGCTTTTTGACTAAAGGGGTGCACTGTGGTATACAATGACTTGCACAGTTATAAGAAGGGCAACGAGACGAAGGGATGATGAGATTTTGTTGGATGATCATCTTTTCTCTGTTGAAGTAAGACTTTTTCTGAACCTATTAAATTTATATGTAGTATGATGACATCACAGTGTGCGCGTGTTTACTATGCAATTCTGAAATTATGAACTTGGATGTGCAGGTGAAGCTTTGCAATGGAAAGCTGGTCCTTGTAGAAGCCTGCCGAAAAGGATTCTATAGCATCGGAAAGCAGCGGATCCTTTGTCACAACCTCGTTGATTTGCTTCGGCAACTAAGTAGAGCCTTTGATGATGTCAGTTTGCTTTTGCTAGACTTTCTGAATCTGAGTCCTTTATGTCACAGTTCTGCTCTTTTACTGCATATCTTAAATTTGTTTACTCGTTTTATGTTCCTGTTAGGTTGATGCTCATTGACCGCAATGAGTATTAAACATGGTTGTCTTCGGGTTCAGAAGCTGTTGAATTGAGCTGTCACTAACGTGTGTGAAATAAAATTAAATGTTGGCATTACAATTCCACTATCTAAATTTGTGGGGAAAAAGTTAAATGTGGTTAAGTTTGTGTAAGTTAACGGAATCAGCATCTGCAGCAGATCTCTGGTCATGTTTCAGTTATTTCATGGCAAAGCACGTTTGTTTCCACTAATATAAGCAATTATTCATTATGGGTCGGTCGACGTAGTTTCGGTTTTTCTTTCTTCTTGCTCTTGCAGAAGTTTTTTCTCATTTCAGTTCTCCATTTCAGGCTTATGATGATCTCATGAAAGCATTCTCAGATCGTAACAAGGTATGCAGTTTCTCCTGAATGTAAATGTCTATGCCTAACTTCTTTTTGGATCTTATTTTTTTTGAAATAGTTTCTAATATTGCCCCTTAATTTTTACACGGGATAGAATGCAATCTTTAAAGGTGTTAACTTTTCTTTGGGTCACACTGCAGTTCGGGAATCTCCCCTATGGCTTCAGAGCAAACACATGGCTCATCCCTCCGGTAGCTGCTCAGTTTCCATCAATTTTCCACCCTCCCCCTGTGGAGGATGAAACATGGGGAGGAAATGGAGGTGGTCTGGGAAGAGATGGCAAAAGTGATTTGCTACCTTGGGCCAATGAATTTTTGTTTCTTGCATCTATGCCTTGCAAAACTGCAGAGGAGAGGCAGATTCGAGATAGAAAAGCCTTCCTTCTTCACAGCCTATTTGTAGATGTTGCCATTTTTAGAGCCATATCAGCAGTGAGGCATGTTATGGGAAATCCAGAAATAATAAATTCAGCTGTAGAAAAGATTATTTATACAGAGAGATTAGGGGACTTGAGCATAGCTGTCATGAAAGATGCATCCAATGCGAGCTGCAAAGTAGAAACTAAGATTGATGGAACTTACGCAACTGGGGTGGATCAAAAGAACCTAGTCGAAAGAAACCTACTGAAAGGGATCACTGCCGATGAAAATACGGCTGCCCATGTAAGCAAATCTAAAGAAATTGGTTAATGAATGATAGTGATCCTATATTTAATTTATCTTCTTTTAAATTAAAATAGCTGAAATGGTTTATGCTTTATTGTTTGAAAATTTAAACAAGTGGTAAATTTTGGGTGCAGGACATGACCACTCTAGGTGTTGTGAACATAAGGTATTGTGGTTACATTGCTATTGTTAAAGTTGAGGGGAGAGAGAATAACAAAGAGGGGCCTCTGTTGCAAAGCCTTGAACTTCTTGATCAGTCCGATGGTGGTGCCAATGCCCTCAATATTAACAGGTTACTGCTGCAACTACAAAAAATATAGCTTGCATGTATAGGTGCATATAATTCTGTGGGTTTCTCATGTTGCTGTAAGAGGAGATATGGTACTCTGGTTGTCAAATTTTAAACATATTAGCCATGTTGAGAAACTCTACTTTGCTATGAAGTGGATTCTGTTGAAATTGAGCCAAGTGTCTGAATTCTGAAAATGTAGTTTGTCATGCGTACAATATGGTGATCCTTATTCATGGATAAAATTTAAAGCTATTTTGAACTTTAAATTAGGATTTTTTTACCTTATTCTTTGATCTTCAAGTTTTGAATGTGCTTTTTATGTCATCAAATACAATTTTATGATAGTAATTTTTAGGAGGAGGACGTGCCTTCGAACATCGGTTAGATTGTTCTAAGATTGGCAATTCTTGACATGATCTGCCAACTTGACATAGAATCAACATGAAGTCAGCAGGTATAAGTTTGGGCTTAACATGTTTGGGTCATAAACAAGTTGACTTGCGACTAAACATGGAGACAAACCCAACAATATATATAACTATAAAAGGGATTGAGTATGGGATGAGCCAAATTTGGAATTTGGACAGAAAACGACCCAGTAACAGTCCTAGGTTGTTCCATTGTGATTTGGATTTTGGACGTCATGGGTCTTAGTCACGAAAACAATCTTTCCGCACACAGGACCCTTGTACCTGAGACTGCCTTTTACCAACCACGGTCTTTTTTTTTTTTTTGGAAGAGAATTCTGATAAACTGAGTGAGTTTTAATATTTTTGTTAATTTCGAGCACATTCATGCTCGAAAAAAGAAAACGACTTTCTGAAAGACCCTTACCTTGAAATATTCCAAGGCCAAATTGGCTATCTGAATAATTTTTGCCATCTACTCATTCTATTAGTTCTCACTTCTCACCCTCAAAGTTGGAGACAAGAAAATCAATTGGGTAACTTTGTCGTTTACAATGGCGAAGTAGGATTCATGTAACTGACCCCGAAAATGTTGGAACAATGCTTTGTTGAATTGAGTTCAGTTTTTCTTTATCATTTACTCTGATGTAAGCTCACATTGCTTGTCATTTATTTCTAATGTACCATTTAATTTTTTTCTTCAATGGGTCATCCTGCCCTACCCTACTGATTCCTAATATTCCATCACAAAAAATGTTGGGGTCAAATAGATGATCTTTTTGTGTGTGGCTCATTTTTTGTTCCTTTATACTATTTTTCAATCATAGTTCATGTTCTTAATCTTAGCTTGTTTCTTGCAGTTTGAGATTGCTTCTTCATAAAAGAATTGCTTCAGAACAAAATAAAATACCATCGCATGACCAAGCTTGGGAACATGAAGATCTCAGTTCTTCCCGAGACTTCGTGGAGGCACTGTTGGAAGAGAGTCTTACAAAACTTCAGGAAGAGGAAATATCAGGGGACACATGTGTGAGGTGGGAACTTGGAGCTTGCTGGATACAGCATTTGCAAGATCAGAACAAAACAGATAAAGATAAGAAACTGCCCAGTGAGAAAGCTAAGAATGAGATGAAGATTGAGGGACTTGGGACACCTCTTAGATCCCTTCAGAAAAAGAAGAATTCGGATGGAGGTAGTATGGAGCTGCAGTCTGAGAATCTGAAGTCCCTTGCTGATGGTGAAGCAGAGAAAACTGTGTCACCTTCTGCAAAATCTCAGCCTGAGACAAAGGCCAATGAAAATGAGCTACCACTGAGGAGATTGCTATCTGATGGTGCTTTTACTCGGCTAAAAGAGTCAGAAACTGGACTTCATTGCAAGGTAGTATTAGCAGATATTCTTGGAGGTTATTCTGTTTTCTTGTCCTTATGGTATTGTTTGTACTAACCTATCACATATTATTGATAGTCGTTGCAAGAGCTAATTGATTTGTCTCAGAAATATTATGGTGAAGTTGCTCTTCCGAAACTGGTAATTTCAGAATATTGTACGTTTAATTTTCTGATTAATCCCCAAGTGTGTGTTGGTTCTGATTGCCTCTAGCATTTCATCCTGCAAAAAAGGTTGCAGATTTTGGTTCTTTGGAGCTCTCACCGGTTGATGGGCGAACTTTAACTGATTTCATGCATACTAGAGGTCTTCGGATGCGTTCTCTAGGGCAAGTTGTAAGTTCCATATGGTGATTCAGGCTTTTGATTCCCTAATATATGTTGCATTCATGTTTATTTACTCACTGCAACAAAAGCCAATCCTTTATCTGCCACTTCTTATTGGCTGGATATATAAAGCCCTTCCCCCATCAAGTTTCAACTCTGTATATGTTGGGCATTCATATTTCATTTTTGTTGTCTAAAATCAGAATTAAATGCAATTTGTTCTGATTAATGAGTATACTAGGTCATAATGGTCCACGTCCCTTTCCTTATGTATCATTGTGTTCTATACTAGGTGAACAAGTTACAATATTTTATTTTAGGTACTGATCACTTTTCAGAGACTACTACATTGGCTTCCATGTTTTCTAACATTTATTGAGATTCATAAAAAAGGGTGCCTTGGTTTCAACTTTTTCAAACATTCCCACGTTTAGCTTCGAATATATCCAATATTTGTACTGGTTCTGGTTGATATATGTTGCAAACCAAGATAGATAAGTAGAAATTAAAGCATGAAATGTCATCATATGTGGCATTCCTAAATTAATGTGTGCTATTTCTCTTCTTGATCAGGTCAAGCTTTCTGAAAAGTTATCACATGTGCAGTCTCTCTGCATTCATGAGATGATAGTACGAGCTTTTAAGCACATTTTGCAGGCAGTGATTGCTGCTGTTGTTAATACTGAGGAAATGGCTATGGTCATTGCTGCTGCATTAAATCTGATGCTGGGGGTTCCTGAAAAAGAGCAAGTAAATCAGTTTGGTAGTGTACATCTCCTTGTATGGAAATGGCTGGAGGTATTTTTAAAGAAGCGATATGAATGGGATCTTAGCAGCTCAAACTACATAGATGTGAGGAAGTTTGCAATTCTTCGTGGGTTATGCCATAAGGTACTTACCATTTTATGACTTCCTGAATTTCATGAATCTCTCTCTCTCTCTCTCTCTCTCTCTCTCGGGGGTGGTAGCCAGTGGGGCTAAGTAACAAGTGCTTTTAGAGCATGGAAAAGGCAAGGATACAATGATGCAGAAATATGACAAGTACTTTGAGCTTCAGGACACCAGAGAATTCACTGTGCAAACACCAGAAAAGATAATCCAATAATCTTAATTATCCATAGTGACGGCTAAGGAAGCTCCTGAGGGTAGAAGTGGCCTCTGACTAACATCAAGGTGGAAGATCCCTTCTTACCCACGAAGTTAACTTTCCCATTTACCTTAGATTCCAATGCAATGAGAATATCCAAGAGAGAAATGAAGTGACCATATGCCCAGAACCCGAGGACCAAGGTCAATCCAGCACACAACCACTCTGAGTATGCTCTCAATGAGATAGTACCTAAGGCGTTAGAGTTGCTTTCCCAAGATCTTCCATGAAAGGTAAATTCGTGTGGACAACTATTCATGAATGTTTGAAGAATGCTAAAACCATGAAAGAAGGGCAACAGATGGTTGTATACACACTTAGGATGAAGTTGGAAGCTACCAGTATTCTGCATAATCTAACAGAATCTTCAAATGAAGAATAACTGTAAATGCAATGGCTATGTCTGTCCAATCTAATTCTCTCTGGGAGGTAGATCTCTTTGTCTATTTTGATATAATGGTGGTTGCCTTTTTAAGAATACATCATGTGATATGACATGTGGAATATTGGGAGGCCCATTATTATACTTGATTGCATGGTCCATGCATCTAAAAGCAACGAGTTCTTTGTGATGGGTGATGAAATATACACACAAACACAAAACATGGCGGGAGATAGAAGTCCAAATCCACACACAACACAACCAAAGGGGTACCAAAAGCAATAAGTTCTCCTGTTGATTTCCTCCGTTTATAAATGCATATAGAATGGATTTTTTTTTTGATTAAATTAAAATTACTGTACGGAAAATTTTTATTTCCTTTTGAAAATTTTGAGTGATTGTTATAATGCCTAGATCATTGGTCCTGAAATAGCTTATGGGAAATTAACATTGAGAAATCTGCCTTCGTATGTTTTAGGTGGGTATTGAACTGGTTCCCAGAGACTTTGACATGAACTCTCCAAACCCTTTTCAGAAAGAAGACTTCGTCAGCCTAATACCGGTGCATAAGGTGATGAAGCACATCATGTTATTTGGAGGAATAATGACAACACATGAAACATTTTATTTCATCTTGTTTCAAATGTGATTGAATTGGTCCATGCGTTGTAAATATTTGCATATTATGGTTCTTTGCAGCAAGCAGCATGCTCCTCTGCAGATGGACGACAACTCTTGGAATCATCAAAAACGGCCCTAGACAAGGGAAAACTTGAAGATGCAGTGAGCTATGGAACAAAGGTAGTTGTTATCCATAGCAGTAGAGTTGTTTTTTCGTCTGCAAAAAATAGTAATTAAATAACCCTATTTTTACTGAGGCCTATGTTGACCAGAGACCAGATCAATGTTGCCATGCATACTGACTCTTTGTGCTTTTAATTTTTGCAATGTCATTTAGGTTGATCAATAAATTGTTATATGAAGGCCTAGAAAACTAACTTGTTAAATGGTTGTTCTCCTTTGGTGATTCCAGGCTCTTGCAAAGCTGGTAGCAGTTTGTGGTCCCTATCATCGAATGACAGCTGGAGCTTATAGCCTTCTTGCTGTAGTTTTGTATCACACAGGGGATTTCAATCAGGTTTAAAGCTTACCTCCAGCTTATCATATCAAACCTTTTCTAGATATTGTAGGCACCAGATTTGCTCTTTATGCTCTGGTTTCCTGCTTGTTTGCCCTAACTTCAAAAAGCCTATTTTTATGCATGCTTTCAATAAATAAGTGAATTTAAGTATTCCCAAATGCAGGCCACTATTTATCAGCAAAAAGCATTGGACATAAATGAGAGAGAATTAGGACTTGATCATCCAGATACCATGAAGAGTTATGGGGATCTTGCTGTGTTCTATTACAGACTTCAACATACTGAGCTGGCTCTCAAGTATGTTTGTTTTTTTAGTAGCGTTGTTTACAAATCTACATGATTTATTCATGGATATTTCAATGTTTGTTCATTTGATACCCCAGCATTATGTCCTAGAATCCTTGTTTGTGCTTCTAAGCATCAGGTTCCATGTTTACTTCTCATTGATGTTACAAAGATCTATTGAAACAGTAGGAAAAATTGTTGTGACAACGAATATTTAGAGTATGAAGATTTGCCTTCAGTTTATCAGCTTTTGGGTCCACAACATGTATCATCATACACCTTTTTAAATTCCATGCGCCAAAAACAAAATTTTTTAGTTCATTCCCCTCTTACCAAGTAAAATTCTACTGTTTCAAGGCATTCTCTCTCTCTCTCTCTCTCTCTCTCTGATCCCAAGTATCACTAAACAAACACAAGGTTGATGCTTCAACTTTAATATTGTAAACCTAAGCGCAAGTTGAGCGAAATAATATAATTCTCGAAAGACCAAGGTCGAACCCTCGATGAATTGTAACAAGAAAGTAATCACACAAATACTTAAACAAATTTAAAAATAAATTATTGTTTAGGGAATTGTTGAGTGGAGAAAATTGATTTAAATAATTAAAACAGTAATATAAAAAATACTAGAGTATCAGGTACTCCTTTTCAATTCTATACAATAATGATTAAAGACTCAAATCTTAACTTGAGACAAGAATCAAATGTCGGTTGATTCGAGTAACAAATCAAGTAAGAAAATTAAAAGTTATAATCAAAAGATTATTCAGGAACCTGAATAATCATCCAATTATATTATTTTATGAAATAATGATAATTACCTCAAGCGTGGAATAAGTAGTTATTTACTTGAAAGGAAATTCAAGCAATCGATGTACATGGCACAACGACTCAAGAATTTGTACAGGGTAAAAACTTTGCTAAAAAATCAGAAGTTCAATTAACAAAACATCATAAATCATTAAGCACAAAGTCAATAACAGTACTGTATTTCATTGAGAGGTTCTGCCCTAGCCCTAGCCCTAGTTTAACCTTTTAGCCGGCCATGACGAACTAAAATCAAAATAAAAAGAAGGGAAAAGAATAATCATAATCTCTCAATGAGAACCCTCTTTGTACTAACAATAAATCCTGAATATAGGTAGAAGATATAAGGTTGGCATGGAAGGAATTCCTTTCCAAAAAGAAGTCTTGTAAGGTTAAATTTTGTGCATAAAATATTTGGGCCGCGGGTACAAAATTTGTCCAGACTTCGAGCTTCAATTTTATATATTTAGAGGTTGAATTACAAAAATTTCGTGAAATAAACTTTTGTAGCTCTTGAAGTCTTTTTTCTAACCCCCCAAAAATTAAGTAAATCGAATATCAGAGGCAAAAGTTTTGATGAAAATATTGAAACCTTGTCAAATCCTTATCTTTTAAGATACTTTTCTAATCCAACTCTAAATGAGTTTTCTTCCAACTTAGACTCTTATAAGGATTAAGGTAGCATTTGGTAAACGCGTGTTTTCGTTTTTTTTTTTTTTTTTTCGTTTTATGGCTAAAAAAAAAATAAAAACATGTTTGGTGAATGTTTTTATTTTTTTTTTAATTGTTCTGTTTTAAAAACAAGCCTAAAATATAAAAACATCCAAAAGGATGTTTTTGAAAACATCAAAAAAAAAAACACGTGAGAGTCATTTAATGAGGTCTGGGCTTCAATCCTCTTTAGCAACAAAATATGAATTTTTTTCTTGAGCATATAAAGGGCCATACCTTTTCACCTCTCATATCTCCGTTCTCTCTCTCTGCGAAAGATGAAGCCGAAGCCACACGAAGACGAAGAGAAGCCAAAGCAGAAGGATCAAACGCCATCTCCCCCCTCTCCCCCTGTCGCTCTCGCTCAAAGGAATTAGGGGTGGGGTTTTCGGGGATTGGGGGTGGGGTTGGGTGGCTGGTTTTCCAGGATTAGGGGTGGGTTGTTGGGTGGCTGGTTTTCGGTGGTGATGGGTAGCTAGTGATTGGCTATTGGTGGTTGGTGGAGGTGTTGGGTGGTGAATTTTTGGGTAATACCAAATATATTTTTTATTTTTGTTTTTATAATTTTTTAAATATAAATGTCTATCAAATATGTTTTATATTTTTAATTTTTATCACAGCAAAAACAAAAATTTGTTTTGTTTTTTTTATAAAAAAACATAAAAACAAAAACGTTACCAAACGCACCCTAAATTGCTGCCATATTTTCAAGTCTTCCTATTTTAATTTTGACTCTTCAATTCTTATCAATTGTGATTCTTTCTCTAATGATTGCTTCATTTGCATTATCCATAATTACTTTAAATCAACCAATTTACCTGCAAAATAAACCAAACAATTAGAAAAAGTATCAAACTAAAAATCAAGGAATTTAACACATTTAATCCCAAATAATATGAAATTAACCAATCATTAAATATAATAAAATAGTTATTTTGATGGTTAATCAGTTGACATGATTGAGAATTTTGCTTGCTCCAGGGTGGGGCAGGGAGGGAGAGGGATTGTTTCTCGGATAAACCCAAAATACCCAAAAGGGTTCACTTGATTGTTTTGATCCCCTTGATGTTGGCAATTTTCTCCTGGCTGTAGGTTCTTATTTGTGCCAACAAAAAGAGAGGGTATGTGTACCATCAACTTCAAGAATATTTTAGTTATCTTTGGTTCTCTAGGAACTTCAAGTTAACATGTTAAACTCAATTAGCTTTCTGGATAATTGGTAATCAACTTAACCATGCTAACCAATTTAACCGCATGCTTTTGACTTGTAAAGCTCGAAGAATAAGAATATGTTGCATTTTTCAATTTATTTTGATGAATATGAAGTCCTGTCTAATCTGGATTTTTACCAATACTTATTGTGACCTTTTGTCATGGCATGTCCAGGACCATAAGGTAGTCTTGACTTCTACATTTAGTTAGTTTTCCTGTTGCAAATGTTGTCCTTTTTTGTGCTTTAGTTGTTTCTTTTTTTTTAAACTTACGCTCTTAGTAAAAATTTAGCTTTGGCTTTGTTCAGATATGTAAAGCGTGCTTTGTATCTGTTACATCTTACGTGTGGCCAATCACATCCAAACACTGCAGCAACATACATCAATGTGGCCATGATGGAGGAAGGCCTGGGAAATGTGCATGTTGCCCTCAGATACCTCCATAAAGCTCTGAAGTGTAACCAAAAGTTACTTGGCCCAGACCACATTCAGGTTCCTTTCTCTTTTAGTCGAGTGTCTTCTTCTCTTTTTATTTTTCTCTTCTTTTTTTTTCCCTCTGATATTTATGTTGGCATGTAATATTCTCTCATTATTTTCATTTTGATGCCAGTAAGAGGCATCAAAGATTCAAAATAGGGTCCTCCTTGCCTAATTTTTCAAATAGAACTATCTTTCAGCTTAGGTCAGTGTACCATAATACAATATGAGAGGGATGACTCTTTAATCATTACTGTAATGTGACAACTTAGTTTCAAATGGAAGACGGGTTCCCTTTCAACCGTCTAAGCATGGAAAACCTGTTTTCTGTTTGTCCTTAACATTTAGGAACCTGGCAGCAGTTAGACATGGTAGAGCCTAATATCATGTTTTCCCCCTTGGCTTGCTTCCAAATTGTAATGGTAAACCCCCCTAAAGACAATCAAAATTTTCACTTTGCAATATGATAATTATTGATGTTTTTCCTCTTGAAAAGGAATATGAAGACAACCTCCCAGTCCTCACACATTAGAATTATGTTCCTGATAAGACATTTCAAACTGCAACTAGCTAGTATTTTGGCAATTTATTGCAAGTAGTCATTGCCATTATATCAGTGAAGTTGGACTTGGAATAGAGACTGTTTTATTAGAAATTAGTTGTATGGAATGATGTAATTATCCTCAAAGTGTTGCTGACATACTTATGTTATTATTCCGAAAAAGCAATTTTTCAAAATATAGTTTGAATAACGGTAGCAGACTTCTTAGCGAGGGGTTTTGGGCGGATGGTTGCCTGACAGACTGATGGGCAATATGGCAGCAGACATCCACTATTGTTTGCAAGGAAAATCTCTGCAGTTAGTTTGCAGTTCATATGTCTAATTCGTATTATGGCGGGTTTGCCTAGAAATGTGGCGTTGTAGTGGGCAACTGTTAAGCTGCAGAAACTTCGTTATGCTTGTTGGACATGGTTTTAAAACAGTTGTGTTAGAGTATCTATGTACACTCTTGAAAATTCCAAAATTTTGAAAAATTGTTGCTAATACGTTTGAGAACTAAGTTCCTCATCCTTTTAATGTTTTCCAGACTGCTGCAAGTTACCATGCTATAGCAATTGCACTCTCATTGATGGAAGCTTATCCTTTGAGTGTTCAGCATGAGCAAACAACGTTGCAAATTCTCAGAGCAAAGCTCGGTGCAGATGACCTACGTACGCAGGTATATATCCTTTTTTGCTGGTTCCAGCAAGATTACAACATTTATTGTGCAGGTTTCTCCACTTTAAACTTCTTCATGTTACTAGTGACCGAGATGATATATCACATGTGGATCATGACAACCTAATGACACCAGCTATGGGGAAACATCGAATTTTTGTGTGTAACACATAAATATCTTGATTACATTAGGGAAGACATTAGTTTATTGAATTGCATATAAGAGGCATCCCTTAGTTTTTTAGCCTGCGTCCCTTCAAGTGAATGCCCTGAATCAACTAGTTAGCCACTTGCTGCTACAGAGGCATTCTGTGGAACAATTTGAATGTTTTGGGTTCAATTGGGTTTTAATTTTATTGTACCCAAGATTTACTGACCCAAAGTGGTTGTCACCTTTGAAACTGAATGCTGCAGGATGCTGCTGCTTGGCTTGAGTACTTCGAGTCCAAGGCTTTTGAGCAGCAAGAAGCAGCAAGAAATGGGACTCGGAAGCCTGATGCGTCTATAGCCAGCAAAGGCCACCTGAGGTATAGTTTACCAACAATATTTTTATGTATCTGATCATAGTTACGAGTTTAGTAACATGCAGTTTTTATGGGCCCCACCCTTCTTTGAGCATGATTCGATGATGGGTTGGGTGGAGAGGATCAAGTACAGGGGAATGGGGCTATTAATTTGTTTTCCATCCATTCTTTAGGTTGAATGTATGTTTTTAGGCCTTTTTACTTTGTTGACCCTCAAGGGCAAACATGTTCCCTTTGTATTCTATCCCTGCAATCTGAACACACTTTGGTTTCTCATTTTTTAAAAAATAACACCCAGTATTAATGGGGGGCTGGAGGGACAGATTGGGGTTGGGATTCAAATCTAATATACTCCGATGTGACCTATTGCTAATTGTTCAATTTCTTTTATATTTTGGTTGATTTAAGGAATATTACAAAATTAAGAAACCAACATGTATATGATATCAGAAGTCTATTTGGTTCAACTTAGTGTGAAACTAAGGACATTACATGTTTAAAGGTGAGATTGCTACTTGCATGACGTAGGAAGTGTTAAGAGAGCTTGTTTCCCACATCGAATAATAATTAAGACCACTAAGGTTGGTTTATATACTTGAGGGGCCACTCAACCCATTGCCAATAGGTTTTAGGTTGGATGCTCTAACAGTAAGGACTGTGGACACAAAATCAGTACCCCGTTCCCAGGGCGAATATCTTATGATCAACGAATGATTGCATCCATTTATTGTATCTTCTTATAACTAAGAATTTTGTGGATTTGAAATAGTAACATAGTTTTTACTAAATTTTACTTGGCAGTGTGTCTGATTTGCTTGATTACATAAATCCAAGTCCTGATGCTAAAGGGAAAGAGACTTTGGGAGTAAACAGAAAAAATTACAGTGTGAAGGTATGTTTTATTCTGTTTCTTCTGTTTGGTTTGTTTTTAACTCAGTATTGGACTGAGGTATATTATTATATATAAAAAGGTAAATTACCAGAATCGGATGTATCCCTTATTCTCTTTCAGAGAAGATTAATGATGATGAAGAGTTTGTTTATCTTCATTATCTGTTGAAATTTCTTAAATGCATCATTCCTGTCCATAAGATCTAGGGGGTAAACTTAATCCATCTTTTCTTTTCACTAATATAGTCATGTGAATAGGATTAATTTGTTATTGTTGGCTTGTTTGTTATTCTCCCAAGTGTTTAGCTGCGCTGTAGTGTTGGCAGCCTATTCTCCTGGCCATTTGCCAAGAGACAGTAAAGAAAGCTTGGTGAAGTAACTAAATTTTCAGGAGGCGATCCACCAATCATCCTCTACTAATTTCACTGAAAAATCTGAAGGTCCACAAGTAAAGCCTTCATACAAGCTTTTCAGTGGCCTGAATTATTAAGGCCCCAAACCAGATGTCAAAGTTATGGCCTTTCCATCCTGTGACATGGTTGAACGATGGTAGCTTGTGAAGAATTGGGGTACACAGAGTAGAATTCAAGTGTGTGAGGGAAATTTTCCAAGGGGAAACATGTCTCTAGTAAAGGGGCACCTGTTTTTAAAAATGAAAGAATCCTGCCATAATACTAAAGAAAATAGAGAAAATTATATTCCATAAAGATACATCTTTTTGATGATAGCTGAGCTTGTCCCACATTGGTACAATAACACTTCGTAAATTAGTGTATGAGCCTTGTGAGTCTTTCCATTGATTGCCAATTGATTTGAATTGGATGCTTTACCATAGTATCGGAGTTGGGTTTTGGGATGCTTTGGGCTAGGCACTTTGTTTTAATTTCGTTGGTGTGGTATTGGATTCCCCTATTTTTGCACTATAAGTGCACCATGATATGTCTCTAATTATGTGTTCTACTTTGTCTGTCAAACTCTTCACATGTCATTGGGGGCGGAGGGTGTTAGAGTTTGCATCACATTGGAACAAAACACTCCCTCTCCACTCATTGCCAAGTGGATTTGAGTTGCATACTTCAAAATTTGCTATCATGTTTTGGATACAAGTCTTCTTTTGTAGACAGACAAAATAATAAGTCTTTTGTTGTAGATCAGATGCATATGACATATTTCCTAAACTCTTAGCTGTAAAACAAAACCGTTTTGGCTGACATGGAATTGATATCCGATATAAATGTATTCTCTCTTTGAAGCCCTTCAGCTCAAAGAGGGATGCTGTTTCAAAGGAAAAAAAGAGACATTCGACTTATAAGAGAAGAGACCAAAACTCTGCTGTGAAGGCATGGGACTAAAGGAAAGATAAAAAAGACTCGTTAATGTCATCATGAATGGCCTGGTATGTAAGGAAAATGGGTTTAGTTTTCTTTATTATCATCATGGCCAAGAGGGCCTAAAGAAGAAAGGTAAGAACCATTTTTAATTTTATAAGTTGTTTTCAGACCACAAAGAGTTGTCTTTAGCGATAGAACTACATGTATGCATAGTTATCAAATCGAGATTCGTACGGAAAATCGAAATCTTAAATTTGAGAATTGGGAATCGTAAGATTCGACATAAAAATTGAACAATAATAAAAAATAATATGTACATATTTAAAATATGTGAGATATTAAATATTGAACATTATTGTATTTTAAAAATAATCAAATTGTTAGGATTGACATTGTCACGTCGTCTAAATAGAAAGATGTTAGTCTTTATAAAACTTTATAAAACTACACTTGAGTTTGTACCTCTATTACTTAATTCTTAATGCATAATAAATTGTTTCCTCAAAATGACTACGATGAAAGATGCATAATTTTTAATCAACAAATAGCTATTGTACCAATGAAATTAAACTAAAATAGGAAAAGTTCATACTGATTCGAACATGTAAACTTAGAAAATAACTTCCCACATTTGATCAAAATTAAATTTTTGATGAAAAATAAAAAATGGAGCATTTATTGAAAAATAAGTAGAAGTAGGGTATGTTAGGGTTTGGTAACTGTGTTTGAAGAAGAAGCATACCTGGAGTGAAGGAGACTTCGTTTTTGTGGGGATGTTCATAGACACTTGAACAAGAGATACAAAGGGAGACACAAGTTTTATATTTGGCAGTGGGCCTCTTATAGCAAAACGACGTCGTTTTAAAAATAGGGTTGAAAAAATAATAAAACTAATTGTGTAATTCCTTCTATTCAAATTCAATCGTGCGATTCTTGACCAAAAACGATTCTATAGTAAGATACGAATCGATTGTGGACTAAATCGAATCGAATCGCGAATCGTACGATTTTGGTAATTATGCATGTATGTAAATGAAAATATCTGAATCTTTTGCATAGCATTACCAAACAAATGCAGTCTTTAGTGTGAACTTGAGGTCCTAATCCCTTACTTTCCTCCTTTTCTTTCCCAAAGTGCTTTGTGTAGGAAGTTGGTGTCTTTACTTCTCACACTTTTGCTGCCACAAATTATTTAGTGTGGAGATTCGGTTTGCATGGCAAACCATGACACTTGAGGCTTGTGCTTCATGCATCTGGATATTTTAATGCATTCTTCTCCCTGAACCTTTCAGAAAGTTTGAGCCTAGGCTTGTTATGAGGTATTCTTTGGATTCTGGTAGTAAATTCCATTTAAAGTTGAGTTGTGATAGAAACTATACTGAATTGGTGGAGCCTGAGTCAGTGGCGTTCAACTTTGCAAGTTTAGACTTATTTGTTTATTCAGAGTCAAGTTTGGTTGTTTCTTTTGGCTTTCCCTCTGGAGATTGACCTCTTTTCTATGTTTTTCATATTTAGAGATATACAGCTCTTCCCTAAGAAATAGGGAGCCTTTCAACAGCCTTACCTGATGAAGGGCATGCATCTCTTTTGAACCTCAAATGTCCCTTAAATGTATTCACCACTATGTTCTTTGTTAAGATAAAGCTGTATCATTTTTTATATTTTTCAGGTTAAGGGAAAATCTTACCAAGACTTTACCTTGTCGAGCACCGAGGGATTTCCAAAAGACATCCTGAAAGAGGTTTCAGGTGAAAAGAAACAAATTCCAGAACCCGGAGATAAAGCAAATGTGAATTGCAAAAAAACTGTTCCAGTTAATTCTGATCAACCTGTGAATAAAGAAACTTTGGAGGAAAAACCAGTTCAGCCCCGTCAGCCTGTGCTGGAGGAAACGGTAGTTCAAAATCCACTCCTTGCTAATGATGTCTTACCTGAAACATATGCTGAAGGCGAAGATGGATGGCAACCAGTTCAAAGACCAAGATCAGCTGGCTTGCATGGGCGAGGATTAAGGCAGCGCCGGACAACTATTAGCAAGGTCCACAGTTACCCGAAAAAGGATGTGGTTTCTGAATTGGATCGTTCTAGGGTGAAGAGTAACTATCAAAATACTAGGTATTACAGGTTAAAGAAAAGGACAATGTCTCCAGGAAACTATGCAGATTACCACATAGCAAAGAATCCCTCCTCGGTTACCAAATTTGGGCGAAGAATAGTCAAAGCTGTAACTTACAGAGTTAAATCTGTATCATCTTCTGCCAAAGATGCTGTGGCAGAGCCTTCTAGAAATGGGGATGAGTTACTAATTTCTTCATTGGAACCTAGGCCAGTTTCTGCACCAAAAGAAGCTGGACCAATATCAAGGCAAAGTCCAATAGTTTGCCTTGGAAAATCTCCTTCTTACAAGGAAGTAGCTCTGGCCCCACCAGGTAGTATGTCTTCGTTGCATGTTAGGGCATCCCAAAATGATATATCTGATAAGAAGGAACTTTGTGTAGGACAACAGGGAGAGGAAAATGATGGAACAAAAGAGAATGCCGTGTCCATGAAATCAGAGGTGAAAAATACAGAGGAAGAAAACATCGAGAATTTAGATGTGGGTTCCACAGATTGTTTGAAAGATGAAAGTGAAGCTGTTAACGGTAAAGAAGAAGCTCATTCAGATAGTGTGACAGGGGATACACAATCTATGATTGTATCTGCGAGTGTTCAAACAGTTAAATCTAGCTGCGGGGAGGTTAATCAAGAGAAACAGGAAAGCATTGAAACTGATAATTTGCCTAGTGCAACTGATTCTCTTCAAGTGGATCTCTGTGAGAAGGATTCATCTTGCGGTTCTGAACCTGATGATAGTTCAAATACTACATTACAAGGAGTAAAATATTTGACAGAAAACCACCCAGTTTCGAATTCAAGTGATGCTCAAGAATTCCCCAACAAGAAGTTGTCTGCGTCGGCAACTCCATTCAACCCATCTCCAGCTGCTACACGTGTATCGCCTGTAACCATGAATATTACTCTCCCTTCTGGTCCTGGTTGGCCTATGAATATGACTCTTCACCCAATGTGCTCCCCTACTCACCACCCGTACCCATCGCCTCCACCAACCCCAAACATGATACACACCTTGCCATTTGTGTACCCTCCATATACTCAACCCCAACAGATACCATCCAGTGCCTTTCCTGTAACTAGCGGCCCCTTTCGTCCCAATCATTTTTCTTGGCAAGGCAATAGGAACTGTTATGCATCAGATTACATTCCTGGCACAATTTGGCCTGGCTGCCACCCAGCGGAGTTCTCACTCTCACCACCTGCGGTTGAACCAATTGCTGATCCCATTTTTAACCTAAAGGAGCAATCTACTAATTCCGAAAGCCTGAGTCTGGCTCCAAATTTACCGGCGGACAGTAACAATTTGGACGAAGCTAAGAAAGAAGTCAATCTTCCAACATCAGAAGCGATGAAGACCTCGACCGAAATGATTCAGATTCAATCAGAAAATGTGAACAAAAATAGCGAGTCAAATTTGCTTTGTGTTCTATGTTCTGAAAGTCAACAAAATTACAGTAATGATCATCCTAAAGATGCTGGAAGCAGTGGTGATAATTATGTGCCAAGACACCCTTGGAAGACAGATAGTGAGAAAACTTTCAACATTTTGATAAGGGGGAGAAGAAACCGAAAGCAGACTCTGAGAATGCCTATGAGTTTACTCAGAAAACCATATGGTTCACAATATTTCAAAGTTGTATATAGCAGAGTGATCAAAGGGAGTGAAGCTTGCAAGTCTACCAGCTTTTCTTCTGATGACACTTGTACAGCTAGTGCTACCTAAGGCAAAAATTTTGGGGCTCTTACAAGTTCAGTTTAGCTGGATGGTTGAGAAGTGGAATGTATGTTCCTTTGTTTCATTATATTTTAAGGGGAAAGGACATCTTGGATTTTTCAGTTTCCATGATTATGAAGTTCCTTGGATTTCAAATACATCACGCCATGAAAATTTGAAGGTTAGTTCCCATGGTCAAAGTTTATCACTTCACAATCTTAGTTATTATGAGATCGTGTTCTAATATTGAGGAAACATGCCCTTGTTCGAAAATTTACTGTCTTGTTATGCATGTTAGATTGTCATTTTCAACCCGCCGGGGATTGTATGGAATCAAACTGCGTAGGAATTTCCAAGGTAATGTCAACAATGAGATGGTATTGTAACCATGTAATTTGGTTGCAGATACTATGACTTCTCAGGCTATTATGACAACACTGAGAGAGCAATACGCAGTTGCCCTTTGTCTTATGGGTCTCCTTCCCGACATGATACTGCTGTAGGATTAATTCTATTATTAAGAAAACATTCGAACTAACAAGTCATTATGATATTTGGTACTTGAGATAATTCTCAAGAAGGGAATACCAGGTTTTGATTTGTTTGTCCCAAAGTGATTTTCCATACTTTTATTAATATGTTCACCAAGTGAATACAATTGGAATACGTGGAATATATGGTTTGGTTTCAATATGATATTAATCAGACAATGCCTGCAATAACCCTTTTCTGTATTGCTGAATCACGTAGCAATGTTTTAGACACAAAATCTGGCAGGTTAACTTTTTTTCTTCTGTCCATTTATACTGACTTAATTGTTTGTCAACTTCAAGGGCTTACCTTTGGTAACCTTGAACTTATCAAACTCAATGTGGATTAATGTATTGTATTTGTCAGATGGATTCTATTCCTATGCTTGAATGCTCTCTCTCCCTTTTTGGCCCTTTGACAATCTCTTTACTGGAATTGTGAGTGGGCAAAACCATAATAAAACCATAACATTAGTTTAATTTAGGAGTCGCATTATGTGATCTTTGGCTGCTAAACATTAACCAACATTTTTCTGCTTCTTGTACAAACTTTTACCTTTTTCATGAATTACTTTGTATTTGGCAACTGTATTCTTTTTTTTCCCTGTCAATTTCTTATAAGTGAAAGATCCTGTTAATTGGGATTCTAATAGATGTTGGACTTATAATGTATGGATTTGAATATTTAAGTCAGATAAACCCAGTGCTTACTCCAATATAACTCCTGCATATTTCTTTATTTTTTTAGCAGTATGTACATATGTGCATATTATATCAGCTCCTATTCAACAATAAACTTCTTTTTCAATATTGTTTTTCTCTGAACTTTTGAGTCTTAAGCCTTACATTGAATTATTTCGAATATCAATTTTTGGTATCAATGCTTTGTTGGAATGAGTTGAATAGAGTCTTAAGGTTCTGGTTTGTTAATAGGGCGACATTGCCCTTATTAATTCAGTGGTAACCGAATTTGGACAACCTTCAAGATATGTTCAGTTGTGTCATATAAGGACCTAATCTGAGAAGCTTCTATTTTTATCATGGGCTAATCAAGTGGTTTTATTGATGTGCAGGTTTGTGGCAGGAAATTCACTTTTGGGATTCGAGAGGTCTTTTTAGACGTTGAGTTTCACACTTCGGTTAGAAATTTGTTTCTTTTTGGGTTCACGAAAATAGAAGACTATCAGTTTTTTGTTTTCAATAGCAATGACTTGGATATTTATTTGATTTGAAGTGTACATGACATCAATTATATTTTTCTTCACTAGCTATTGACGACTAAGGTAGACTTACAAGGTTTCCCATGCAAAAATGTAGGTGGAGCAGATGACATCAATTTTTGTGAAATTTCCAATATCTTTTTATATTTTCCTAGCAGACTTCCATTTGAAGGGCTTATTCAGTAGATACATATATCAACCTGTTTTCAAAACTATCCGTTAATGATTCAGATTTCTCCCTTTTCTTGATTCAAATGTCCTCTTGTGCTTGAATGTCTTGCTGCTTTCTAAGGTTGTATTTTTTCTTGATGCAAAAATGCCCTTTTGTGCTTGAAGGTCAAATTCTTAAATAAAAATAACCCTTTAAGGTTTAAAACTTAAAGATCATGATCTGGTTACTTCTCTATCTTCTTTAACAGTGTGATGACGATGTTGATAGATATCTACTCTGTAGAAATTGGGGCATAAATAGCTTGTTTACTTTGCCTATTTCAGAAAAACGAAAGGCGAATCCTTTCCTATAAGTCTCTCAATTAGGAGAAGGGGGGGGGGGGGGGGGGGGGGTTAATGTGAAGGTCTTCTATATATGCCTCTTGAATGAGCCAGATTAAGACACCCCATTAAGCCTGACCATCTACACCAAAAAAAAACCCATGTTTCAGGACCGAAACATTAAACCAAGGTACAATAGCATATTCCAAACCATGGGTACAATATTGTGCTATACCTATTTCTTAGCTACTAAGTAGTGAGAAAAAAAGGGCAAAAACATTGGTAGCCGCTTCTGAATTATGCTAACAAAATAATATTCACAACAACAACAACAACAACAAATAGAGATTTGAAGAATAAAAAATTGTAAAGAACCAAGTATATATGAGGGAATTATGTTTTCTCCTCTGTACAGAAAGAGAGGGATGGATGGAGTTTCGTGGGAAGAAATCTCCACTTGCGGTGTAGGAGGAAGTTCCAGACCATTTCCCATGCAAGTTACCTCATAATGCACTTGAAGCGACATAACCTACTAAAAATGAACATTGTAAGGCCAACCTGAATCTCCTATCACCACCAGAAATATTCTCTTAGATGCAAATTCCATAACCATTCATCATCCTGTTTCAAAAAAGTAGTTGGAAAATAAGAAATTTCGGCGTAGTGTAGTGTTTTGTAGATAGAGACGTATTGTAAAGCAAGAACTTTACTTTGTATGCAGAGAGAGACGTACTTTCAGAATGAAATATAGCTCACTATAGGGTATTCATTTGGAAGGTTGAAGGGGGAATTTTTTTCCCGGACTTTCCTAGAATCAACAGTGCCTCTAGAACAATTGATGTGAGCAGTATGGTTCCAAGGATAAATCCGTAACCTATTTTCCATTCACTCCCTGCTCCGCCAATATGGATCCCCAAAACTATATTGACAGCTCCGAAGAAAAGTGCAATCCTTCCAAACCAACTGTGGTACCAATTCCAATACCTGCGGATCTTGCTATCCTTACTTGGTCGTAGAAAGAATGCCAAGATCTGATTGTAAATTTAACAAGAAGTTTATCATTTTTTGTAACATATTGAATGCTATGTCATCAAACAATCACAACATAAGATTTTGAAGGAAAAAGTATCACCAAGTGAGAAGACCCTCAGCAAGAAACTACCCTCATTTCATAGTGTCCGTTCTGTACCTTCTCCCATTGATAGCCAATTATACCATTATACAGATTAACTAGTTTCAAATCTTCAGCCTGATGACATGTACGCTTTTCTCAAAGAAATAAGGGAGTGGAAGACATGTTGTACAGTGAACACTAAACAAGTGGAATATAGATCTACCCTGCTCCTTCTTCTTTGACCACTATAGGATGGCTTACAAATTGATTAAGCGCAACAATGCAAATAAACGAATATGATGCAGAGGTTTCATACAAACCTGGAGGATACTTAGCACAAGAACAGTTATTCCGATTCCTCTGTGTGCTGGTACATTGGCATGCAGTGTCTTATACAATGACACTCCAACAACCACAGCAGCAAGCCCCAACAAAAATCCCACAAATTGAATGCCTACGTGAAGATAATACCACAAGGGATCCCGATGCCTCAAGTGTCTCGCAACAATTGCTCCACAAGGAAGAATCAGACCCCATCCAAGTAGGCCCAATGTCCCATGGGTCTGTTTTACATGATTAAAATTATTTACAACAGCTGCAGAATTTGCTGATTTACCTGAGAAAAAACAGATTACTTACTTCAGCTGTACTGACCATGCCAACACCTTAACAAAGACGTTGGTAGAGAGAAAAGATAGAGAACCAACATAGACGTTGGCTGCTGAGCTTGGTGGCATGTATTACAAGTCTAAATGGCATGCTTAGCAATGGCTGGTAAGCGCCACAGAAAACAAGTGAGGATTACAACCTTAATTTTTCATGCAGTTTCCCTTCTTCATCTTGTAAATTTGTGTACTCAAAATTTCATTTCCTTTCATCTGTTTGTTTGCTCAAATCTGAAGAAACCATCATGACTTATATTCTTGATAGTGATAAATAAAAGGAATAATTGTTGAAAACTATAAAATTGGTATCTAATTTGTAAATAAGTTTAGACTTTTACTTTTTAAGGCGTGAGGTCTAAACTAATTTTTCTCTTTTTTTAATATAACAAAATTACCCTTGTGTCTTACACTTTGCCCAACCAAGAGTAATTGTCTTTCTTATGGGTAAATCCAACTCTTCTTCTATAGAAATTCATCACCATCCAACACCCCTCTTCTTCCGATAGTGAACTAAAAAATTTAGTTCTTCTTTCATTCACAATTTATAATAAAACACATGAGTGGCTGTCGGTTGGCGGGTAGGGAATATGGTGGAAGTTTTTAAATAACCTCTTTCATTAAAAGTATTTTTGTCACTTGCGTATTTTATAGATCTTTCGCCTTAAAAATGTCCAGCATAAACCTCTTGTCTTAAAAAAACATAACTTTGTACCTGTTGCTTGAGTTACCTGAATATAATATCAACTCAATCTTCTTTTTTGGTCATATAAATAATGAACGCTTACATGGCACCACAGAAGAGAAATGATGATCATCAACTTAAACTGCCTCGATGCAAATGAACTAACCTGCAGAAAAGTCGAACCATAGTGTAGTTTTGTCATCATGAAGACTTAGGTGGAAGTGCTCTGGATATCTACTTCCAAAAGCTAATAAAATTGGTTGCTTGGCCAGGGAATTAGCAAACTTCATCTGAAATGCCAAGTAAATTGAAGCCCCATGGAGGACAGCAAATGGTGGAATATCAGTCAGTGGCAGTTCACCTTTATCTGGCTTAATTTTCGAGGGTGTGAAGCCTTCCAGGTAGTATTGCTTGATTCTTGGTCGACCTACTTTGTTGATCCATCCCACCATTGCACTTGAGTTGAGCATCATTCCATCTCTTGAAAACCCCATCCCTATCCATCCAGTGGTATATATAGTAGATAATACAATGGTCACAACATGGTCTTTGGTCTGGGAGTACTGCAAGGCAAAAAATATTATCAACTAGTTTTACCATCCTTTTAATCAGTCAGTCCACACAACTGTCTGCCAATAATATATATCTGCTAAAAACTACCAATTTTGGAGAGGTATGTTATATTTAATCGTTTTTCTTTTTCTTTTTTTTTGATTCAATAGGGTAACTCAAGTAGTAATAGGAATGACCTGTAAATCCAAATGTCTTGAGTTGGAATTTTGGCGACCCCTTGGGGTCAAGCCATGAGGGATTTATCCTTATGAATACCATAGTCTCGGCATGGATAACCTGCCTTTAACCAGACCGAGGAGGGGATTAGTCAAAGTGTGCGTAAATTAACTCAAACACTCCTGGCCATTGAACAAAACATATATATTTGTCTGCCAAAAAAATATATTTCTCCTCAAGTCTACCAATTTTGGAGATATCTGACATCAAATTGGTTATCTATTTTTTGCACTTTACACTAATAATAATTGATCATACTTGTACAAATAACCAAAATAGAAGATATGAGTATGCTGAACAATAAGATAGATGTTCCAAAATTATGAGAAAAAAACCATTTTGATTCATCTATTGTGGAAGTGGTGCCTTAACAAAAGAATGAATAAATGCACTGAGAATTTTAAAACCCTATTGACAATATTGATATGAATTGAATACTTTATAAATTAAATTAATAAAATTGATATAATGAAAAATAAACTAAAAAAATATATATATTTTAGTGACTAAAAGTACTATTAATCCTAAAAGAAACAATGAAGCAATCAAGATATAGATCAACGAAAACAGTAACATACTACTCAGCTAATTTTGTTATCAAGTCACTACATACAAGATATGTAACATAGCTTAAAACCCTTTAGCAACTGATAATACTCAAATACCAGTACATACACAAACAAATGTCCTCACGTGAAAAAATAAAATAAACTCAAAAAAACAAATGATTATCAGCCATGAAACAATAAAAGACCATACAAGGATTGTCTAAGCTCAATGTATCAATCCAAGAAACAATAAATTGCAGAAATAGATCAAACTTACTCGTAGAAGATATGAATTCCAAATGGGTTTACAGACCGCGTTCGATAAATTACTGTACGGAAGAGGAAGGAACGTAGAGAGATCAACGCTGCAAAGCGTCTCAATACCATCACCACCTTCTTCCACCGCAAAAGCATTTGGTCCCGACAAACCAATCAAGATCACAGCCAACAATGCCAACCTTATCAGCCATGAAACCCTAAAACTCAAATATTCTTCCATGGAAAGCGCTAAGAAAATTTAGGGCATTTGGGTTACAGATAATGAGAAAGAAAAGAGAGAGAGAGAGAGAGAGAGAGAAAGTGGATTGTGAATGGATCGGAAGGTAGTGGTTGGTGAGAGGTATTGTTGATAATCACGGTTTCTTAGGGTTGAAGGTTGTGATGATAGTGATGGTGGGTTGGGGTGGGGCTTGTGATGGCGGTGGTTGAAGGTGGCGGGTAATGATCTTTCCCGCCAAATTCTTCAACCAACGACAACAATCCTACCAAACTAATTATCTGGTTTAAGTTTAATGAAGTAGAAAAAAGTCTCTCTTTTAATGGTTAACAACCAATCTTAGGAACTTGGCAATTCTTTTGTCTGTCATGTTAGGAGAGATTTATATAGTCTCAGACACAAATGATTTATTTTTGACTTATTCGAAGAAAAAATTATTTAACATATATGTAAATTAGTGTAAACACCCTCGTTGTAATTAAAGGTAGGTTATTAGAGTATTTTGGAGGATTTTTTTGTTTTTTTGGTTTCAATTTAATTGCTTTTCCTTTTGTTTGTACCACGAGTACAAATTATTATTTTTTTTGTCGGTGTCATTGAAACATTCTGTTTATTTTTTCACTTGTGGATGGGTCCAAGTGCACGAATATATAAAATGATTTGAATTTGGATTTGTATTCTTTAAAGGGTTAATTTCATTTTGTATCTTAAAAGATTGTTCAAATCTCAATTTACACCTTCAAAGATTAAAAATCTCAATTTGTACCCTCAAAGATAGAAATTTGTATTAATGTGCATCCCCAAAGATAAAAAATCTCAATTTACACCCTCAAAGATAGAAATTTGTATTAATGTGCACCTAAAATTAAATTGATAAATTATACTTAGATCCCTTCATGTTTGTCACTTAATCATTTGAACTCCTTCACATTTAGAATATTCCCCTTACATTTCATGACGTTTATGCATGTGTAACACATAACCACTTTTCGTTGATATCTTTTAATATAATCATTAAAAAATATAATTTTATCCTAATAAAAAATTATAATTTCATATTACTTTTTATTTTGTGGATTCGATATACTCTAAAGTTGAAAATCAAGCTTATCATTTGAATGTTTAATAAAATGTAGATATTTATATAAAAGGTAATATGAAAAACATTATATAAATATTTACATTTTATTAGACATTCAAATGGTAAACTAGATTTTGAACTTTAGAATATGTTGAACCCATAAAATAAAGGGTAAGATGAAATTATAATTTTTTATTAGGATAAAATTATATTTTTTAACGATTATATTAAAAGATATCAACGAAAAGTGGTTATGTGTTACACATGCATAAACGTTATGAAATGTAAGGGGAATATTCTAAATGTGAAGGAGTTCAAATGATTAAGTGACAAACATGAAGGGATCTAGGTATAATTTATCAATTTAATTTTAGGTGCACATTGATACAAATTTCTATCTTTGAGGGTGTAAATTGAGATTTTTTATCTTTAGGGATTCACATTGATACAAATTTCTATCTTTGAGGGTACAAATTGAGATTTTTAATCTTTGGGGGTGCACATTGATACAAATTTCTATCTTTAAGGGTGTAAATTAATATTTTTAATCTTTGAGGGTACAAATTAAGATTCAAACAATCTTTTAGGGTACAAAATGAGATTAACCCTTCTTTAAAAACTAAAAATTTGATCTGAAAATTCAATTCAAGTTGCCAAAAAACTTTAGTTTAGTTTTCAATTTTATCAAATTATCACTCAAGAATACTATATATATATATATATTCTCAGATTTTGATATATTCAAATCCGAATAATACAATTTCATATCCAATAAATCAAAATTGAATCAAAATCTTATCCACTTTTGATTATTTACTTGAAAAAGATACAAAATATATCATATATATAATATATATTAAAAAAAAAGGTGGGTGAGAAAGAAGAACTATTCTCTCTTCATCATTTTTTTATTATTTTGGTCAGGGTCTCCTCATCAATCTGGTAGCTTGGAATCATCAGTAAATGATAATGCAAACTTGTAATGAATGAAATATCCTAACAGCAGCTCCATCATTTATTCCGAAGCTTGAATCAAACTTGTTATTAAACCATCAACGATTGTCGTCAAAAGGGCTCTCGCCGATGTAATTCCCCGGCGGATCATAAGAACAAATCGCAAAAGTATCGCCATTGTTGCATTCAATACGAGCACACCCCAATCGAACACTCTCTCTCCACACTATCTGCGTATAATGTCCACACATTTCTCCCGGAAGGCACTCATTAGTTCTCCGATCATAATACCTGTGTTCCTTCACCCACAGCCTCACCACATCACTCGGTGTCCACAGATTTCCACTTCCCCAGAAGATGTTTTCGCCGTACTGCCCGTTGGAATGGACCAATTCGCAATCGCCGGCTCGTTGTTGGGCGTATAGCCGGGCATAGATGGCTAATCGGAGGTCCCAGACGAAGGGTGGTTCGAGGGCGTGCAGGCGGACCTTGTTGTGTGCCGCTAGGAATTCTTGTTGCTCGGAGATTGTGGAGTCTATGAGTTTAGTGGGTTCATCAATGGCGTTACTGGCTGCTTCAATGATTGATGAAACTGTTTTTTGGAATTGGCCGGTGGAGAGAGAGGGAAGAAGGTGAGAGGAGAGTATGCAGATGAGGAGAATTGGGCGTCTGAAATGGGGAGACTCCATTGTGTAGGGATTTGCTGTAAAACCCATCAACACACATACATGCGCAGTAACACGCACTAAAACACACACACCTGTCAGAAGGCCAATGTACAGCCTTTGGTTTTTTAGAAACCTGAAAGAATTAAGGGGCAAAAATTCTATGGCAGTCCGGTAAGTTCGTCCTAGAGTCTCTCATTCATGGGAAACCACAGAGTTGACATATATATTTATGGAATCAATTTATATATAAAACAATTAATTACAAATTTAAGTATTTTTCAATAAACCCTGATCAATATTTTAGAAAGATAATAAAAAAATTTATGATTGTTAAACATTTTACGAAGAATTTCAGTGTGATTTAGTTTCAATGTTTTAGTGGTTTTGAAAATAAATGGGACCGGACAATCAATCTGGAGCTTCCCCGTGAATAAATTAATTGAAGTTTAAAAAAGAGAACAAAGAGGGAGAAATACAATTAGAATGGAGAGGGAGATAAATATTTGGAGAGAGATGGTGAGAGTGGAATAAAAAAGTGTAAAAGGAATTTGAGAAAAAGTGTTGGTTATAATGCTAGAAATCACCGGGCGATAAACTTGGTCCATTCAAAAAGAAAACAGAATATGAAGTTAAACTAAGGACTAAAAATTAATTAGGTCCTTACGGTCTTAAGGTCGGCCCTATTGTGCCTCATCCCATTCAAAAGATCAAAATATTTACGAATCTTGGAACAATCATAGTCTTTGTGAATTTCTCACCATTAAGTAGATTAATATTTTATGTCTTTAGTTGTTTAAAAAAGTGTTGTACTCGTAATAGATAAAAAAAAATATAAAGTATGATTAAAAGGGAGAGATGATGAAAATAAACAGTTTAATTTGCATTTTAATTTTACATAAGGACAAGAATATAGCTAAAAGGAGAACGTGTGTGTGAGAGAGTAAGAGAGAGAGAGAGTGACTAGTGATGTCTAATATATACTATTTTTTGTACCTTTTTAACCCTTATTATTTTTTTGTCAAATTTAATTTTGTGTGTCATTGGACTAGACTTTTAGACCTAAATCATTTAATTAAGTTCTTTTGTTGGACTAAATTTTTATAGGTTTAAATTTTTAGTATAGACGATGTTATATAGATTTATAAATTTGAGGCTTATTATTTAGTTCGGGACTAAAGCCCGTGCTTTAGTGGCCTTCTGTATGGGCTGGCCTTGCTTGGTCCTTTGATTCAACAGTATCATTTATGTTGTAAAAATTTTGTTTTTTTGAAATCAATGATTCAAGTTTTCTGAGTGACAAAAATATAATTATGATTTAAGTTTCTTAAGTGACAAAAATATAGTTAATTAATAGGACATACCTCAAGACAAAGTGTATATTTAAATTCCTACCCAAGCATAAGTCCTAATTTAACTAATATATGAATTAAAAGACTGACTCATACACTTGAAAATTACCCTCTATTCTATTCGAACTCACAGGTCTAAAAGACATAAGCGTACTTCTATTTGGAGACGGACCAAAATTTTCCCCATTACCCTAAAAAACCAACATAGCTACCCTTTCACTATCATACCAATTAACCACCTTTTATTCAATTTTTTTTTTGTAAATTCAGTTTCAATCTCCTATAAACTTCAATAGGTCTTGAACTACAACGGTGATACAAAAAGAGACTGAAAAGGTGGGAAAGAAAGAACCAGCCAGAATAAGACAAGTTAGCGTATCGCAAAGCCTTCTATACAATTTAAAATAGTAAAAAAAGAAAAGAAACAAAAAAATTCCGAATAGAACAAGCGGGGATTTCAGGCATGTAAAATCATATATACAGAAGCGGTTATGGAAAAAATTGGGTCCAATGTGTGATTAAAATAGAGACGTGGATACAACAGATTTTAGCATTCAACGTACTGAAACTGTAATTACAGAAGTAAAATAAGCCACAAGCACTTGCCTCCTCAACGTTAATGTAGAAAGAATTAAGAGTGACAACTTAAAAAAATCACAGGCCTTCTATCACTACAATTACTACCATAAAAGGGAAAAGAAAAGAGAAGGGGGGGGGGGGGGGGGGATATGCAATCTTCCACAACTATTTTGACCAAGCAACTGAATCAATCTCTGCTTGGGCAGCTCTGTATAATTCCAGCCTCTTTGCAAGAGAAACTCGCCGCTGCATTATTGCTGGATCCTCATCCAGCAGTGAACCCAATTGTTTCCCCTGCACGAATAATTTAGAGACGTAAATAAAGCACAATCCAGATCCTCTTTTTATTCCTTTTTTTCTGCTTTTTTTCTTTTTACAGGAGGACAGTGAGGTGTTGGAATCAGATGGTATACTCACCTCTTTCTTCCCTAAATCGGTGAAGAAATGATCAAGTAGGCTACGTTTTGCCTCACGCACTTGACAGTAAACGATGGACTTTGGAATGGAGTTCCTCAACCCCCCACAAACCATATGGACATAAGACAAGACATTTGATCCTGTTTGAGAGAGAGAGAGGACCACCAATTAACATTGACTAACTCGAACAGCACAAAACCCACAAATGGTGTCTACCAAGATATGAATGCACAGATCTAGATCACTATAATATATAGGTCCTCCGACATACTTACCAATTCGCCGAAGATATGAATCGTTATATCTATCAAAAATGGAATGCGTGGGATTCCCACCCTTCTCGATATCTTGAGGAAGTTTCCGGAAGAAATCAACTGTCAGGTAACTATATTCCATTTCAACTAGCTGTAGAGTTGCTTTCTTGCTTTCATCCCTCATCCTGTCCAATGATTCAATGGCGGCATTCCCAACCTCCACTCTAAGAGATGGATACTGCTTTAGCTCCTACACACATCAATTCGCAACTGAGACTGGAAGCCCCATGATTGGGAGAGAGCACAAGTCTGAAACATTTTGTATAATGAGGAAATCTTCAAATCTATTTTTGACATTTCGCTCAAATAGCAAACATAAAATCTAAGCAACTTCACTTTTGATAGACCTTCCAGTAACAGGAGATTTTACATTATGGTTTTTCAAAGTGAGCCATGAGATTCAATTTTCGGTTTTGTAGTGTATGACCCACTATTTCTACAGTTGATTCATGTCATTGGGAGGTTGAACACCATATTTTCAGATGAAAAAACAGCAACTATGCTACTCCATGCCAAAGAGACAAGAATATATAGGTTTAAAAAACATTCAAAGGCATACCATAGCATATAAAGGTACATAAGAGAAATTGTAAATCATATTGACAGCATGTCAAACCTAAATCCTAAACATTATCCTGAAACTAGGCTTCCCAGTCTCTTTATGTAATGAGTCCCAGAATCAGACAGCTACTAGGACAAAAAAAGGGCAAGAACTTACCACTGTCTCACTAATTGCCTTGTGAACCAGTTCCTTCAGTAATGCATGAACCTGAAATCATTGTAGTAGAAGTATCAAGCAAACTACTTTGCAAGCTATTATAGAACACATCCGCATTAAACTAATATAAAATAAACACATATTAATTCCCATATTTAAACAATCTTATAAGAAGTCTAACACACTCGGTCTATACTAATTTATGAATGCTATTCTATGTAATAAACCTCTATGAAGTGTATGGCTGTAAAATGAGCTTAACTAGCGATTGGCTCAGCTGGAGGTTCATTTGAACTCGACTCTTGATATCTATGAAGCATGGATACTTCGTTAAGGTTAATGTATCCGTATCGGCTACTGTATCAAATACGATCCTCATCGGATACTCGAAAATACATATCGGATACATACCAAACATATCCAATAATACATAAAATATATGGATACTTCGCGGATACTTTTATGTGCGGAGAAATATATGTAATTTTTAATTTTAATCTTTACCCCTTCCTTTGAATTTCACATACAACACAATACATCAACGAAAAATCATATGCCTTGGTAAGACACATCGGTGTTTTTTGAGAATTATCCATTATCACATGTCCAACAAGTTTAAATGACTTGATTACTCTATAATCTTAGCAACAAATAAGTATAAGCAAGCAATATATTTAAATGCCAATTCTTATTCCTAAATTAATTACATTCACTTTATAGATGTACCACAGTGAAATGATAAATAAATTTTTTAAAATAAAAAATTGTTACGGTTGTTATTATTGTTAAAGAATTACTAAAAATTTAGCATCAAGTCAATACATAATAGTAAAAATGTAAAAAAATATATTCATAGACATATCTCAACCGTACCCGTATCTTATTTTTTGAAGTTTTGCCGTATTGGTATATCCATATCGTATCGTACCCGTATTTGTATCCATGCTTCCTAGCTAAGATAAACTAACCAAGCTTGACCACATTATTATAGCTCACAAATTACTAAGCTCGGTTCAAATTAGGTTGACAGTTCAATATAGTATTAATCATCCGAAGAACAAACGAAAAACCAAGACCCCGTTTGGTAACCGTTTTTGTTTTCAATTTTCTATTTTTGACAAAAAAGAAAACAACACATTTAGTATTTATTTTTCTTTTTTTCCAATCTAATTTGTTTTGAAAACAAGCCCCAAATTTACAAACAAAAAATTGGTGTTTGCAAAAACACCAAAAACAAGAAACATGGAGGCGCTTGGCCCTCTACCCCTTTGAACCCCCTTGGCCGCAAAACAGAACAAATTTTGGTAGAAGTATAAAATATTTTTTTTTCTCTTTCATCAGACTCTCTCACTCACCAATCCGTCTCTTCTGAAGAGGAAGCACTGTCTCCGACTCCATTGAAGCCAACAACAAATCTACTCATCTACTTTCTCTCTCTCTCTCTCATTTGTGTCTCTCTCGTTTATATTGATTTATTGTCCATACCACTACTCTTTCTTCGTCTTTTTCTTGTATTTCGTTGATGATTGATTCTCCACTCGCCAGATTTATGAGATTAGAAGATCCAACAATGTTGACACCCTCCAAGCTCACTGTATCTCTCTCTGGAGGCTGTGTTCAATTCCATTTTCATCTCAATTTTTGTTGAAATCAGCTCAATTTCTTTTGTTTGCGTATGAAGGCTCGAGATTTAGAGGTTTACAATTCGATTTGCCTAAGAAAATAGGTTTTTGTCAAGATCAAAGCTCAAATTGGACACTTAATCTAATAGCTTCATATTTTTTTTACGTCTATTTGGAGGGTATTTGAGGAAGCTTGATCTGGTGAAGTTGGTCCATATATTTCATATAGAGCTAAGTTTGAGGTTATTTATAAGTATGATGGGTTATATCTTGGTTGTTCCCGTGTAGATTTGAAGGAATTTAGTTGACGTGTTGAAGTTTGTGACTTTGGGAAAAGGACAAGGTGTAAAGAGAAGTGTTGCATAGTGAATTTTCAGGGCTTTGGTGTGTATTGTTTGATTTGGTGGTTTTGTATGTCGAATTAGTAAGTGATCCTCAGCAATTTCGTAGAGCATCCCATAAATTTCAAGTTTACACTATGGATGTTTGATATTTCAATATTGAGTTAGAATGTTGTCATTTTTATTGGTTCGGTTACAAAGTGAAGTAAAAGAATAGCTCAATTGGATAGTTTTGGAGGATTGGTCAAGAAAAGTAATTACGATAGTCGAAATTGGTAAACTTCAAGAACCAGTGTAAAAAAGGAATGCTTAAAACCAACAATAAGAAAGGAAGGAGGAAAAATGAAACTCTAAAAGGGGCTAAGAAGTTGTTGCTTGTTGCCAGTGGTCTACTTCGCGAGCCTTCATTGTCCAATTTTGAAAATTCCCTACTTTCGTCCATCCATGTGGCCGTAAAAACAAATTGGCTATCTAGCGAGAGTCATTCCAATAGAAAGGGGATAAGTGAATCATCACTTTAGGATGCAAGCAAGCCCTCTACCGTCTATTCCATTGCAAAAGCAACAATGACATGATTAGCTCCTCGCTGAAAATATGAGCCCTGGAGTTGGGTTGTCGTACATATCTAATGGACATTTTAAGAGTCAAAAGATTTTATAGGCGCTTATCTCACTCAAATCTTACCCCTACGATTCGCTATTGTACTTTAATAAGAGGGTTACTTTCATAGAAGAGCAAAAGCAAAATGTGGTTGCACGATCAAGTGCACAAGCTAAATATAGAGCAATGACTCACACTGTGAGTATGGTTACATAGTTGCTAACCCTGTGTTTTAAGAGAAGACTAAATATATTAAAGTTGAATGCCACTTCATTTAGGAAAGATCTTAACTGAGAACATTTGTACACCATTTGTGAAATCTGAAAATCAATTTGCAAATATGTTCACCTAGTAAGCACGGATACTCCTTCAAAGATCAACGTGGCGGTGTCGGACATGTGTCCGACACCGATACGCATGGAACACGGTCAGATACGTGTTTGACACTTCCGCAAGTGTCTTGAACAACGATCAAGCATGATTTGTGAACTGATACGACTCAAATATGGAAGGGATATGACCACAACTACATATCTGTGTTGAAACTCCCTCTCAAAAAAAAAAAAAAGAAAAAAAAAAGTGAAAGAAGACGTTACAGATTTGAGATCAGCCACATATCTCATCTTCCTTTACTTATATGACTCACCACAAACTTGAGATAAAACATGGGTACTTTGGGATTGTTCTTCCTGATGCTTATGGAGGTTTGATGTCATCAGATTTCTCATAGACCGACCCCCTCTCTCTCTTTCTCTTTCTCTATCTACGATTGGTGTGTATCAGCTTGCCCTATATGCTTGCACCATCGTTCTCTCTCTCAGTTTCTTCATTATGGTGATGTGGTGTCCATCAAATAATTAGATTTCCTATTAGTTTAGCCCATAACGTTTAGCCTACTGGCCATAACATTTAGCCTACTGTCCATAACATTTAACCCACTTATTAAATTTAATATTAACTCATTTGTCAAATTATAAAATATTAATTAATTTCACAATTTTATTATTAATGTTATTATATATATATAAAATATTATATTATTTTAATTAATCGTATCATTGCTATACCCGTTTCCAATATTTTTGGGATTTTGTCGTATCCCTGTGTTCGTATTGTATCGAATACGACACTTGTGTCCGCATCCGTGCTTCCTAAATGTTCACTAAAGCGACAAAACAGAATTGTATGATAGTTATTTGTTCCAATCTTAAATTATATACTCCAGCTTAAGAGGGAGTGTTTTGCAGTATACGTCTTTCATATATAGTTGTAATAACAATACCACTCATGGGTATAGTAGTCTTTTTCTATTTGTTATTGTCATACCTATATATAAGTTTAGAGCAAGACGTAGGATTAAGTATCCTCTCCTCTCATACAATTCCTCCATAATTTTTCCCCAAAACTTTACAAGATCGATAGCCGGTGTTCAATTAACGGTGGTAAAAAACCATCCAAGAATAATACATACAACTTTGTTCCAAACCCCCCCCCCCCCGAGCGGGGTGGTTTTGCACTAATTAGACCATTATTATGCGTAATCTACATCATTGAATAACTTCACTGCCCCAGGATATTTATGAACCGCTATGTACCACTGGGTTCAGAAGACCAATACTGCTTTTACTTTATTTGTGTATAGAACTGGTTTTTTAACAGTAGGCACCAGGATTAGTCCCAATTACCCTAGCTTTGCAACCAAAATGTCGTAGTTAACATGGGCATAAAGTAATCCTCTTAAACATAAAGTGCATACCGAATCAACAGCTGCCTCAGCAGGACCTTTAATAGTAACCAATGAAGATTCAATCAGACGCCGATATCCTTGTTCAGGAGCTATTAGATGAGGTTGGTATCCATCAGCTTCAGTAATTAGCTTTCGTACATTTTCCATTGCAAGTTGCTTGTCAAATTGCAACCTTTTTAATGCAGCAGGAAGTTGATTGTCAAATACATTGTATATTTTATCACCACCTGGTCGACTGCAGAATTTAGCAACCATCACAACTGAAGGTTAGGTTGGAAACTAACACAAAAATTATAAATCCTATAGGACAATATATATAGGTACTTTGAAGTACATACATGCCATCAAGATGTTCTTTGAATATTCCATCAAAACCACGGCAGATTTCCATTATCATGTACAATTTACCCTATGTTAATGGAAAGGGAGAAAAACGTTAAAAATGCTTCGCAATGCAAGCACATTTTGTACAAGCATAAAGTTTACACAAACAGAAGTTAGAAAATCACCAAAGTACAGTGAACTGGTTCCTGACCACCAGACACAACCCAAAGCATGAAGAAACCAGAAACAAATTTAATATGAAAAGCGATAATTGTGCCACTCCCATAAAATTTGTGTGGAACTAACAAGACCACCATACGCCAGCAGAAAGATAGACTTGAAATAAAAAAGAAAACCAGAAAAATGTACTTACTCCAGCATCAGTTGCAATGGGCTTCCCAAACCTACTCAACTCAGTCTCTAGTTCAATGATAGTTTTGTTAATAAGCGACTGAAGGCCTGGGATTCGAGACTTGATAACTGTCTCCAAATGCTGAAACAATCAAGAGATAGAATGCCGATGATGAAATAACCTCTATAATTAGAACCCAGATTTAAGAAAACTGCCAACATTTAAGTACAACAATCAGCATCAGAAACTACATGTCAGACCTTTCCATTTGTTATATAGCTTCGATAAACTCAAACAATGTCCAAACTTTCTCTTAAAACCCAAGTAGAAAAAGTATCAGACAAAAATATTGCTTACTTTAGATAGAATTTTTCCAAGATGCTCAGAACCCATCCTGTGAGCAAGATGCTTATACTCGGGGGTGGTAGCAAAATACTCCCTCTCCCTACGCCGAGCAGCAATCATGTCGGCGTTTTTGTTAATATCAGCTTGAGAGCGATTAACAACACCAATCCATGGAAACTGAAGTTTGTATGCTCGTCCTTCCAAGATCTGAAAATCACAGAGAACAAATAAGGATGAACTACTCCCTTCAATCTAAAAATAAGAAAAGTACAGTGCACAAGGCTCCCTACAAAAACTCTAATACAACTAAATCATCAATTTTTCTGTTAATAACATATTGAAAAAGATAAGAAAATTGCTAGGTATGAACTACCACTAAATATTGGCTCATTCGAATAAAAATAAGTTGAATGTCGTCAAGGTGATATTGGGGGTAATGAGGTATATACACATACAGGAACACAGGAGACCCTTTGTTTGGCCTATACAAAAAATTGGGAGGTAAAAATATCATGGAGAACGTGTTATACATAAAACAGAACTGTATTCTCAGATATGCTTTCATTGGCAAATATGCTAAGAAACATACTTGCTGGTATATCCCAGAGAAAGCACAGAAAGCAGCGAACAGAATAATAAGGTGCTTATCCTTAGAAAGTTAACAAAGATGAATAACAAATAGAGGACATTGGGCAAAAGGTGATAGTAATAGCTGCTACCTTTTCCATAAAGCAAAAGTAGTAGGTGCACAGAATTTTGAAATCAAGACATTCAATAGATTTCAACAACCAATACAATTCATCAGTATCTAGCAATGCAATTTCAAAACATTATAAAATAAGACCCTGTGCTGCTTGTGGAATGTTCGTTGTAGAAGGCAACTGATTTATCTTCCAAGTAACATGCAAGAAAACCTTGGGTCTTTCTTCTAAGGTGCAAGACTCCATTTAGATGAGCATCCATCTAAGCATATTCTTCCATTGGGCTCTAGGTCCATGTGATCTTTCCCCGCCCTTTTGCATTTCATATACTACCCATCGGCATTCTTAATCAAACACTTAATTAAACTTTGTAGAGATCATAATAACAGAGTTCGATCAACTAGTCCCTCTAGATACAAGTCATGTATAATATATCTTAAATGGTACAAAATATCAAAACAAATTCCCTGCCTTGAGAAAAATAGTACAAATAACCGAATTGTAAAAAAATTGAACAAAATGTGAAAAATGAGAGGTTTTCTGCAAAAAGATCTGCTGCAAAATTCTCCTAATATTGAAGACATCAACCAGAAACAAATGACTATCTAGATCTTCAAATGAGCTAATTCCACTATCATAATTCAAATTTTTTCCACAAACTAAACTTACTAACATAGCATTTCCCAATAAGAATATAACGAAACAAGTTCAAATGAATCATTAACCTTTCCTAGTCCATATTCACTAATACCAAAGGGGTGCAAGAAAATTGCCAAATGCAATATCACCCAGCCAGTATCTAGGAACTGCTTGAGAACTCTATGAAGTGCCTAAACTTGAAAACTTCCAGCGGTTTCTCAATTAAATGCATAATCATACAAAATCCCATTCTAAAGTATCTGACCTTTTACACCAGACAAGCTCAAGAAAGAAATATATAAGTCTATAGTAGCTTTAAAAATTCAAACTTTATGTGTGGTGCACACAAACTTTGGGCCCGTGAATCAGGATCAAAACACCAAACAAAATTTAGTTCTATTTAATCTATGAAACTGGTATGATTCTCTGTGAATTTGGACAACTACAATAGTAAAAATAGTTAACTCATATAACTCGTTCGCCTAAAACGCTTTCAATACAAGGGCTAGATAAATTTGATCCCAAATGAAGACTTAGAACTTTTGTCACTCCGAGTCAAAAAGCTTGTTCAATAAGATCACTAAGTTTCAGCCGCGCAATTAAAAATGGCAGCATTAGTTCAGTGTTTTCACGTTCGGATTCTAGCATTTTCAGAGTTCAGTAACAAAAAGAGCTTCGGAAGAGTTTTGGATAGAGTTTCAGTTTGTAAACTATGTTTTCTACAACAATGAAACTCTATTTACAGGCTATTTGCGGGAAGCTATACTAATAGAGTTTGAAGCAGAATTTTATTGATAGTATTTCCATTTATTTTATTTTTTTTGATAGGAAACAGGAGAATTTTATTAATACCAAATAAAAAACCATCTTCTTTCCAAAGATAGTTTTTGTCTCCTAGCATTTTACATGTAGTTCTGAATTTTGACTAGTTTGCTAAGCTTTTCAAAAATAGATGTATGCTTCTGTTGCCAAAACAATGCAAATGTGGGACTCCTAACAAATGGATTCATTCGGTTAGCTTACCCTACATGTTAAGATGGAACTAACTGTTTCATCATGGTCACAACAGTCATATTGACGTTTTTGTCAATAGAACCCACATTAATTGTATACTTTAATATCGTTGATCAATTATTATATCAATAAATGCAATTCCACTAACATCAAATCTTCATACAACCAATTTAATATGAATATTTATAGAGTGAAATTTCCCATATTATAAACATGCCCTTACCTCTTATTCAACTCTAAAACAACGCAACGAACATTATGTAATTCCATTATACATCAGTTTCACATGACAAAACAAGGCAAAGAAAATCATGCTCAACATCACCAACTTATAACCCATGAATCAAAATTTCTCAAAATACCTTGTGCAGTTTCATCAAACAGCTATATCACTGCATTTGCCCATTCAAACATGAGTTCATTTATCGCAGCGAAGTCTATGTATTGCTATTTATACCTAGTAGCAAGCTTTGTATATAGGCAAATCCTATATAAGAACAGAAGAACATAACAATGGTGCATTGTAGTCAGATTATCTAGTTCCATACGAAAGCAGCTGACTTACGTCAACAGCATCAGTACCCTTGTCCATAAGATCAATCTTTGTCAAAACTCCGAATGTCCTCTCTCCTGAAAATAGCATTATTAAAATCACATAGAAAATCAGAAAGGGTTGAGGCACCATGGACTACAGTAGTTATAATTGTGATAGTGGCAACATGTTAACTCAGATGGACTAGAAGCATATAATCTTAAAGGTTTGAGCAGATTTGGTCTCCTTGTACACAAAATCACAAAACAATCTAAAGCAAACAAGAAAGAGCCAAAAGAGATTCATTCTTTTAAATGATTGGAGATGATTTTCCTTAACCAGAAGCAATTCAGCTTCAAAAACCTTTACAGAATTCTGCTGTCTGAAAAATCAACAATATTTGTGACAAGTACCTTCTAAAAAATTCAAGCCAGATAAGAAAAGGAATTCAAAAAGCATTTGCGGTCAGTGCTCTAACATGAACAACACCACACACCATACATTCCAAATGTTGCAGTAAACAACGTATAGAGCAAACCAAAATAAAAATTAACAACTTCAAGGAAAATAAAAACTCTAGCTTTATTTCACAGAAGTTCCTAAGTGATTTCTGCACTCCCAGATTTTTTGTGTACTTACCACAACAACAAACTCGGCTGGTTATGTTGGAATAAATATATTTAAGCATGTCTAGGAATAAATTTGCCAACAAACATGCCTGACAAGTGCCAACCGGAACCATCCTCCTGAATAACAGGACATATTCACCAAATTGTATACAGTTTTCCTATTTAATTATTTAATGTAATAGCTAATAACAAGTTGCTATATGAATTTCATAGGCAGTTATTAATTTTAAGACTTAAAAGAGTTGAGTATATTTCCCAACCACTCTCACGTGAACAGCCTGAAGTTGCAATCCGTCTCACTCCATCAACAAAATAGGAACTAAGTAACATCTTTTCACCCATATTGTCTAAAATTTGCGAACTCTTTTCCTTTTTGCCCATGTAGCTTTCGTATCATGTTCTACCAATACGGAATCTAAAAGATGTCGATAAAATTAGACAGGCAAAACTCATTCACTCCAATTCTTTAACACCCGGCAGAGAAGATAACAAAACTGCAAGAGGAACACATACCTTTGGGATCTACTTCACGAGAAATCTTGATTGCATCAGATGTGGCAAGATCTTGGTTGGCAGGAGAAATTGCCAGAATTATACAGTTTGGCTGCAAGATTATAAATAAGAAAAGTCAACAAAACTATCCTTTTTTCTTTTCGTTTTTCTCTTTTACAATTCACCCCCCCCCCCCCCCCCAAAAAAAAAAAAAAATTAAAACAAAAATCCGAGAAATCATTAGGATTACCTTACCTGCTGAAATCTGTTTCCAAGCTAGAAAATTGCTATTAGTAGTGGAGTCAGAATTTTAATTCAGTGGAGCCAATCTCTGATAATGATATGTAGCATAGTATTTTGAATTCTATGAAATTTCATCAATCAACTACTTAGTTGTAGATTATCATGGCATCTATGTACCCAATAACTAATCAATGAATATGGGAATTCAAAAAAATCTAGATAGTAGTGATTTCTTTGAAAAGAGTTAACATAAGTTTCCAAATAATGAACACCTCAATATAATCTTGTCTTTCTTGTCTAATACTATGAGCTACTCAAGTACAAATGATATGAAGATATCACCCTTTTTCCAAGAAAAATGAACTATTTCATACTTGGGAATTACACAAAATTAGAATAAATCTAGTTCGTGGTTTCTATAAATCATATTATATTAATTGTAAGAAAATTCATCATAATATAAAGAAGTTCCTTCCATTACAAGCGGAATTAAGAAAGATTATACAACCTTGAAAATTTACAAAAGGCCCCAATGGTTTTTTGAATTTCAGATGACCACACTGAAGAACACTTGCCTTTGCCCATGATAACTATGGAACACAATAAAATCTATAGAGAATGCATGTACAAGCAATTCAAACAAAAAAACTCTAGATGATTATCTTCATATTGTAGCCCTACACTCCGAATTTAACAAAATATTCACATAGGTATATCATAAAATAGTACATTAATGGCAAAGTCCCATTCACTTCGACTTCTATTCACAAGGATTTAATGCTAGAAACAAACAACAGAACTTCAGAATTCAGAAGTGATTTACCTTCTCAATATATGACCGAACCATATTCTCAATGTCCTGTACGATGCTGTCAGGTTGACCCTCTACAATAATCCATTTACTATAATATCAATCAATGGACATTTTGTTTTAAAAAAAAAAATGTAGTACACAGGTAATATGTAAACAAGAAACTATTTGTATACTTGCAGATATCCGAAGATGCTAAACTCACCAACAGCTACTTTTGTGAGTCCAGGAAGATCAATCAGTGTTAAGTTCACAACTGCAAAGATTAAACATCATGAAAATGAGATGAAGTACTCAAAAAGTTGAAAATTAACTTCCCCAACAAAAAGACGGGAAATTGCACATGCATTGATCACTACTGAGTTATTCCCCAGTCCCTAAAATTAATTTGTCAGTCAGGGGATGAGAATCCGATGAAAGAGGGAGAGGTAGGTGCATGCACAATTAACTATTTAAGCACAAAGTTCACGTAACAATAAACTAAATCTTAAATTAGCATGATCGTAAAAATGGCTAAATCACATAAACCAATGTATGCACATCTTGATTCTTGTCACACGAAGTCATTGATTCTCATTCCATCCTTTCCTAACATGTTTATCAATATTGATGTCCGTTGCAATTGCATCTCCTATATTTCCTCTTTCTCTCTGTCTGGACTTATTATTTATTCAACCATGGCATTTGTTATGAAAGCATCTGCAAATCATACACGTGAAGTATTCCTCTTTCTCTCTCTCACTCTAACAAGATTTTTATCCTCTATTTTTGGTTGTTGTGCAATCTAATTCTTAATTCATAATGTTCTCAACTAGTACTCGTACAACTAGATGTGTAAACAAACCAACCTTCATTCTGATTAGGATTTACCATGCACAGACAATTAGATTGCAAACAAAAATGAGAAGCAATTATATCTCACCATTAGGGGAATAAATACTAAGGTAGATTGGAACACTGGAAATTTGTTTGGAACGGCCTGTTTCTCTATCTGTCTCATCAGCGATCTCCTTCCTAACAGCAGCTATAGAAAATTAAAACCGAGATTTAGCATCTGAGATAGATCACAAAGAAAACCACAGATAAATAAAGCTACAGATACATGTGAACCATAGGGGGAACAGATAAAGCTAGCACTACACTGGAATACAACATGGCAGTATAGACAGGACTTACAATGCATTAGGCAAAAACAAATTAACAATCACAATGCATATTTCTGAGCAAGTGGTATCCTAACAATACTTACAAAAATCAGAGAACCTCTTTCTTGGAGCGTGAGCAAATTCTGCATATTCTCTTGCTTCGTCAATCCTTTGGAGCTGTAAAACAAGAGGTCGCCGAGTAACAATCCCTGCATAAGACATGAGTACATCATTCTAATGCTTACGGGAATTATATAGTGATGTACATATTAAATTCATAATAATATACCCGCAGAGTTACAATTATACATGTATCATTGGAAATACTAACAGCATTAATTACCAGATCCACGAGGCAAAAAATCCTTTCCAACAATGCTTTCAAGCACGGAAGACTTCCCAGAGCTCTGCAAAGAATTAAAAATACTTGTTAAATAATCAATGAACAAAATCACCGAACAAATAGCACTTGAGGTCAGATTTGAAGTCCGATGAGAAATCTATACACAGAAAATAAAATAAATAAATAAAAGGATAAACAATGAGAAATCAAAACTCTCAGCTCAGATTTGAAGAAGATAACAGCTAATATCAGTGTATGGCAAGGTGTGATTCAATCACAAAAAAATATATATATTCACAATATTATCTTTACAGAGACAAAGAAACGAAAGAGGAAAAAAGAGGGATCTGACCTGGCCACCGACGACGGCTATGGAAGGCAAGGCGTCCCAGAGAGTGGGTAAAGCGCTCTCTTCGCCATGATCACCTAGTGCTGTACACGCTCTTTGTAGTCGGTTGACCAAAGCTATTAGGTTCTCCATTTCTCCGAATAAGATCGGAGAGGTGAATCGGCGATAACGACGTTGTTAGGGCCGATTAGATCTCTGCGTCGATTAGAGCTATACAAATCAAAGAGGTTGAAGGATGGAGAGACAGTAAGGAAGGAAGCGTCAGAAGTTGTAAGAAGGTAGGGCGGTGATAGATCAAAACCATAGATTGAAATATCTCACCGAACGGACGAAAGTTTTTAAAATGACCCAACCGCGTTACACGTTGGAGTACGGCGGTGGCTTGCAAACGGGTTTTTCAAAATTTTTTGTTTTCTTTGTTTCGTTTTTTGTTTTTTTCTTTTCTCTTTTGACAAATGACACTTGATACCGTTCAAAAATTTTGCACTCACAATTTATAGACTTATAGATTAAATTTTTTATATAAAACCCTTAATCAAACAAAATAATAATATGTGCCCATTTTTTAAAAATTTGGCACTACAAATTTGATTGAAAATACTTACAAATTAAGTATAATGCAAACAATTGTATATAAAAATAAAATAATATGATAAAAAAAGTAACATATAATTAATTTTAGATCAAATTACTATATTTTTATCTTATTAAAAGTATAATGTGATGATTTTAATCTGCCAAGGTGTTAATTAAAAGTCTAAGAATATTTTAATATAAAAATTATCATTCTTCTTTTTTTTTTTCTCTCTTTTTCACTAGGGTGATATTAAAAGATGAAAATGGGTAATAATTTGGCGAAAATGCTAAATACCCCCCAAAAAAAAAGTCAAAACACACTCACATGTCTTACCCTATTTTATTTGAATTGTTTTTTCTACAATGTCAAATTCATGTTGACCTATCAAAAAATAATTCTTAAAAAAATATACATATTCTTTTATAAATATATATATCGTTATTTCAAAATTTTATAAATGTACACTATAATTCAAGATAAAGCTTATTTGTAAGACAGATATTCAATAAAATAAATTTATGAGAAAGATATTTGAGATATAGTATCTATTATTTTGTTCACCTTCCTTGCACGATTGAAGGAAACTCACAACCTCCCACCATTGTCATTTATTCCTTGTTTGGCCTTCTTTTGGTGTACTTTCACTCCATACTCTCTTTTTAAAATTTTGGATGAAGGGAATTTTTTTTAGCTCAAAATACACTTAACGGTCAAATGAGTTCAAAGTACACTTAGTGGTGAAATGCTATAGTGGCCAGTATTTGAATTCAAAAGAGTAATCGACGTAAACTTGAAAAAAAAAAAATTCAAGTACACAATTACTAAAAATAATTGTGTAGACTAATAAAAAAGTGTGTGAAAGATAACTTCCCAAAATTCATTGCAAAACAACGAATTAATAAAAAACACAATTCCAACTGTGAGATTCTAATGTCGATTTCAAAATTGTAAAATTCAAATAGTCCAATGTTGAGATTCTAATGTCGGGTTCAAAACTATAAAAATTCAAATAAAAAACTATAGCAATCATCAAATTTAAGGTAAATAATCAATAATTTATTGGGGGTAATTAGTTTCAAGAGAAAATATAAGTAAGCTACAGCCTTTACTGGTGAAATTTTAATTGATAATGTGAAGAGTTTGCAAAAGTTATCTACTGCCTCAAAGATTCACCTTTTTAAATAATGAAATCATTTTGTAATTTTCAATTCCATTTCTTTTCGAACATTCATCTTCAAGTTGTGTTAAAGGGACATACAAATAGAGTCCAGTTATGGGAAACAACAAACGAAGACATTTTAAACATATCATCTTAGCTCAAACACAAGAAGGACTAACATGTAGAGCATTCAGTTGAAAGATTTTTCAATATTTAGGTTGTGTTTGGGGAAAAAATCCTAACACATATGCATTCAAACAAAACCCGAGTTAGGTCTCAAGTTTTTGGGACCATAGCTACACATTACTCGAATTGGGCTTGGACTCATGTGGTTGAACGTGATTTAAACTCGATTTGAACCAAAACTTAAAATCGAAAATTCAGTCAAAGTTGCATCTAGAATGAACAATACTCTAGCATTTCCTCATCTTCATCCCGCCAACATAATTTCTTACTACTCAAACTAGGAAAAATTGGGCTCACTTTGCAAAGAAAAATCCTACTGTAGTAATCATTTACACACATCCAACACTCTACCAATTGCTCTATCACAAGATAATTATTAATTATATTTCAACACAATATTTCTAAATATGTAAGTGTTCAAAATTCTCAAGTTATCGAGCACTCACCATTAAGAATGTTCAATGGATTTGCGACTGAGGTCCTTGGAATTGCCTTTAGTTATCATCCATAGGAAAATATAATACTTTTTAAACAAATAAAATATTAACTTCAACCTACATAAAAAAAGACTATCGTGCGTACTAACTTAAATAAAATCACTTGCACTCAAATCCGAAAAATAAAATTATAAATCCAAAAGAACAATGAAAAAAACTGTAGAAATGGTGACAAATTTAAAATTTTGGATTTGTCGCGAAGAAATTAAGATATAAAATTGAAGGATTCGGGTGTAGTTGAAAATTTGGGGCTGATAGTGAAAGATTTGGATTAGGGTGGTTTGAGTGGTGATTATAAAGGTAAAGGGTGGAGAAGAGGGAGAAAGAAAAGGAGACATACCTCACTAGTGGTGCTAGTGATCGGTTGTTGCTGTAGTTGTTGGAGTCGATGACTATTATTGTTTTGTTTGCATCGATGACAATTGTGGTAGATGAAGGGAAGGGGAGATGACACACCAAATAAGACATAGGTGGGGAAAGAGTGAGAGAAAGGGGAGGGAGGGGGGAAGTCTGAATCGCATCAAATGAGCGTCTTATTGAATTTTGACCAGGAGTGTCGTATAAGATTCTAAAAAATTTATACGCATTTTTTTTCCTAAGAATTATTTTGGTTTCAAAAAACTCAATATAATTATAGGATTCAAATGTTGTTTTATTTTCTTATATTAGGAATAATTCGAGTCTTACAAAAAATAGAAGCGATGTTGATGGTCATTGAATGAATCTATTTGAGATCGTAAAATAAATTTATTAAATATTATTTATTTTATATTATAGATAGATAGAGAAAAAATTATATAATTATTATAAATAATTTTATTTGACAATCTAACGATGCAAAAATAAATCCAAAATTTTTTATTCCTTTTAGTGGAGTTACAGGCATACCAAATTACCAATAGACCACAAGATCTCTGATATGAAGGGTACTCCCACCTATAAAAAAGTCCTAGCTGGTCGACCATCTCTGTTCTCCAAAAACTTAATTAAAAAAAAAACCATCTCGAATCTCGAACGTCTCACGATATCTCTCCTCTTCCGCAGCTTCAATGCAGATTCATCTCAAACACAGAGCTTCGTTCTCATGGACTCTGTAATTATTGTAAATCCATCGTACAGAGCTTTCAAATTTAATCTCTCCAACCCAAGCACTAATTACTTTTGTAACAATTCCTTTTATTTTTTCAAATTCAATAATTCAAAGAGACCCAAAACCTCTTCAATTTCTGTTTCATACACTCATCATTCAAATCCCCGAAAACCCAATTCACAATGGGGGAAATACAGCTTACCCAACAAATCCTTTCCAATCCTAGTTTCAATTTTACGGAGCTTCAAATTTCTGGCTCAGAAAACTTCAAAATACAAATGGGTCACCGTTCTTCGAGGTTATATTTGCTCAGAGACTATACCATTTCATGGTAAATATCTACAAAGTGGAGGATTTGGGATGGCAGTTTTTAGTGTGACATCGACGACAAAGGTCCGGATTAGCCCATTCGTGGCCACATTGGTTGCGAATCCGACGCTTATGTCGGGTTTGTTTGCTTGGATCGCAGCACAATCGATGAAGGTGTTCTTGAATTTTTGTGTGGAGCGAAAATGGGACTTGAGGATTTTGTTTGCGTCTGGAGGGATGCCTTCGTCGCATTCGGCTTTGTGTACTGCTTTGACTACTTCAGTGGCTATATGTCATGGAGTAGCAGACTCTTTATTTCCTGTGTGTTTGGGGTTTACTTTGATTGTAATGTATGATGCTATCGGGGTTCGAAGGCATGCTGGCATGCAAGCTGAGGTAATTGTTTTTATAGTTTGTAGATAGAATTTATTGGAATATACTTTTTTAACTGCCAAAACTGCTTGATTTTGGAAGGAAGTATTGCTTCTCCACTGAATGTACATGCTTTTTTTTTATTTTTTATCCGTATAAGTTTATATATTTGCAAATGAAAGAAAGTTAAAATACACACCTCTGCAGTTGTGGAAGTATATTACTGTTGATGGTGATGGGACATTTTTGGAGGAAGACAGATCGACGACATGTGTCCTCGACATCATTATGTTCCCCAGTCAGGTATGGCCACGTGTCCTTGGTAACATTTATCCCCATCTGTCAAGACAATAATGCTCGGAGCCAAGGGATCCCCCAATCGGCGTGATAAACACATATGTTCTCGGCTTGGTGAAAACCCTTGACCCCTAGACAAATATTCCTTGGTGGCGAGGTGTTCCTTCTGTACGCTATATTCTACCTCTCCTCTGTTTCTACAAAAGCTAATGATTGACAGATGGCTAGCTTAGGCCAAACTAAGCTAATCATCTTGAAGACGTTCTGCTCAATGGTGTCAGGAGGCGCAGGAATGCAGAACATGTAACCAAGAAGGGGTAGACGCGTGGAATTTGATATCGAATCAGTAGCAAAAAGACCTGGGTACTCTTGCTGACACATGATTGGAGCAAATAAGCATTTAATGAATCCTCCTCCTGATGAGACAACAATTAAGCATGGGGGACGAGAAGTGAAGTGCATTAAAGGCCCCCATACCTGGGCATTTAATACATCCTCGCTGAGAAAGGGGAATTGAATGTTCGGTAGACCGAGGAGTGAGTTTTAAATGCTCGGCATCCTGATCAGTTAAAGCAAAGCCCATTCCCCATAAAAGTGAAAGGCACACTGCCCCATCTGTGACAAATACCTGCTGGATGGACTATCAGCAATCATGAGCTTTTTGAAGGTATAAATAGTTCTAAAAAATGCATTGTAAAGGTACGCAAGAACTTCTGAAAATAACCACAGTGCTTTGCTCTTTGATAGTCGGAGGAGATACGTCGGAGAGCACTTCGACACCCTTCTAACCTGTTTTTCTGTGTTATAGGATCCCCCCACAGTCTTCCAGGACCGGTCAGGCGACCTACCAAACAATTCATCACTAGTCTTTAGGACCCCTTTGTCCCTTTCAACCTATTTCTTGTTACCGAAATCCACTTTTGGATGGGTCAAATCTCTGCCAGAGGCAATCAGAAATTCTGAAAGCAAACCTTCTGTTTCACCGGAATTACTGTCTTATCAAACCACAGTTCATCATGAGAGAGATCTGTTCCTATTTCTACTGTTGTGCAAAAATCAGCACGCATAATCTGGCGCCGTCTGTGGGAAACGATTAGTTTTTTCAAAGAACAGTAACCATGGTGAATACTTGACAGAAAGGAAAGGGTCCCCAGTAGAAGAACCTCGATTTACAAGCTCCTTCTAGTTTCAGAACGAAGGATCAAGTTGATGGTGTCAACAGAAATATCTCTATTCAATCGAGAGGGCATACCCGCCAAACCAGTATGGGCATCAGATCAGAAAGATCTCTCCCATTGGCCTGTCAACTAGCAAAAATGATCGAGGAGAAGTTTGGGGGTCGATTACGATAGTTAGAAGAGGACAATGTGAACGTCCTCGATCGTCTTAATGAATTTGTAACTTTCGTCGGAGGATCCAAGGACTCGTTCCGTTCCCGTGAACCCTCCATCAGGGAAGTGGAAACATAAGACTTGCGGAATCACCTGAACAATAAAACAGAAAGTTCCAAGGCTCCAAAGCGTCCGAGAGCCAAAATGTATCCCCCAGGTGTCTAGGCCAAGAAGGCAAGACCTTTAGCTTGGGACGACCTCCGTCGGGGACTATCCGGGCAAGGGGGCGTGGAGGAGTCCAAGGGATCAACCCTCTCCACTCGACACCCAGGAAGGAGGTACCCCGTTAGCCCGCACAGGGACCTTAGAAGGTTTCTCCCGAGTTGGAAACCGACCTTAGAGCTCGGTTGGAGGCCAAGAGGAGTAAGGCCATTCAGGAGGAGGACATTGATGACGAGACCATACAATCCCCTTTTACCAGGGACATTCGGGAGATGGAGGTGCCAAAGAAGTTTATAGTGCTGAGGTTCAAAGTTTATGACGGACGATCTGATCTCGAAGCTCATCCCAAACAGTACATGCAGATGATGTCCTTTTACCATTTAGACCATCAACTCTTGTGCCAGGTGTTCTCCATGAGTTTGGGAGACTCCGCTATGAAGTGGTTCGAAACTCTCCCTCCTAATTGCATCGGATCATAGAAGGAGTTAACCAAGCAGTTCTCCGCTCGGTTTGTTACAGGAAGTAAGCGACCCAAGGATGTTGGGTCCTTACTAATGCTCAAGCGGAAGGAAACCAATATGCCACGCGTTATTGGGAGAAGGTCAATAAGGTGGAGGGATGCTTAGAAGTCATGGCAGCCGCCTCTTTTAGGCTTGGCCTGGCAAGAGATACAGATGTGTACCGGTCATTAATCAAGAAGATTCCATCAGACATGGTTAAATTGATGGCCCGGATAAATAAATATTCTCAGATCGAGGATGAAATGGAAAGGGGCAGAGGTAGGGCCCCCACCCCCAAGAAGAAAGACGGAGAGAAATAAGACACCTCCTGGAAGGGATTGATACATTCCTCCGTAAGCTCTTTAAAAGAAGTCCACACCGTGTTTAAGGAGCCTATTTACAAGCTGCTCCAAAAGATTCGGGGTGAGCCGTTCTTCAAATGGCCACCTAAAATGCAGAGTGATTCGTCCACCCGGAATTAGAAGGTCAGGTACTCCTATCATCAAGATGTCAGGCATCGTATCGAAAATTGTTGGGTGTACAAATATTTCTTAGAAAAGTTGGTCTAGGATGGGCACCTCAAGGAATACATTGAGCCAAAATCTGAAGAGGTTCGGGCCCCCAATAACCCGGCTGTTATCCAGGATAACGTAATTGACGTGATCCACGTATGTCCACTAGGGCAACCAATATCCAGGCACCTTGAGTCCGATCTCAAAAGGGTGGCGTTCACAAGGAAGGTAGCTGAAGAAGAAGGGGGCCAGCCAGTAAGAGGGCTCGGATGGGAGAGCCCAACATTGCATTCTCTGACATGGATCTTGCAGGCATAGTTACCCCCGATAACGACGCCTTAATATTAACACTGAAGATCGGCAACTTCGATGTTAAGAGAGTATTGGTAGACTCTGGGAGTTCTTCTGAAGTAATGTACTCCGAAACCTTGAAACGAATGAGACTTGGTCCTAAAGATCTCACCAAAGTCAGGACTCCCCTCATTGGATTTAACGGTTCATTTGCCCTACCGATGGGTAAAATCATGTTGCCAGTTATCACTGGGCCTGTCACTATCAACACGAAATTTGTTGTGATCGACATGGACTCGCCTTACAACATTATCATGGGGGTGAGCCTGGTTGCACGCACTAGGGGCAGTGCATTCCACTTATCATTAGAAGCTAAAGTTTCCAACCCCGGAAGGGGTGAGGGAGATCCGAGGGGATCAAGCGTCCGCCAAGAACTGTTTCTATTCGGCTGTTAAAGTAGGAGTTTCCGTCTAGGAGAAGGGGCGGGCCCCGGAGAAAATCTTGGACAAATAACAATTATAGTCCGGACGTCCTGGAGTAGATGACCCCCGGACGGATCCGGCCGAACGATTGGTGGAAGACCTTCGAAAAGTGCTCTTAATAGAAAGAGAGAGGGAAGGTACTTCCTGATTGGCTCCACCATGCCTCCAGCCGAACAAGTCGAGATGATAAATTTTCTAAAATAAAATGCAGACGTATTCGTTAGAATGTGATAGAGATGAAAGGGGTGGACCCCAAAGCGATAACCCATAAACTTCATGTTGATCCTACACACAAGTCGGTTAAGCAAAAGTCATGGTGCATGGCGCCGCATCATGCCCAAGCAGTAAACGAGGAAGTTAATAAATTCCTAGAGGTCAACACCATTCTAGAGGTCCAGTTCCCGGAATGGTTGTCAAATACAGTCTGCGCGACGAAAAAAGAGAGAAAATGACGTGTTTGCATGGACTTCACGGATCTAAACAAAGCCTGCCCCAAACACGACTTCCCACTCCCAAAGGTAGATCAACTAGTAGAAGCCACTACAAGGCATCAGCGCATGATCTTCCTGGACACCAGGGCAGGCTACCATCAAATCTCCCTCCATCTGCCTGATCAAGAAAAGACTGCATTCGTCACTCTAAGGGGAGTTTATTGCTACAAAGTCATGTCGTTCGGCCTGAAAAACGCCAGAGCTACCTATCAAAAACTTATAAATCGGATGTTCAAACGACAAATCGGCGACACCATGGAGGTCTATATCGACAATATGTTGGTCAAGAGTAGAATGAGTTGTGACCACCTAGCGGACCTAGCTGATACGTTCTCCACTCTCTGAGAATATGAGTTAAAGCTAAACGCGGCAAAGTGTGTTTTCGGAGTAGAGTCGGGGAAATTCCTCGGTTACTTGGTGAGTCGACGTGGGGTCGAAGCCAACCTAGATCAAATTTGAGCGCTCCTGGACATCCGGAGTCCCCGAACTATCCGAGAAGTCCAGAAGCTTGCAGGGATGTTGGCAGCACTCAATCCTTTCATCTTGCGATCCTCGGACAAGTGCAAACCCTTATTTGGAGCGATGGATATTTTTTGGCAAAAAAGACTTCGGCTAAAATTCTTCAATCAGGTTTTTACTGGTCATCTCTTATCAAAGATTGTGTTTCGTTTTGTAAGGGATGCGACAGATGCCAACGGCTGGGTAGTGTGACCCAAAAAAAATATGATGCCCCTTTCACTAGTACTTGTCATAGAAATATTCGACTGTTGGGGCATCAACTTCATGGGTGCTTTCCCTATGTCATTTGGTTATTTGTACATCCTCTTGGCAGTGGACTATGTGTCCAAATGGGTAGAAGCTATCTCGACCAAGATTAATGACCACCGGGTCGTAGTCAAGTTTTTCAAGGAGAATATCTTTTCAAGGTTTGGGATGCCTCGTGCAATAATAAGTGATGGTGGATCACATTTCTGTATAGACCATTTGCATCTCTAATGTTCAAATATGACGTCACTCACAAAGTATCCACTGCCTATCACCCACAAACAAATGGCCAAGCCGAGCTAGCCAATAGGGAGATCAAGAACATTATAGAAAAAAAGGTTAACCCAAACAGGAAGAATTGGTCTGATAGATTGACCGATGCCCTCTGGGCATACCGCACTTCCTTTAAAATTATTTTGGGCATGTCTTCCTATCAGCTTGTCTATGGAAAGACTTGCCACCTGCCAGTCGAAATGGAACACAAGACCTATTGGGCCATTAAGACTTTAAATTTTAATTTGAGAATGGTCGGTGATCATAAGAAGTTAGAGCTGAATGAGTTGAAAGAGATTTGAAGAAATGCGTATGAGAGCCCCAAAATCTCAAAAGAAAGGGTCAAAATCTTTCATGATAACTCCATCGTGAGGAAATCATTTGAGCCCGGGCAAAAAGTGCTCTTATACAATTCTCGCCTCTCCATTTTTCAAGGCAAACTCTAATCCCGTTGGGATGACCCCTATTTTGTCAAGGTGGCCTACCCCAACGGAGATGTGAATGTCTAAAACCCCGAAAATGGCCAGACATTCAAGATAAATGGCCAAAGACTTCAGTCATTTTTCAGGTGTTTTGAAGAACAAGTGGTGGAGGAGAATTTAATGGATCTGGTATACCCGAAAGTTGTGGAGGAATAATTAGTTTTTTCTACCTTTCAATGTACAGGCTTTTATTTAATTACTTTATTTTTATTCCATGTTAATTATGTTCTTTTATCGTATAAGTTTTGTTCTTTTTAGTCGCAGATATTTGTGTTTTTGTTAAAGCTCAAGTGCGATGTATTCTCTAACTCTACTAATCTTTTACTGTCCGTCATTGAATATCATACCTTTTTTGTTTCATTGAGGACAATGCATGAATTAGGTTGGGGGGTGAGATTGCACTATTTGCATCTTACAGCTACTTTTGGTAGTGAAAAATTCTCCAAAAGTATTTCTTTCTTTATTGCTTATTGCTTTCTTTTAATTTATTGCTTCCTACACCAATGTTTGTGGGAATACCCTTGTTCACCCCAAGCGCAAGGAGTCTTTTGATTGGTTCCTCCACCTACATCACCTGTACCTGCTTTGTCTTTATCTGTTCCTAGCTTCCATGCTAGTATTTTACCTAGTGATTGTCGTTATGATTTTTTGTCACAAACTGTTCAGTTGTGGCATGACAGTTTTGGGACATACAAATTTTAAATATTTATGTATGTTGTTTTCTGCTTTGAACAATGCTTGTGTTGGTGGTAAACTTGACCGTGTTATATGTTCTCTATCGAAACATGTTAGAACCAGTTATATTTTTTATATGCACCAGTAACCCAAGCCAGTTGACCTTATACACTCTGATATTTGGGGACCCTCTCCTATTACTGCTCTGTCAGGTGCCCGATACTATGTGACATTTATAGATGACCATACCCATTATACTTGGGTCTACCTTTTGCATAGGAAGTCTGATGTACTCCCTATAATCACTCAGTTTCTACAGATGATTAAGACACAATTCGATATCATTGTTCGTGCTCTTCGTTCGGATAATGCCAAAAAATATGTATCTGATGCCTTAGCGTCTCACCTTTCTTCTCAGGATATTCTTTAGCGACTCACTTGTCCATATACTCTTGAGCAAAATGGCGTTGCTGAAAGGAAAAACAAGAGTCTGATAGGGATGGTACGTTCTATGCTTAGAGGCATGGGGTTGCCAAAATTTTATTGGCATTTTGCTGTCTTGACTTCTACCTTTCTGTGTAATCATACTCCGAGTCATGTTCTTCAGCATAGGGCTCCCTTATAGGTCTTATTTTCTAAGCGGACACTTTTTCTGGTCCCCCTTGTATTTTTGGATGTACATGTTTGTTCAGGATCGGTCTCCTACTCGTCACAAGCTTGATGATAAAGCAATTCGTTGTGTCTTTATGGGCTATTGTCATCAGTCTAAGGGGTATCGGTGTTGTGATCCTATTAGGCATCGTATGTATCACAATTTAGATGTTACCTTTCTTGAGCATATTCCTAATTTTTCTTCCAGTTCTGTGTTTGCTCTTCTAGTTGATGATATTCCCTTTAATTTTTCATTACCCCCGGAGCCAGAGCCATTGATCATTATCACTACAAAGTCATTGGTCTCTCCTACTCTAGAGTCATTCATCTCTGTTAGTACAGAGTCACCAATCTCTCTTCCTTTACAGGTTTATTTTCACCGCCCTCATTCTCATCCCCTTGCTGATGTCCCCTCTACCTCAGACGATGTAGGTAATACTTCTCAGTTCATTGAGCATATTGATACATCTGTTGTTAACACTAATGAGATTGTAGGTACTAGATCAGTTGTTTTACTTGATGAGATTTGTCAATGGAGGATGATGATTTAGGGCGTCGTTATCCACGACGTGATCGTTGTCCAATTGTTCTTTATGGTTGGACTGTTAGGATTTTATACCGATCTCTGCTTTTGTTTCTTATGGTGATCTGTCTCCTACAATTCGAGTTTATAGTATGACCTTATCAGATACGCCAGTTCTTAGCTCTGTTTCAGAGGCTATGCGGGAGCCCCAATGAATTATTGCCATGCAGACAGAGATAGACGTTTTTCAGCGTAATCATATGTGAGATCTTGTCTCTTTATCTTCAGGGGTGAAATCTGTTGGCTGTTACCAAAATATATCATAAATTTAATAAACATACCATTAATATTATAATTTAAAATTTTTGATATGGTACAAAAAATTCCTATGGATGTAAGTCAGCCTTTTCCACCAAGTTAATTGTCTACCCAAAAGTCATAAAAGTGTCCGTCAACGAATTCTTAAAATTCAACGCTTTTTAAATAACGGGTAAATCCTACTTTTCACCCTGAAAGATACAAATTTTTCTACTTTGCCCCTCAAATAATTAATTTTTTCATATTATCCCCTAAAAGATATTAAAATGTTGCAATGCAGTCCATCGTTATTTTTTCGTTTGTCATCCATTTGATTTTGTTATCCCGTCATGCGAGAAGAAGAGTGGCTGTATTTGTAAAATCATTTTCTGTGCAAACCCACCGACTTAGAGGGTTTTGGGTCTTATCACTCAACGACGGAAATTGATCGGAACAATACTGGCACAGTACTGGGCGATGTTGAGGAACATGCGCATGGCCAGGTCGAAGTGGATTCGAGGAGGGTTGCACCACCCACCATTGTCATTTGGTAAAGCATAGTTGGGTGGACAAAAGTTGGTGGCTGTGACAAAAATGGAGGGTCTTCCTGGGTTGCACCACCTTGGATCTTCGGCGCGCTTGATCTCGAAACAAGCTCCGACCATCGTTGAAAAGGGCCGTGCTCAGTGCCGTCGTGTTTACTCCGTAGCCTTGGCTGTACAGATTCCCATAACCACATGCTCCACCTGAACAAAACAGCTAGCAATTACAAATGGTTTTGTACATTGACCTGGTTTCTGAAGAATTAGTAATCAAACAGAGCATTTTGGGTGGTATTGGGAAAATGGCAAAAAAATAAATAAATAAATAGGGGCCACGGGTTGAGAGTTGAGAGATTTGATGCGGCTTTGCAGGAAAATGAAGATGTGAATGTGGGTTTTTCTTGCTTATCCCCAGTGCACAAAGTCTCTGTAATGGTTTGATACATGGGAAGAAACAGAGTACAAAATAGAGCAAATTAGCTTAAGTGGGAACTAAACAGAGAGAAAGAGAGGGGGGGGGGGGTATGTACTGTACCCATAATGTCAGAGGCTTTCACTGTCGCCATAAAGGGTGGCGTGGGCGCCCTGCCATGGCCCGCTTGAGAAAACGCCGGGGATGCAAGTACGAACCATAGTTAGAGAACATAGCATAATAGCAATGTAGAGCGATCCCGTGGGAACTATTTTACATAAACTAGAGAAAGAAAGAGAGAGACTGTAAAACCCTAAATCTTCTTTCTGGGCAAATCTCTCCCTCTTTTGTTTATTCCCTTCTCTCTCTCTCTCTCAGTACATTCCCCAACTCACTTGGTAGACGAAGACATTGTTTGCACAAAAAATGATTTTACAATACGGCCCCTCTTTTTCTCATGTGCGAAACACGTGATAACAAAATTAAACGGATGACAAACGGAAAAATAACGATGGACTGCATTGTAATCCTTTAATATCTTTTAGGGGGTAATATAGAAAAATTAATTATTTGGCGGGGGGCAAAGTGGAAAAATTTGTATCTTTCAGGGGGCAAAGTGGGATTTTCCCTCAAATAACAGACGGCTAAACACGTTTTACTTCTTCTTCTTATTCCCTTCTCTCTTTAGACCCGGAGCACAGAAATCGTCTACAAATACTGCAATCCAATTCCTCGCCAACTCATCGACACCTATGTCTTCTCTTCAATCTTAGCCCTAGTCTTCAGTTCTTGCTCTATGCTAAAAATCCCTCCTTCTTTCTGTGGTATCCATTTCTCTCAATTTTATATTTAATATGTTTAATCAAAGATCTTTATTCAAAAAATCAACCTGGAAATCCTAATTTGCTTAAATTTTCGCATTTACGGTGGATTATTGTTAGATCCCCCAAATTGTTAGCTCTTAGCATTGATGCATATGCTTTAATTTCTGGGGTTTGTTAGATATGGGTTGGGGCAAGAACCAACCATGAATCTATAGCGTTTGGGGAGTTTTTTTTTTTTTTATTTGTGCACATTGATCTTTGGTGTACAGAATGGTATGTAAGGGTCATGTGTGCAAATTTGTAGGTTCTGTTTTTGGGTATTTTTAGGTTGATTTCTTTGAATTTTAGGGTTGAATTTGATTAGAGAAGATGTCATCGGCCGGTGTTGTTGCAATTAATCCGATTCGCGATGAGTCTGTGCTGCTTTCACCACTTGTAAATAGCCTGGAATTAAGCGAGTCCATTTTGATATACGTCGCTATATCGGGTTCGATGGTTCCGATGAGGGTTTTGGAGTCCGATTCGATTGAATCGGTGAAGCTTCGGATTCAAAACTTTAAGGGGTTTGTTGTGAAAAAACAAAAATTGGTTTGTGGTGGCCGAGAATTGGCGCGGAGCAACTCCCTTGTTCGGGACTATGGGGTCACGGATGGGAATGTTCTGCATTTGGTTCTCCGCTTATCGGATCTCCAAGCCATAAACGTAAGGACTTATTGTGGGAAAGAGTTTACCTTTCATGTTGAAAGGAATAGGGATGTTGGGTATGTAAAACGTCAGATTGCTAAGAAAAAGAAAGGTTTGGTTGATATTGATGATCAAGAGGTATTGTGTAATGGTGAGCGACTGGAGGATCAAAGGCTTATCAATGACATCTGTAAGAACAATGATGCAGTGATTCATTTGTTTGTGCGGAAGTCTGCAAAAATTAGAGCTAGGCCTGTAGAAAAAAATTTCGAATTGTCTATTGTGGCATCACCATTGAATGATGTGAGAGAGAATGATGTGGATAAAGAAAGTGGTTGTGGTATTGAAAGGGAGAACAGGCTTGTTATTCCAAGGAAGCCTCCAGATAGAGTTATTTGGCTGGAACCAGTGATCACAAACTCAAAAATTGAATTGCCATCAGTGATTCGTGATTTGATTGACTCTACATTCAAAGGGTTAGATAGAGGGAGCTATCCAATAAGGTCATCGGAGGGTAGTGGAGGTGCATACTTTATGCTCGATGCATCAGGGGGTAAATATGTCTCGGTGTTTAAGCCAATTGATGAGGAGCCTAAAGCTCTGAACAACCCTCAAGGGCTGCCCTTGGCAGAGGATGGTGAAGGGTTGAAAAAAGGTACGAGAGTTGGAGAGGGTGCTATTAGGGAAGTTGCTGCCTACATTCTGGATCATCCGAAGAGCAGGCACCGGTCATTCACTCGTGAGGAAAATGGCTTTTCTGGGGTTCCCCCCACTGTACTGGTCAAGTGCCTGCACGGAGGATTTAATCATCCAGAGAGCATAACTCTTAAGGTTGGGTCCTTGCAGATGTTCATGGAGAACTATGGAAGTTGTGAGGATATGGGTCCTGGTTCTTTTCCTGTGGAGGAGGTACACAAAATCTCTGTGTTGGATATAAGGATGGCAAATGCAGATAGGCATGCAGGGAATATATTGATAAGCAAAGGCGAAGATGGCCAGCCTGTGTTGATTCCGATTGATCATGGTTACTGCTTGCCTGAGACTGTAAGTCGTCTTCCTCCTCTCCATTCTTGCCAAATTACTGCCTTTTTGCAACTTCATGTCTACCTTATCTCTATGTTTTGACCTTTTATGTCATATTTTCTAGGTAGTCTTGCCGTTTATATATATTTCTTACTGCTATGTGAAATTGGGGTTCAGTAAAACTTTTTTGGATATTTTTCCTTCAGCATATCCTTTGTGATGGTAATTTGGTCTAGAGTCTGATAGACTCTATTACTATGTGTGAAGGGGGGGAGCAACCATTTGTCTCTTGGTCTCTAGCCTTTCTAATTGCCCATCAACTCAAACTTTACTCATCGTGATTCTCTCTCTCCCTCTACAAATTTGTTAATGAAACCACTTCCATGTCATATTTTCTAGATAGTCTTGCCGTTCGTATATATTTCTTGCTGCTATGTGAAATTGGGGTTCAGTAAAACTTTGTTGGATATTTTTCCTTCAGCATATCCTTTGTGATAGTATTTTGGTCTAGAGTCTGATAGACTCTATTACTATGTGTGAAGGGGGAGAGCAACCATTTGTCTCTTGGTCTCTAGCCTTTCTAATTGCGCATCAACTTAAACTTTACTCATCGTGATTCTCTCTCTCTCTCTCTACAAATTTGTTAATGAAACCACTTCCAAAAAATTGCATCATTGAGAACTTTCATGCTTTTTCAGCTGTGCTTTACTCCATATTCAGTCGTTGTTTGTGTAATCCATTTGTCACGTGTTCCCTCATTCCTGCAGTTTGAAGATTGCACCTTTGACTGGCTCTACTGGCCACAAGCACGGCAGCCTTACAGCCCTGAAACCATCAGATACATAAAATCACTCGATGCGGAGGAAGACATTGCCATACTGAAGTTCTATGGGTGGAACCTACCTCTTGAATGTGCACGCACACTTCGCATCTCCACCATGCTTTTGAAGAAAGGCGTAGAAAGGGGGCTCACCCCCTTCACCATAGGAAGCATCATGTGCAGAGAAACTGTGACAAAGGAATCGGTAATTGAGGAGATTATCCAGGAAGCGCTTGATTATGTGCTCCCTGGAATGAGTGAAGCTGCCTTCCTAGAATCGGTCTCCCAGGTCATGGATCATTTCCTTGATGCAATTGCTTTGCGAAGGTCACTGCATAATATTGGTACATAGGTGTGTATATGTACATATGTTCTCGTGCATATGTATAGGATAGGGATGCGGATGCAGATATCTGTTTGTCAACAGGGTTCAATTTCAAGAAGAACTTGCTTTTGATTTCTATGTTATTTTCAATTCATTTGTCAAATTATGAATTCCTGTTTTGGATATTCTTTTATATATGTGTTAAGACTTAATATTTACCATATACGCCTTACATGTTGATACAATTTAAGGATTGTAGTGGAGGAAAAGTGGTTTGAGTTACTGTTTTTGGGAGTTTGCTAGTCAGTTGTTTTAAGCTATACGAAAGTATTCTGACTGCAATTTGTTGTAAACGAATAATATGCTTTGTATGCTCGTGAAGTTGTCAATGATTTAATATTCCGCCATGTATAAAAACTCAGGCGCAGAACTATATATAGTAAGTGGCAGTGCAAACGTAGCTGCTTGCATGGTGATAACAGTTTTCTTACTCTTCCTCGTCGTCTCCATCCATAACAGCACTATGAACTTCACACTCTTCCAATACTTTTCTGTCATAAACATCAACTGTGAGTCTGTGACGAGTTCACCAACTACAGTTTTGAATTCACCCACTACAATGTCTCACTCCAGCTCTATTACCATGGCCACTCATTTGGCTTTGTTTTATTCCTGCCAGTAAGATTGAGGCCAGACAGGCTCGAAGTTCAACGTGGGAGATGTTTCAGGTGGCGTTAGGTTGGATTTCAAACGCTGAATTCGGATGGAATGGGTAACTGCACAAAGTCACATCCTCTGTGTGTGTGAGAGAGAGAGAGAGAGAGAGAGATGTCAGCTACAAATCATACAAGCTCTTCCACCGTTTTTCCTTAAGATTGCAGGTAGCAAGAAAAAAAGAAGCATATGAGTCACTTTCAGAAGCTGAAACGTCCAGCAGAACTCTTACATATTTGAAGATCTCCCAACATCTCAGTCCACCTAAAAAATTAGCTGAAAATTGAGTACACAGAACAAAAGAAAACAAGAAAGCAAGAGAAGCCCATATGGTGTTAGCTACAGAGGTTTGGTATGCATGCCCCACCATCTGGGTTCTGTTGTTCCTTCCATATCCGCCCAGTAACCCTCAGCTTCAGCTCCTTCCTGTCTCCTCCAGAGAAGAAAAGAGCCATGTTGCGCTGTATAATGAGACCATCATGGCTATCCCTAACTTTCCGGTGACTATCTCTTATGCTTCGCGGGGTACCCTCAAAAATGAGCTTCCGGCCATTTCCCCCAACTTCCAAGCTGTAGCTGTAATTTCTGGCCTCTGTTTCATCGCCCATAAATCGTAGAAATGCCATATAAACAGGAGCCATGCTCAGCTGAAATGCTTCAAAATGAAGACAGAAGTACTGACCGAAACAATGGAAGACCTGGAACCAAATGCACACAGATTTTAGCATTCACGATAACTTTTACTGGCAATAGGTCCTTGGATGATAAATGATTCTCATAATGTTAGGAATTTATGAGGTTACAATGTATTATGTAAGTTGCATAATGCTTAGTTGATACTTAGGTCAAAACTTTCATGTTTTCTTTAAAACATTTTGAATCCTTGTGACCTCATAAAAGATTGGTTCATCTAGACTACAAAAAGTGGGTGATTTGTTCAGAGAAAACCATCATATTGGTGAATTTGCATGATTTGTGAAACAGATGAAAAAAGTACATAAAATTATAGGAAATATACTTACAGTTAGCATCCACGTGGCATTCTCTACTTCACGTGGATTAGACTTGACATAACGGTGGTTGAATGTGCATCCAGAGTGCATGTCTACCTTGTGATCATCCCTAAGATGAGAAACCAGGTAAGGAATATCCCCAACAATGGAGCACTCTGATCCAGCATATGGGCAGTCGTATGGCCTTAGGTTACATATGGCCTCGTGTTTGAGCTTGCCATAGTACGGAAAGATCTCAGGGCATCCGATTGAGCAATACTTGCAAGGTAGTTCAAGTGATTCAGCCACCTTTTCTAATGCTAGACACCTTATATCACCAAGCTCCTGTCTACAAGTGGGACACCGGTTGTGTACTTTTATTTTACAAGTTGAACACAGAGTGTGTCCATTGTGGCACTACAGAAATCGAAATTTGTTAGACCAATCAGCTAAATCTTTCCTGTTGCATAAAGTAATTAAGAAACGAAGAAATACTAGTTCATATTAAAATATAAAAATACCATTTTTAATTAAGGCATTAGTCAAACGAGTTACCTAGCCAGATTAAATAAGATCACTGCTATGCTTGAAGTTAATCATGTAGAGGAGGACAATGACTTTGACAGTTACAAAAGAGTGAATCTTCAACTCAAGCTTTCCAAAAAATAAAAAACTTGTGAATATAATTTCTAATCAATAGTCCAATAATGAATTCACCTCCTCCATCAAAAAAATTAGGTTAGCTAGGTGGCACCTCTCAAAAGGAAAATATAATTGTGTTTGATTGAAATTGCGATAGCTGACTGTGTATAATGCCAAAAAACTAGGTGTGGATACCCATCACCCATTAGATGATGGTTGAATATGTATATCAGATCTATGACAGCTTAACTAACCAAAATAATTTATGCCAGAAATAAACATTTATGCCAGAAATTTTTGACATCATGATATTTCTCCTGTATACTGCAGTTTGTTCAGCTTAAGGTAGCCAAGTCACTGTCAGGAAATCAAACACCAGATATGTAGGTTATAACTGGGGATACAAGGAATTGAAGCGAGACAATTCTAGATGGAATTCTTACTGAAGGATTCCACACCATTTGACTCAAAGAGTCAAAAAAGAACGAATCATAAAAGTTGCAAAAAAAAAAAAAAACTATGCATTGTTCAACTTGAAAAACTCGGCAACTCCAAAAAAATTATCTTCCCTAGAATTTGTATTCCCAAACAATACTTCAAGAATAATTCAGTGTGCTTTCCTAAACGACCCCACCTCTTCCAATAAGATACTACAATGTCAAAAGTACAAAATAAATTCAGGTCTGTTGGCAATTTATCTATCATGTTTACCCTCAGGTCCGACGCAGTACAAGTCAACCATATGCACACTTCATATCATAACTTTTGTCACCGGCTGGTTACAGAACTAAGAAATTACAGAGGTCAGAGGCTTGCTACATTTCACCATAATCCATATTATCTATGTCATCACCAACAAGAATCACTATGGAAAAGAATTTGTCTAAATCTCCTTTTTGGCCTCGGTTACATAACATGCCGTGCAAAACCAAACCTAAATTTCTCACATTTAGAACAGCCTGTCAGAGGCACATCGACAATTTCAAGCCCTTCACGAATGCAAATGAGGTTTATCTCCTTTTTTTGGCTGATCTTTACTCATTATGGAAGACCACAACAACTTGTAGAGTCAGCATCCTCAAACCAACATTGGAGAAGGAAATACTGGAACTGCAGTCACTATTCTTCCTTGGACACAAGGGGAGCAATAGGGAAATCTTAACTGCTCTCCAACAATTTAAACTGCATTAGCATAATTCTTATTCTTTTTCCAACCAGCACCTTTCTTAATTTTTCCTTCCTAATTTCCTCAATCATACCCCTTCTGAAATTTAAAATCATAAATTTTCATTAACATCGGCCAAGTAAACAAGGTAACAGATGGATTATGAGGTCCAGAAAAACCCAAGCCCCTGAGAACTGTCCTTTTTCCAAAACCACATGAATCCATATTCCATAGTCACCATGTCCAATATAGGCGGGAAAAGGGTAAAACAAATGAATTATATATTCTCATGAAGCCTATCCCAGATCGTCATTTGGATAGCTGCACACTCGAGTATCCGACGAATATTATGTCTGATTCGGATATATTGACCTTGACGAAGTATCCGTGCATAGTGCACACTAAATCTCAGAATATGCCATAATTCAACTTAACCTATAAATGCCCCTTCCACGCCACATTATCAACCATATCCTCCACAATCCATTCCGATTAATTCAACTATTCACACAGAAATAAAATAAACAAGAAATTCTACACCTAATCAATATCTCTTGTATGAAATGCAGCACTTTCCAGGATTAAGAACCCTAAAGACAACATCTTAGTTTTTAACTTTTAACATGAATTCCAGAACTCCAATCAATCTCCAAAATCAAAATACCATTACAAACCAACCCGGAAAATTACAAACTTGCATCTAAGAAATCCATAAAAAAAGGGTGCACGAATCCAATGGTCCAAATCAAATTAAAATTAAAATACAGTTCAAGAACAAGAAGATCATATCAAACAATCATAAGGGAAAAATTAAGTAAGGCCAGTTCTTTAAATTCAAAAAAGAACCAACCTGATGTATAGGAGGGTACATTGAATTTGTACAGACAGGACATTCGAGAAGCTCATGGACACTTGTAGTGGGATGAATCGCCGCCGAAGAGACAACGTTGCTGTAAGGCTTTGAAGACGAAAACTGACTAGGAGCATGATGATGGTGGTGGTGGTGAATCACATCTTCATCTATTCCATGAGAGGATGATATGCATTCAATGCTATCCATTTCCATTTATACAACATACATATGCTCAAGAAATATATACCTTTTGAATAGAGTCCTAGTTTTGATGGGTTTCTCTGTGATGGGTTTGAATCTTTTGTTTGTGATTATCAATCTAGCCTTAAAGGCTCCTTAAAGATTGAACATGGAAACCAGAGAGAGAGAGAGAGAGAGGAGTACTTTTCTTGATTGTTCTTCCTTTCTTTCTTTTTTTTTTTGTTAAATAAATGAGCGGTTAGAGAGAGAGAGAGAGAGCGAGCTTGGAGGGGTAGATACATTAGGTAAAGTTTACAGAATGGACCTGATATTGATTCACTGTTTTTTTTTTTTTTTCCTTTTCTGGGAATTTTTTTCCTGATAGCTGTTCCCACGTTGTTGTGCTACTACTGTATCTGGATGAGAATTTTTTTTCCCTGTATCTATATCTAACCACCAGGCTGTGGGTTCAAGGGCTGTTTTAGAGAGACAGAGAGAGCAGAGCTCTATGCTGTTTCTGAATGTAAACTGGATATAGGAGAGAGATTTCTTTTGACAAATTTAAAGTAACAAAATTTCAAGAAATAATTCAAAAATGTTATAATTACACAAAAATAAGATTAAAAAAATTAAAATGACGTAGTGTTGACACAACCGATAAAACTTATATTTTTATTCGTCATTCTTAAACCCTTTTTTGTAATTTTGATATTATCCAAAATAATTTTGGAAAGTAAGATCGTAAGAATTAAGAATCAACTGGGAATTTCAATCGTACTTAAAAAAAAAAATCGGTACCTTATTGTCAATTGTCATTTTTTATAGGTAAAGTTTAATTTTAAAAAAAAAATTATAACTGTTTATTGTCAATTGTCAATTTTTATAGGTAAAGTTTAATTTTAAAAAAAGAATTTATAACTGTTTAAGAAAATGTCATGATTGATTATAGACCATGATTTATCATAAGAATTTTGGTATCAATTCTAAATTTTATGATCAATTAAATTTTTTAAAATTATAAATTATACCTCAAAAAATTATAATTTATCGTACAATATACAACTTCAAAAAGCTTTCCAGGCCAGAGGAAATGTTGTTGCAGTGTCCTCTTGGTGGCACTATTTATTATCAAGTGACTGCACAATCTATTCCTTTTAAGCATTCCAATGTTGACCATAAATGCTGCCCTTAGTGAGTTCCCTGAAACCTTAAATTCTATACAGTAAACGATTGGCGGATCACCTAACGATTATTACTCTCGTTATTAAATTTTAAAGTTATGAGTTTAAATTTAATCTTTTTTTTTTTTTTTTATGATATAGTCTTACCAATAAAAAAAATGCAGTAAGGCTAGCCGTGGGTTGGTCATGACCCAACAACTACAATCTGTGATAGGCACCTGGGCCAAGTTGTCTTGCCAAGGTCCAGTCCTAGGGTACTTCATTTCAAATTTTTTAATATTTTGATAACTATTTTTAAAAATTTTATACTTGAGAATAAAATAAATTTTTGAAAATTTTTATATTCTTTTGGTTAGTGTTGTCACCTCCGCAATCAGGACATGCTTATGAAGTATGAAGTAATCATGGTCATTTTGGCTTACGAAATGTAAGGCATCTATTATCATTACGAATTAAGAAAAATAGTTAGAATGATAATGACGTAAAGATGGATTGGATTTAACGTTACTTCAAGATAAGAGAATCACTGGGCACCACAAAAAAAGCACCAAAGATTCTAAAGCATTATTCGGTACTTTAATTGGTTTACTATGGAATGTAACCAATCCGTTAAAGAACTTTTTAGTAGATTATTCTCATTATTATTGTTAAAGGTTTTTTGTGCTTTAAGCCTATAACTAATCAATAGATGGTGGAGACTTTCGGTTAGTGATTGAGACGTAGAAAATAATTTTTTTTGAGAATTTTCTTTTTCCCTAAGAATTAATACCGCTCCCGATCTTAGCCAAAAAACCGAAAAAGGATATTTTACTTCTAAACTAAGTACAAATAATATACTCAACTCTACTTACTTGATCGAAACTTTTCGAGATCGGCTAGTTAAGTACAAAGGATATACTTTTTAAAAAATAAATGTTATTCAAGATCTTAATAATCACAGATTGAAATGGTAAATTTGTCAAAATTAACTTACTCGGTTGGGACATTTGAAGTAACAACATTTTTAGGCCCAATCATGTTTTCAATGGGCAAATTTTCAACTAAACTCCTTATATTTTTCTTTTTTCTCTAGAAAGGTAAGTCCTTTTTTTAATTCACATATATATATATATATATATATATACACACACACACACATACATATAGGTTTGTTTGTGGTAAATGAATCTATATATAGGTTGAAAATGCCAAGTTGTAGCATCCCTTTAATAATTGTCCTCCTCTCCTGCGTTCTCTGAATTTTCTGCCAGATTAGGATAAGAAAATTTCACGGGAGAGCTAAATTTAGCTTCAATCCATTTCAGGCAGCTGCACTGAATCAGGATTTGTCCAGCTAAAGAAGACAAGTTCTGCAAATTTTTAAACTCCGGACCCAATGAATAAACTTGCTGCAGCAGTGTTGATGAATGGAAGCTACCAAATAATCCATGTGGGTTGGGGACCGGACTCTCGAATCTTTTGTTTCTCGGGTGGTGGCAAACAATTCTGTTTTGCGTGAAAACCCTGATCCGTCAGTCCTCCATTCATCCGGCCTGCTAAGAATCAGCACAAAATTTGGTATGCCCCACAGAGATTGTCTTTCTCAGTTCATATCATCAAGAAAAACAAACATATCTGAGTCTTTCCCAAGCGAGAATTGGTGAAAATGCTACTCAGCCGTTTAACTTTCAAAAAAAAAAAAAAAAGAAGCCTGTGTTATTTATCAGCCAAAGAACTTGCAAGAACAGAATTTTGTCCTGTTTATCAACTTACGATCTAATTACAAACTTGGTTCTCATTTCCAACAAAAATATAAAATTAAAATGAAAAACTCTGCATATATAATACAGACACTAGCCGAAGAAGTGGTGGTCCCTCTAGTCTTCAGCCAAACAAACAAGCATCATAGAACAAAGGGATTCTTTTATCTACCACTGATTTGGAAAGGCTTCTCTGTAATTTGCATCTTCTCCCAGTGTCAACTGTTTTATTGTACCATCCCTTGAATGGGTGTTTAGTAGCCTCTGAGCTAATCTATCTTTAGCAGTCACCTTCTTTTTCAGCATTGATGCCAGAGTTTGCTTCTTATTTCTGGCCGAAGACTTCCTCCGATTGGTTGTCTCCAACTCATCTCCAATGGCAGAAGATCTTGAAGTTGATGCCACCGCAGCATCCCATAAAACAGCTTCATTGTGCTCCCGAACTTTTGCAAGTTTTGCTCGCCTCAGTGCCTGTTTGTCATATTCTCTTTTCTTTGCCTCATCTTTGTCTCTCTCTCGAACATTCTTCAGGGACTGGTTTGCTAACTTCTCCACTAAATCAGTCCCTAACTCAAGAGTCCTCTTTTCCATTGAAGAGTTCTGAGAGATTGGCTTCCCTTCACTGTCTCGAGGAATGATGGGGCCATGAAATGGGCAAACTCTCAAGTCTCTTCTCTGACAAAGTCCCCCTTTTCTCAAAGGGGCACGACAGAGTTGGATTTCCATAGGTTCTTCCTTGTAAAGAGTTGTTTGAACATTCAACTCTGCAATTTTATCTGCTGGAATAACTGCATCATAGTCTACCCTACCCCAATGACCTTCAAGCTCCAATCCTCTCTGGTTAGCCACAAAATCCCGGTTTGAACCCCAGTTATCCAAGAAAGAGCCCCACTTCATGACTGGAGCTGCAGCCAAAAGGTTATTCCTCAAGGGGTTTGACTCAGCTTTGCCACCTTCATGACTGACCTCCTCATTGCCATTTGAAACTTTAGTACTACACGGGGTTTCATTTCTTGGTTCAATGGGGGCCGACTCGCTGTCATGATCGTTACTTCGTTTATTTGTTCTTATCTCAGAGGATTCAGTGATACCCTCTTCCCAAATATCTTCATCCTCATTATTTACAGTGTTAGGAAGAGCGCAACCTGATTCTTCACATTTCTTCTTTACTAACTGGAGACGATTACGAATATCAATGAACTCTTTCAAGGAGACATCTCTGAACCTGTTGTCTGCCACATCAACTCTTATGAGGACAGAAATCCATTCTTGCACCGAAACCAAATGCTTTGTAACTAGAAGCTTGTACAGTTCCCTCAAGGCATCAAAAACCACTTTATTTTCGCTACTCTCCTGAACCTTGTCACCTTCTCTCAACGAATCAAGACGGATCTGGCGCAGTTCAGAGTTACGGAACTCTTCCATTTCGTCATCATCATCAACGGGAACCAATGGCACATTTTGATCCTTAGTATCAATAATGCCTAAACATCCACTGATTTCATCGATTGTAGACTGTATTTCATCCTTGAGTGATGAAAAACTTTCCTTAAGGGTTTCGAACTTGTTCAGCAAAATCTCTTTTGTCCTCATCTCCCTTTCCCTTCTCTCCTGTTGAATCCGAGCTGCATTTGCTTGCAGATTAGGAAATTGAAACCGATGGATGTTTTTCAGGTAGTCAAACCCTAATCTAAGCTGTCTGTAATGGATCCCAAATGAAGTCTTCCACTTCTCTAAAAATTCAATTGCCTTTGAACGTAATACAGATGCGACAGCTTGAGGAGCAGGGAGTGGGAGGTTTCTTCGGAATCCAATGCTTAAAGTCAATAACTGATCCAAGTTCTCAACAATAACGGTCCTAAATAGTTTTGACCTCATGAACAGTTCATCAATTATGAGGAGTGTGAGGTATCTTACCTGCAAATACACCCAAGCTAAACTTTCTTACCCATAAATTCTTTATCAGGGAATTACAAATTAAACCACACGTTTGGGGAAAAAAATTTACACTATAAATCTTGCAAGCAAAAATATTGGGCATGTGAATAACTTCTTTTCAAAAGGTAATGTCATCCAGTTTTAGTTGCAACAAAAAAAACAGAAGTTTCCCCCAAAAGGTTCGCCCGTTAGCTGGTATTTGTTGTTTAGTCATTGAAAAGGAAGCAGTTTTCTTCGCAGTGCACACCATCAAACAACAAGACACTCCCCTAAACTGTTATGAAAAGCATACACGGTCGCTCTTCATCCCAACACAAACCCTAAACCGTCACTCCATGATATGATTTCAAAATGCCCAGGTGTTACAACAGTCAAGGCAGTTTTGATATAAAGGCCCCAGATGAAGGTTCTATAGAATACAAAATATCTATATTTAGAAAAAGAAACCCTAAATTTGTCCAGAGTTTTCGTTAATTATGTCAAAATAGGCCTACACAATAGTATTCTATGAACTAATTTCTGAATGAAAAGATGAACACTAGAACACACGAATTAAAAAATGTATCGTAAGCATTTGAAGAACCTGAGAATGATCTCGCTTCATGAAGCTCATGAGTGTTTGGGAAGCGATTCGGAGCTCGTAGTCGGAGCAACGGACCACCGATTTGATAGCTTTGAGGAGGCGTGGGTCCACCTCTGGTCTCGTCGAGTTCGTCGCTTTCTCTATCAGCCCTACCACCACCACCTTCCCTGATCCTCCTCCTCCGCCATCTTCTCTCTCCTCTTCCATCGTCGTCTGACTATTAGGTTTTTGTTTCGAATTTTCTTCGAGGTTTTTCCAGGATAATCCATTTTGTTTCTCATCCGGTGAGAAGGAAAAGTCAATGCGATTGGTTCATAGTCATCCGGTTTGGTTGACAAGTCAGATAATCTGACATAACGATCAGAAATTGCTCAAACGACGTCGCTCTTCCCTTTTTTTAATATAACATTACTCTTTTTTTAATCTCTCACACGTCTTTTTAAAAAAAATAAATCAGATCATGATGACACGCTGATTACTGTCCAATTCCCTTCATTGGTGTAAAACCCCCTCCGATGAATTGTTGGACGACGCTGAATTAGTGGGGCCTTTCCTGGATGAGGTGCGAGGCATCTTGGAATAGTTCCTGAGAAATTAAAGTCCTAGAGGGAGAAATTTAGGAGAAGAACAATAAGAGCATGGAGAGACCGAAGCTTCCGTACGTCGCGCGAAAGTTTTTATTGGAAACTCGGAGGCTTGTTGGGGTATGTGCGTACTCCGCACCCCTACCTCCAGATGGTGGAGTGCATGTTCACTTTAATAATTTATGCAAACTGTGTTGATTCAAGTATGATTTTATTTTTTTTTTTCTATAGGAAACAAAAATTAGGCATCTTTAGACCATTTTTAAAACAAAAACAAAAAAAAAAAAGTAATTCGTGTAAATCTTAAAAACAATGAAACATCAAGGTTAATTTATCTCTTAACAAACAATATATTAATTTAATTTAATTAAAATTACCAAATTTAGAATTAAAAAATATGATGAAGATGTAGTCTTCTTTTTTAGAGCATCATTTATATAGCTTAAAATATATAAAACTCAAATGTATACTACGGCAAAATAATATAATTTTGAAAGTTTGAGGACGTATGGGGAATTGAGAAAACTTATTACACAAGAAAAAAATAAAAAAAAAGTATTTTGAAAGTTGATGTGGGAATTTGCTTATTCAAATGAACAAAAATTGTTTAATTAAAAACAAGTATTTGAAATACTGAAGCATGAGAATACCATTTCAATTCCACATAGTAATTATCAATGATTCAGTTTTTGAACTAAATTGAGAATTAGTTGAGAAGTTATCTTAATCAAAATATTTAGCAGTAATAATATTGAAAACATAAAATGTATAATTAAAGAATTAGCTGAATAAATATATGAATTTGTTTGTAGATCACAATCATTTATCGTGTCAAGAGTCTACGATAAATCAAATTTTCTAACGTGTAAACTCTAATTTTATTGTAAATAATAAATCAACTATTTTATAAAAATTTTAATTAATTAATTGAAACATAGAAAACCAATTATTTAACTCGTTCGACATACGTGACACAACAAATTAAGAAATTATATAAAGCAAAAATAATATTAAAAGACAATAATTAAATTAACTCAATAAATCATACATTAAAAGAACTTTAGATAAAAAAAAATCATGTTTTATTGAAAGTATCTTGTCTATCTTTAATTGGAGAATTAACAATTCATAGATATAAAAAAATAAAGAAATATGTAGAAGATAGGATCTAAAATTATCTCATCTTAAATATTTATATTAAAGAGGATAAGGTTGCCTTGAAATAAATCATTGCAAACAAAGAGAGTAAATTTTGGTCAAAACTCGTGCATTAAATCTTGTGGGCTCGGGTACCGTATCTATGCAAAATTCAAGCTTAATTTTTGGCATAGTTAGAGATTGATTCACAAGTTTTTCATGAAATTCATTTTTTTGGCTTTTGAAGTTTAATTTTCAACCCTATAAAAATCAAGTCAATAAGATATCAGAGTAAAAAGTTATGACTAAAATAATAAAGACATGTCAAACTTTTATCTTTTAGAATACTTTCTTAATCCAATTTTAAATAGGTTTTATACTAACTTGTACTCTCATAACGATTAAATTGATATTTTATCTTCAAATCTTCGTCTCTTAATTTTGACCATTCAATCTTTATCAAACTGGTCATTATTCTAGAGTTTGTTTTATTTGTCTTACCTATTATTATTTTAAATTAAGTAGATTACCTATAAAAATAAATTAAATAACTATAAAATATAATCTGACACATTTAATCACAAAAATAATATATTATTAATATAATAAAATAGCATTTTTGATAGTTAATCAATCTCCAAATTTGACTTAATTATTTACTTAAATTTGAGTCAATATTTGATCGTGAAATTCAATTTAGTAACTTCATGTGTATAATAATTTTAATGTATATAAGATTTTACTTTTTCATATGAATCCAAAAAATTGTTTGTAGCTGTACTACTGATAAATGAGTTCAAAACAATTTAGAAGTCCTTATAAAAGAGTTCAAAATAAATTAAAAGTTAAATAGAAGAAAAAAATAAAAATTATATGACAATATATAGGTGGGTATAATTGAATTTATTATAATAATTAGGGGTAAAATAGAAAATCAAAATTTTTTCACAGATATTAACATTTATAAGTAATATAAATTTTATCGAACATCAAACTGTAGTCACAAGAACTTAAAAAAACCAACAAGCTAATCCCAAATCCAAACACCCCGAAAATATTATTTGAACTTAAAATTTGAGAACTTAGTTCAATTTAATTATTAAATTAGAAACAAGTTTTATTGGATATTAGAAGTCACAGTTACTATAATGTTATAAATTATAATCATATAATACAAAACACAATCTATATCTATACTACTTATAAAAGTCACTTAAGATGAAAAACTCATATTTTAACCTTAATCAAAATTTTAAAGTCAATTTTATCCATTGATGCTAGAAACTTGAATAACAGATGATCATGTACTCAATGCATCACCCTTGATTAATACTCTTTGCAGTGTTCACAACTGATTCATAGGGTTCGACTTTACAAATCTTTAGAATAGATATTAAGTAACAATTTAAACACATCTTTTAACATTTGGAAGACAAAATGCCAAATAACGCAAACATCATTTGTCAATAACGTTTTGCTTCTATGGCTATGAATCTTTGGTTAAAAAGCTTACTTGGCTTCTAGCAATTCCAATATTTAATTTTATCAACTTATCACATTCTATCTCTTTGCAACTTTTCAATTTTTTGTGTCAATTAGATTCTTAGATACTCCGTAATTTTGAGGGTCAATTTTACCCTAATTAAATATCATTGTGTCCTTTTTCTTCTTTTGACATGACCATATCTAATACAACACACACCTCTATGTTTTGGTCTTCTACCATCACATAATTAACTTACTTTAACACTCATAGTCTTCCTTCCGCACACAAAGTTAATCAACCACAGACATTTGCAATTGTTGGCTTTGGGAAGAAAAGGGGACCCTCCCTCATCGAAAAAGTAAACTCAATGGATTCATGTTTGTTGGTGAATGGTTATTTGACCATAGTTATTGGAGTTCAGTACTATTGGCATTTCTTTTAACTGAACTTTGATGTTGTGCCCTTATTGTTGCTACTGAGTTAAATTTTAAGATGACTGGTATAATATGATAAACATTGATCTCTGTTATACGTTTTTATCTTGGATTGCTATTTTTTCTTATTTGAAGCTTTTTTTTTTGTTTGCTAAGTATATGCAGGGAACAATTGTAACTAACGAAAATTTATTCTTTTTCTTTCTGGAACGGGTGTGGGTCATTCTTCATTCAGAATCAGTAAAAGGGATTCGGGTTTTTAATCTTATGGCATAATTGCCTCTTTTTTTGCTCACTCTCCAATTAAGCATGTATTGATAAAATTGAGATAAATATTCCATTGTATTAAGAAAAAAAATTAGATTTTCTTTGTAGACGATTTTAAATTCATGTGGTCCCTAATTGTTAAGAATTATTTAGGTGAGTTGATTGGAAAGGACTAGCACCACCAGTATTTGAGTATAAGAATGGCTTCAATGGGGCAATTACAGAGAGACGTGATTTGATAGTCTCAAGAGAAGGGGATTAGCTTGTTATAAAATCCTTTAAGAGACTAGCAATGGGCATGGTTGCATTACTGATAGTAATATAAAATACGATTTCTCAAAATTATCGACTTAATGTATCAAAATTATTGAGTTGGTAGTAAGTCTCAACTAATATTAGGGTCCACTATCAATTCAATAACACTGATTCATTAGGTCAGTAAATTAGATACAAATAGGTCTGTCAATCGTGTCAAGTGAAGCAAGTTCGTGAAAAAAAAAATTTACACTCATACTAAATTCCTTTATTAATTTGTATCAAATGAATCGTATCATATTAAATTTGTATAGTATATAATTGATATATAAACGAGTTGTATCATGTATTTTTTTTTATTGTCTTCATTTATACTTGATTTGTATATTAATCGTGTCGTGTTAAGTCTACTTATTTACGAAACGAGTGATTTAAGAAAGATTCAAACTCACTAATTTCGTATTTTATATTTATTTTAATTAATTTCACTCATACCTGATTTGTTTATTAATCATGTCATGTCACATCCACTTATTTACGAAATGAATGGTTTAAGAAAGATTTAAATCTTTTTAATTTTATATCGTATTTATATTGTGTTAAAGAATCATAGCATAGTTTGTGACCCTAGATACAACACAGGTTGCATTTAAAGGAGTCTCTGAATTAAGTATCGATTAAGAATCAGGTCGTGTTGTATCCATTAATTTAGGAAATTAAGGATTTAAAAAAGATTTTAATTTTTTAATTTTATATCGTATTTATATTGTGTTAATGAATCATAGCATTATTTGTGATCCTAGATACAAACAGGTTGCATTTAAAGGAGACTCTGAATTAAGTATTGACTAAGAAACAGGTGAATATATATATAGTAGTAGTTGTGATTGATTCATGTTGATTAGAGGAGAAGTGTTGGCGCAATTAGCGTAGTAAATTGCGTTGTGTTCATCAAGCTAGCCATCTTTTTACATTACAGCGTACACCAGTCCTCTTCTGTGCTCACACAACTTTTTCTTTCTTTCTTTCCTTTTCTGTGCAAACAAACACAGACCATTATCAACACCGCCTAGTGGAGACAAGACAATCACTACTTTACCATTTCCAAAACAACGACACGAGAAAAAAGAAGGCTGGGTGGGGTCCACTCTCCAAAAAGCAAAAAGCGAACGTCATTGACCTCTTTTTTTTTTTCCCAACTGTTATCCACGCACTACTGGCAGTAGTAAATGATAGGGGTAATTGTAAATTGTAACCTGAAAGACGTGTTTCCCAACTGTTATCCACACACTACTGGTACGAGTAAATGATAGGCTTAATACAACCGAAAGACGTTCGAATATTAAATTTGTAGCGTATATAATTGAAGATTAAAAATTTTAATTTATACTCTTAAAGATAAAAATTTATATCAATTTGTACCTCTAAAGATAAAAATTTTTAATTTATACCCTCAAAGATAGAAATTTGTATCAATGTGCACCCCTAAAAATAAAAAATCTCAATTTACAGTTTCAAAGATAAAAATTTGTATTAGTGTGCATCTAAAACTAAATTGATAAATTATACCTAAATCTTTTTATATTTGTCACTTAATCATTTGGACCCTTTCATATTTAGAATATTACTCCTACATCTTATGACGTTTGTGCACGTGTAACATGTAATCTCTTTTCGTTAATATCTGTTAATATAACTATTAAAAAATATCTGTTTATTTTAGTCTAATATACTATAAAATTTAAAATCAAGCTTACCATTTGAATGTCTAATAGAATAAATAGTTGCACATTGAGTGATATATTGCACTGGATATAAAAAATATTATATAAATATATACATTCTATTGAGCATTCAAATGGTAAACTTGATTTTAAACTTTAGAGTATATCGAATCCACAAAATAAAGGGTAATATGAAATTATAATTTTTTATTAATATAAAATTATATTTTTTAATGGTTATATTAATAGATATTAACGAAAAGGAGTTACGTGTTACACGTGCACAAATGTCATGAGATATAGAGTAATATTTTAAATGTGAAGAAGTTTAAATGATTAAGTGACAAGCATAAGGGGATCTAAGTATAATTTATTAATTTAGTTTTAGGTACACATTGATACAAATTTATATCTTTAAGGATATAAATTAAGATTTTTTATCTTTGGAGATGCACATTAAAACAAATTTCTATCTTTAAAAGTGTAAATTAAAATTTTTAATTTTTGAGAGTCTAAATTAAAATTCAAACTTTCTTTTAAGATACAATTTACAATTAACCCTAAATGATACCCATGTGCTCCCATCAATTCGAAAGTACTTGAATTGGCTAACCAAAGTCTTCACCTAAAACTCTACTTTTCTAAAATATTTCTCTCATTTGATTGTTCAAAGTTAGATTTCAATTCACAAGAACAACTCCAAAATGACAGATGGGAACTCACTTTTCAAAAGAAAAACATATAGATTTCAATTCACAAAATCCATGCATGTCTTTCCTTGGGAATTGATCATTAAGTTATCAATTTCTACCTCACTAAAATTGGATTTTTTTTTTTCACCATTTGTTCATGTCTATTCATTTAAATTGTGAATGTTTCATTGAAATTATTAGATCAATATTAACGTATAATATTTGATGAAATTTATAATCAATTCAAATAACATTACTTATAATTAAGGTATTGAAGAAAAATTTATTCTTTATAATAAGATCTTAAGAAATTACCAAGATTTTACCACTTGCATTACCTATATGAGGGTGAAATAATGTTACCTATACAAGACACATCCATCTACATGAATGATCCCATCAAACACCAACTACAAACCAAATTGAAACATTAAACTTGAAATTGGCCATCTTGCCCCTGACCTGTTATGTATTAGATTAATAATTTAGCAGATAATACAACAAACAACACCTCAACAACCTTCCTTACTAACTTGTTTCTCCCCCACAGGAAATTTGGATCTAGCTGTGAGAAACGGTGAGAAAAAAAAAAAAAAAAGGAAAGAATTTTTCCTTCTGCCAAACAAGTCGCCTCTTAAATCAGGCACACCCACGTGGAGCAAACCCGACCCTTGAACCCGCCAAATCGTACACCACCCGGAACCCCTGTTGCTGGATATTTCCAATTATCGACAACCCGCCTGTTGTACCCGCAAATGCAAAACAAAACCTCCCTGAAGTATCTACGGGAATCAAATAATTCGACGCCGGCAGAGACACGTCAGCACCCGCAAAATGCAACACTACAGTCGGAACCTTCACCTCCGTTTTGCCGGACAAGTCAAAACAAGTGTCAAACAACGAAAACTCCGGTCCTTGTTTCAAATTCAAAGCCCCGGCCCGAAAAGCATCCCTCATGGCCAAATAAGCGGACCGGGTTAAACGGGTTACCGATGTACCAGAATCAATGATAACCCCGCCATTCCCGGCGGCGTCAAGCTTGAACAGTGAAGAGGTAATGCCCGGAACTTGAACACCTCCGACGGAAATTCCGGTAAGACCCACGTAGTAGAACGTGTCGAGTTTAGGATTAGTGAGCAAAGGAGTGAAAATAGTGTTTCTCGAAACAGCAGAGTTGCCGAATACAATCGAAGATGGTTTAGACGAAGCCGACCGATCCACCAAACAGTAAGAAAATTTCCGGCCGAATCGGTTACCAGCCTGAGTCGGAAACGATAATTTTCCACGGCCAAGACCCAATAACCCAGCAGCTCCGACGAACAGGCCTTCGTTGTCATGACCACACCCAATTGCCACATTATTGACTCTGGTTCTTCGAAACGTTAGTGTTTCAGTGGAAAATTCACCGAATGTGAAAGACCCATCACCATAGGATACTTGGTAAAGACACATCTGGCGATTGTTGCAACCTGGGGAATCGAGACGCCGACACAGTGGAGAGCCACAGGAGACTCCGACGAAGGAGGAGGATTTGGTTGGGTCGAAGACCGGGTCGGACTGTGTGTAGCATTTCCGGCACGGCGAGCACTGGATCCAAACGACATCGCTTCCGGTGTCGAGGACCATGTAGGCGTATTTCGGAGGGGTTCCTATGCCCAACCGCGTGAAGTACTCACCGCTGCCTTGCGTGAGACCTGAGATTATAGAACTGCTGAAGTCTGCGCTACCACGTGCGCGCACGTGACCGCCGGCGGCGTTGGTTTTGACGGCAACAAGGGAGGTCAGGGCTTTGACTCTTACGTAGTCGCGCCGGAGTCTAAGGTTGAAGAGGGTATCTGGGGTGGTGTTCAAGGAGGAAGAGGAGAGAGAGTCTATGTGGTGTAACTGTAGGGAAACGGTGGTTTCTGAGTACGGTTCGGCGGTGATTTGTTCTTGTTCTGGAATGGTATGGGTTTCAGAGTCTTGGGTCCATGTTGGGAGTGACTGTGGTTTGGGGAGAGGGTGTGGGATTAGGGTTTGGTATTCTAGTTCGCTGGCGAAAGTGGTAGAGAGAGAAAGGAAAATGAAGGAAAAGAGAACGGTAATGGTTTTTCCTTCCATTTTAGAGAGAGAGAAAGACGCACACTGAGGGAGGAACATGGGGAGTATAAATAGTGGAGTGACAGACACTTCATTGTAAAGGCGGTTCTGGTGTGGAGTTAATGTTTTGGTTTTATACATATCATTAATTTTCTGTCAACGATAAAACTATTTTTATTTATAATTATTAAGTTGATCAATATCTTTTAGAGATTGATGATACTTGAGTCTTTATCATTATGCAACAACCCTTACATAATTATTATATTTTGAAAGAGCAATTATCCTCTAATTTTTTTTAAAAAAAAAACACAAACTAATCCATACTTAGGAGATAAGAAGAAGCTGTACTGCTTTCTAACCTTTTTCTGTGACATCTGTGGGGGGAAAGTAGTGGGAAAACGTGACGAGAATAACCCCTACTTGACGGTGGGAGGTCAAACGGAAAAATTGGGTTTGTAATATCAACGGTTTATTACATTTTTTTTCTTGAAAAATATAAAATTTTTTAATTTGTCTTATAAATGATTGATATTCTCGTATTATCCCCTTAAAAAAATAAAAACGTTACAATGTAATTCAAAAACATTTTTATTGCAACAATTTTGGAAGCAAATTACACCATTTTTGGACCACATTGTAATAATTTTATTTTTTTGAAGAGACAATGTAAGAAAAATTAATCATACGGGAGATAGATTGAGATTTTTTATATCTTTAAAGATCAAAATAAAAATTTTTCTAATAACAATAATACTATTTGAACCAATTTATTAACTTAATTTATTTTAATTATTTAATTAGTTACAAATCCCAAAAAATACTAGAATTCACATCGTCAATTCAATAATCTATACCGACAAATATCTCACTTGGGAGTTGAGCTTTGTTGCCTAAGGAATCAGCAGTGATAATATCTCACTGCAGCATTATTCATAATAATGCAAGGTCTTGCTTACATAAAGTAGTGGTTATTTATTACCGGTTGAGTATGGATAACGTTAAGGGGAGGTTCTCTATGTACATCCAGATATCTCTTTGGTTGGTAGGTAGGGGTGTTCAAATTTTCGACTGGTCGCAAGTTTCTATCCTACCTGTAATAATTTTTTAATATATATATAAACTAACGAAACTCTAAACCCTAACCACAGGCAGAACAATTATGATTTTAATGTATTTCATATAGTTTAAAGTTTAAACTTAAATTAATTATTATTGTATTTGTGTAACAATTATGGTGAATTGATGTTCATACTCTCTTGTGTTTTATTATAATTCTTGTTGTAATTGTTTTAAATTTTAGTGTTAATTGATTTATTGGGTAGAAATACCACACTTGTCGAATAAGGTAGGCCAAGAAAAAATTCTTTCACAAAATATCAGGTAAGAAGACGGAAGAACATATTTCCTACCCGTAGGGTAGGGTGAACACCCCTACTCTTTGGAGTCGATTTCCAGAATTACTGTTTTGTATATCCTTCCTTCAGATTTATCCTTGTCACAACCTTAAGTTTTACGAGTGTGATTAAAAAAATGCATCATATCAATCGTATACATCTCTTCTCATGATATCCACAAATAAATTATTACCTTTTAATACCGGGGTAGCAAATAGAGGCCCACGAAATTCTCCCAAACCTGAGTTATAACCTAATTATCCAAAATTCTTCAACATTAACATAATATACATAATATCTAAAATTTTTATAAGCAAACCATTTAAAATATCTCAATCTATACATATTCCCTCAAATTAACCAAGATATAAATTATTTACAAATCATCAATAACATACATCATCATACATTGTTCTTTACATACTTTAACTAAATATATAAAAATTATAACAACTATCTTCTATCTCGATATTTCCATTATGCAGTCGACCAACATATGTCCATAATTAAAAATCTTAAATGATAGAGATGAGCAATCACACGTTCAATAAGATAATCTTTTTCTCGAGCATATATAAAATTTTAAATATCAACAGTTCACAATCATAATGATAGGTAATAAAACAATTTATTAATAAGTCTAAGTAAACAATAAATAATAAGCATTTTTAAAAGTGAAACGACGATTTTATTATCACTTTACATTCTCAACACCAACCACAACTTCGATATTTTTTAAAAAATACATAATTTTACAAAATCACATATTTCTATTTCCAACATAACACATTTTCAAAATAACTCACATACACACCAAAAATACAATTTGTACTATTTTATAACAAATTTCTTAAATTAAATGATTGAGAAGTTATATAGATCAACACCACCATTTCATATTTTAAAATAACTCAACAATACCCCAAATTATGGTAAAATATACTTAATCATATCATAAAAATTAATATCTCTTTTCACAATTTATCATTTCAATACTTAGTCACTTTGTCATTTTATCAAACACATGATAGAAATAAAATCTCCAAATACACATTTTCAAAGGAATATACTCATTCTTAAGAGACAAATCAAATAAATTATATACAAAATTATATATATTCTAAAGAATCTAAAATCTTAAGTTCAATCAAATACCAATAACAAAAAAAATCAAGTTAGAGTTTCAAACCCACAATACCCAAATTCATTTAAGACATTTAAGTTTACAAATTCATAATAAACTCATCATTTAATTAAGATCTATAATATGTATTTAGCTCATACTAAATAAATAGATATAGAACATACATGAAATACATCACTGTATATGCAAAATAAATAAAAAACCTACCTCAAAAATTAGGAATCCAAGCTCCACCTTCAAATCTTCAAGTGAATTCAAGAATCTCAAATAATGTTCTTAAGTTTTCAAGCAAAAACTCAAACTCTAATGACATTTTTCTCTCTTTCTCTTTCTAATTTTATGGTTTTTAGAGTAGTATTGAGTGAGAGGTGTAAAAAAAATGAGAGAAATTGAGATGAAAATGAGCTTATAAAGGCTGAAATTCACGCCGGGTATTTGTTCACAGGTCCCAAAAAAATGTATTTTTCTCTAAAATTATGATTTTGCCCCAAGACTTTTCCAATTTGACCCGTATAATTACCCTAAGATTTTTTGACATTCTGGATCCATTTTTAATGTTATTTTAGGCTAAAAATATTTATTTTTATGAGTTCTATAAAAATTCAAGCCAAATTATACCCAAAATAATAAATTTATAATTTTTATCATTTTAGATTGTAATACCGACTAAATGCCTAACCCAATATTTTTTGTCACTTCCAGATTCAATAGCAACGTTCTTTTGACTTATAAACTTTTAAAATGGCTATTTAACTATCCTTCTAAAATTTACATGCCTCCAACTTTATATTTGACCCAAAAGTCATTACTTGCAAATTTAAATCTCGTGATTATTTTATGAATTACACTTCAAAATTTTCAAGATCATTTTTATAATTTTATGAACATTCTTAACGTAGTATATATATATATTCAAAAAATAATATGAAATCTTACAATCCTACACCCTCTTTACCTGTGCAGGCCTCTACCAAGGGAGAACTTGCTTTGATTGTTCCAGTTCCAGACTTTCCCTGTACATCTCTAGCAACAACTCCAAAAGCTCCTTTTCGTTTCTAGCCTTTCATATGGACCATAACATGTAGGACACGGGATTGGCCCCATGTGTTCTCATGTTCTCTTGCCTTGACCTCTTGTAGATTATACATCAGCCAGTCTTCTATTCTAGTTTTCTTTGCACCTATCAATGGTAAGCTGTATAGATGAGTTCTCCCATATTGACATTGTCCAAGGGCAAAGTAGAAACACGTGTTCTGCAGTATCCTCTTCTTCTCCACATGTTGAGCATAGAGGATGATGGCATCTTTTCCTACTCCATTTGCCACATTTTTTGGGAAAAACCTCTTGAACTAATGCAACATTCCATTGCTTCTGAGGGAATTTTATAAGTTCCTGAGACTTTGCTTATGCCACAGTTAGTTGTATTTGACATTCTTGGGTGACCTGGGATCCTGTTGTCCTTCCAACAACCAAGTCTGCTTCCATCTCCTATTTGCCAGATGCCACCCCTTGCTACCAAGTCCCTCCCCTCAACTATACCTTTCCATATCCATGAATTTGCAGCCCTTGGTGTAGCTTGCCATACAGATTTTCTGGTAAAGTATTTTGCCTTCAAGATTCTTGCCCTTAGAGTCTCAGGATTCTGTATTAATCTCCATGCTTGTTTGGCTAGCAATGCTTGATTGAACTTCTCCAAACCCTTGAAAACCATTCCCCTTACATCTTTCTTTTTGCCAAGTACTCACACTGTGCACATAAAAACACATTAATAAAAAATACACAAGCCCCAAGTAAAACAAAGACACACCATTATAGACACGCACTAGACACAAGCAAACACACTTAAAAACATACTATAGAAGAAAAATAAGACACTGATACACAATAAAAATTGATAAAAAAAATAAAGAACACAAAATAAAACAAATACAAACAGTAATACATCAATAAATATAGACTTTGAGAAATATATCGATATTTAAACAACATTGACTTTGAGTGATCTACGGGAGCATATATCTTCAGCTGGTTGATATGTATAAGTACAATCTTCAGTTAGCCGTTAAAGAGTGCAGTCTTACTGGAGAATAGTCCTATTAGGATGATGGTGGTGGTATTTGCAATAGGGAGTAGTGGTGGTTCAAAATGAGTACTTACTTATGTTCAACCCATTGGACATCCATATTTAACCCACTTTATTAATTTAACTAGCATTACCAAACCCGTTTACAACCTACAAAAATAAATTGGTTACTCAACCCGCTAATTTGTGGGTGAATTGGTTATTAATTGATATGGATTGCCACTCCTACATTCAGCCTTGGTCGTAGTTAGCGGTGGCAAATGGGGGGTTGGGTTGGTTATGGGCTAGTTCAAATTAGGTTAGGTGCAAAACAAATCAAATCCATTTTCAACCTGCTTAATAAACGGTTATAATGGGTTGAATCATAACGGGTTGTATTAAAACTCATTAACCCGTAAAATAACTCAAACTCTAAATATAAACACATACTACTATTATACCAAATAAAACACATCCTAATTCCTAATACACTAAAAAATACTCCTGTCCCCATTAGTCTTACTCCACCAGAATCTAGCCACGGTAGATGTAATTTCTTGACAAAAGGATTTGGGGAATCTAAAAATGGATAGGGCATAAAGTAGGTATGGCTTCAACTACTGCTCTGATAAGTACTTCCCTCCCCGCATGGTTAAGTAGTTTCTCCTTCCACATACTAAAAATATGTGTGAATACACATAATAAAAATATATGCACTGATGCATAAAAAGCACACGCATAAGGACATTGATAACATAAAAACTATACAGCAATAAACATGCACACTATGCACATAAAAAACAAACAAATTCATTAAGTAAACACAAATATAATGCATAAATGCACCATAAAAAACACACTGATATACAAAAGTACACATGAATTTCCCAAAGAAATACACACTGGCACCCAAAAAAAAAAAAAGGCACACACATGGTAATACACCAAAAACAAACATATAATGGGTGCCCCTACTTATGATTCAGAACAAAAAACCCATATTACCATTATTTCGTTCATAAGTAGTACCCCCCCCCCCTCCCCCCCAAAAAAATAAATAAATAAGAGATGCAGATAAAGAAGACACCAGATGATAAAAGCAAAAAAACACAAATATAATGCACCATAAAAAACACACTGATTTACAAAAACACACATGAATTCCCCAATTAAATACACACCGACACCCAAAAGTAAAAAAAGGCACACACATGATAATATACCAAAAACAAACACACAATGGCTGCCACTACTTATGATTCAGAACAAAAAACCCAATATTACCATTATTTCATTCATAAGTAGTGCACCCCCCAAAAAATAAGAGATGCAGATAAAGAAGACAGCAGTTGATGAAAGCAAAAAACACGTCACATACCTCAAATACCAAGCCAACACTATCTCAAATATATCAAGCACATTTACAACTTTCTTGCATTTTAAGGCTTTAATTCTCTTGGGATACTTTAGTCCTTTTCTATTCTTTACAGTTCTTTTCTTTACAATTGTTTATGTTGCGCTCACTCATCCTCTTGGAGATGCATGTTCCCAACCTGGAGAAGCCCCTAGCTTTACCAGGTCAGTCGCAAAATATGTAACGATTACGTGAAAGGAAATTTCATGGTTTGACAATAAATCATGGGTACTAAATCCCATCATACAGTACTGATAGAGATATTTCCTGCATCATGTTCTTCCATAGGAGTGTTCGTTTTACTATTCTTTTCGATGTCTATCACTATGGATTCTAGCAAATTAAAATAAAAAAAGCTACCATTTGTTTCTCAGTCCTTCCCCACCGGGTGTATTCCTTTTATCAATGAAGGATCTACTATTAATTAAAATGTCCAGACAATTCATCCAAAATGAATCCAGTGTTAGTTTGGAGTTAATTCATACCTTCAACATCCAAGTCACCACTCCCCACAACATGCAAGTCTTGAGAAAGTTCCTGTGTCTTCTCACATGTCACAGCTAGCATTCGCAGGTAATGAAACAACAGGCAAATCCAATTGAATAAAAATATAAAAATGGCGTTACGTTCGAATGGGTTGAAAATTGCAGTCATAGTAATTTAACCAAGAGAAGTCTGCATTCTTCCATAGGAGGTGGATTCACAAGAGATGGGTTCTTCACCAATGGCTTCTTGAGAAGTTTTGGAATTCTGTCCTCCAAATTTTGCTGCATACACACAGAACATTGTTCACAACTGTGAGATCACCAACCAATACCATCCTGGTATCCACTCCAATACAATGAACCAACACCAAAACCATGGGAACAAAATGAAAGGTGTTCATCATGAAATACCTGAACCAAAATTGGCATACATCATTAGGATAAGGAAAACAACCGTCATGGTAGCTGCTTCTTTTCACACAGAATCCGCAACAAATCTTAACCATTAAATCAAGATCAATGAAAAGACACAACAACTTTGAACAGATCAAGGATAGTACTTCAAACTAGGTTGGGGACGCTGGTAATCCAGAACTAATCTTGAGTCTGCATTCATGGCCTCCATGTCAAACATTGGGCATAATCCAATATAATGTTGCATGGCACCAGTACCCTTGTTGAACTGCATTGCAAATCAATAAGGAAAGAAGAGGAAAGGAAAAAACTTCCCTAAAGATTATCACAGTTCTTTAAAAACTTACCGAGTTCCATCCTATACCGAAAGTAGCAAATTGAAACAGTAGTCTACAATCACAATGAATCAATATTAAATCCTTGACACACAGAATCTTTTGAAAACCAGATAAACCCCTTATCTGAATGCATTCATCTATCCATATGTGAAGGTGAAAAAAGACAGAAAATTCTATAGCATTGTATGGTTTCCAAGATAGTATTTCTGTTCATGAGCATGTTGGAGTTATTACAAGCAACAGAAGGAACATATCAAAAATCAGATCCAGTTTTTGCAACACAAACCAATAAACTAAAACATGACAATTAGATGCAATTGAAGAAACCATAAGAAGATTGGGAAAAAGTAGAACAAGAACAACAGAAGTAGAAAGTTTAAATTGCCTTGTTTAAATCTCAGAATGCCCACACTCAAAAATATACTTTCAAATATTTGTTCTTTTCCAAGTTGGAGTCTGGAGTAGTTAGTGTTAGTCAATTCTTTCAAAACATTAAAAAGTATAAATGAATTCCAAAAAAAGGTGGGTAAATATGCAGATCTGTTCGCCCTCACCACGTTACAAAAAGCATTACCAAAGTGTCTATGAAAGGCCATGCAAATTGGCCTTCTAGTTAAAGCATTGTCTAGCATGCCTAGGAAACAAAAATACTCTAGCTTCTATGATTCACCTTTTGAAATGGAACTACCAAACATGCCTCAATGTTTTTGATTGAATATAAAGGTTTGGGTGGTGGTGAAAGGGGTGATGTTCTTTGGAATTGTGCTTTCTTTGCAATAGTGTGGGTCATTTGGATGGAAAGATATGCTAGAATTTTTGAAGATAAAAAAGATGTGGGATTGAATTTATTTCCATGCATATTTTTGGGCCTCTGTTACAAAGGAGTTCGAAAGTATTACCTCAAGTTGGATGGCATCGTGTGGAAGATAATTTTCTTTTGACGACTGCTTCGTTTTTGGTTTTTGCTCTTTTTTTGTTTGTTTGAGGGTTGGACTACTTGTTCACCCTGCACCTTTTTTGGTTCTTATCAATGAAAAGTTTGTTTCTTATAAAAATAAAAAAAAAGTGCCAGCTGTGTGTTTGCTAGGTGTTGCACATATAGTACCAGGTTTGGTTAAAGCTGTGTCCAAGAGCTGGGAATTTAGGGGAAGGAGTCTAATCCTATGTATTTCTTTCATTAGCTGGTGGAGATTGTGGAAACCATAGCAGTATAGGTGATTCAACAAGTTGATGGTTCAGTATAAGGCATCTACAATCTAGGTTGATTAACATTTCCATTCTTTAGTAATTTATGTGTTCCCTAACATGCATCTTGCACAATTTCTATTTGTAGAGAAAAAAGTCATATCGTGAAATGAACAAATAAACATCACCGAAAAAACCTGAGACAAAATTTTAGGACACTCTGCCATGGTAGACAATTCTCTTCTCTGTGATGCTGCATCAAATCGAGTCAGCAACCTGTTCTCCACTTCCTACACAAGCTTGAACAAGAAAACACGATATGCTATTGTATAGAATTTACCAAAAAAAATTAGCAAGCAGGAAATCTGTGAGCCTATTTAACCTCCAAGTCCTAAATGTTTCAACTTTGGAACTTTCAACAATTACACAACTGGGGCTCTCACTTTACTTTTCACATATGGAGAAAAAGCAATTTAATGGATTCATAATAGTCTCTAACATATGTCAATCATTTGCGCTACTTCTAGTGAATGCCTGACCAATTTTTTGTAATTTATTTTATAGCAAAATGCACATAATTCTTATTAACCAAATGTTAAATGCATGCAACAACTCTTTCCCACAAATAAAATCATGACCATCAAACTAAATGGAGAGCTCGGTCACAGGCGCTGATGGGAACATGTACCATGAGTCCATGACAAGCTATGATGGTTGTGAACTAAAAGGAAAATCTCAGACAAAATGGCAGGTCTATCAGAGATTTGCACGTATGCCAGTATAACCAGATATGACAGAAGAAATTAGTAGCAGAAAAAAAAATTAACTAAGGGTCACAAAGATGGCAGACGAGAAATTGGTACCAATTCAGTCAAGAAGGCTTGTTTGTTAAGATCTTCTAGCGCAGTGAATGTAGCCTCAAGCACATGGAAGAGGTATGCCACAACCCTGGCTAAAGGGAAAAGAAACATGGGCACATACCTGCCACTTGTAAGCAAAAAGAGATGACAATAAAAAGGATGAAAGGAAACAAGTTCAAGTTAAAATATGCTGAAAGGAATGCCTTGAGGTAGTGCCATGAGATAAAGTGATATCATTTTAATGCCAGGAAATGCCTATATTTTTCTATGCTCTGCGAAACAGAACAATAGATTCAATATTGATTCAGTTCCCAGAAACATTCTCACATATTAAAAATATTTTTTCAACTAAAGTTCTATGGTTGTCAAGTTGGACAAACCTTGTGCAGGCATTGGTCGGCCGATGATCAGGAGTGAAAGAGAGAAAAATTGTTTCCATTGCTGTGGAATAAGAAATCTTCGTCTCTTAATGCACATATTAAATTTATCAGCGCTATTAGAGCAATCTAGTGAGGCTACTATGAAATGTTGACTCATGAGTGGGGTAAGCTCTTCTATTCTGGTTCATGTTTTCTCCCGGCGATATGGTTCTTCCAAGGGTGAGATCGAGCCTCAAAAAATAGTGAACGGTCTTATCAATATACAAATGTATCACTCACCAAGAATTTCAATTGCACTAGTATTCATTCTGTAGGAATTGGTTCAAGCTTTTCCTAGCCTCTTCTCATTAATGAACTTCTGAAATATAACAAAGAACGCCCCCACTCAGTACAACGGAATGCTTCTATATTTCTATATCTCGACTCGAAATGAGATCATGTTTGAAAAAGGATCTTAAAGTGTGTAGGGTTGGGCCTAGAAGGTCTCTTAACGTCTTCTTTTTTCTTCTCATTGGAGTTATTTAACAAAGACTTGCCATGGTAAGGAAGAAAGGGTGATGCCATCATCAGATGATCGATAATCTGTTACTTTTTTGTTCAGATGAGAGCCATTTATCAACCTATATCAGTTATCCAATGAAGAATATTCACGTCTAAAATGAGATGACTAGCAAAAGAACCGAAGAAACACGAGTGACCTAAGTGCCTTTCATTTTTAACTGACTACTTGTCACAGTAAGACCAAAGCAGAGGTATAGCTGAAGAACAACTTATTTAATTGAGCCACCTAATGAAAGAATGGCCTGCTTTAGCATACATAAACCAGAGTGTACCCTTCAAAATCTTAAATTACAGACCTCAGCCATACCTGTTTCAATGCATTGTTGAAGACCTTTGTGAGCAGTACCCTCTGCAACAGACATAGCTGCAGCAATTTGAGCACCATCCAAAGGAAGTAAAAGCCAATAAACAGAGATTACAAAGTACTACAGAAAAAATTCAAATCAATACAGGATTCAAGAAGTATCGAGCCATTTCGCCCCAAGCATTTGAATGGGCGAAAAAAATCCAAGAATCCTCAATGTAATCAAATTTTTTTAAATGCATTAATCCAAACTCATTGCTAACATGAAGTAGTATTTTGCACAAAAGAAAATAAAATAAAAAGGGCAGAAACCCACACTTGTTTTCAGCGGCATAAATTTTAGAACAAGAAATTTCAATTCAGCACAAGAAAAGATGATTAGAAAGAAAATGGGATACTCATAAAAAATGATCACATTTTGAAATTCTACCTATTAGTCTACCTTCACATCTGAAGAGAAGTTTGCGACTATTTTCTTGTATCCCACTTTCTTTGGCTGAAAATTCATCCACCTCAGCAAGATTTTCTCAGGTGGTAGGCTCATCAGCTCCTCCACATCCTGATAGTTTCTGACATAAAATAATGAAATGCATCAGAGGTAACACATGGCATAATTCCACTAATTGGTGCAAGACCAAAAGCTGGTAAGAGAACATTTTTCACCTCACTATCATCGATCAACTCCACCGAGTGTTTTCTTCAGATTGAGGTCTGCCAGCAGTTGTATTTAGGAATAGCATGCATTAAACATGTCCAATTTAATCCAAAATACACAGTAAAATTCTTATGTAGATAGTATTTAATATAAGACAAAGGGATCCTTGTGATACAAAGCTTTGGGAATCCAACATCTCCAAAATTTTGGATAAGTGGATACTTGAAGTTGAAGAATCTCACTAAGGATCTGAGATATTAATTCTTTCTTTTTGCTACTTCTACATGTAGGCTTGGTCTTAGCCACATGATCTGAGACATTAATCCTTTCTTTTTGCCGCTTCTACATGTAGGCTTGGTCTTAGCGTCTAGCTCTTCACTTGTGGAAAAATATAATAAAGAAAGATAGTTCAAGTTACAACCAATAAATATTAGAAGTGCTGGTCACATGGGTAATATGGCCTCCAAATAACAACATTTTGTTTCTAGTGATTAAAAGTGACCAACGAATGAGAAATTCTGACATGAATATTAACAAGCCTATCAAACCACAATGCGACTCGCAATATTATGCAGACACATGAATAATGCAAATTTATGATGATGAACAAGGTCTTCCATAACCATTATGCAAACATGATTTTACCACAACGGCATGACGCATACATCTAACTTTCAATAATAACCACCCTGGGACAAATTAAAGCAATATGTTACCTGGATTGAAGGCCAAAGCATCAAGCAACAAAAAGAAGTTGCATATATGAACAAGAAACAACCAATTTTGGAAGGTATTAATACAACTTGATGGTGAACTAAGGCACAAAACTACTTTTGTCACTCTATCAACTTCACCATGTCTACAACTAAACAATTCGCAAGTGCAAAACACACAAATATGGAGGAGGCAAATTATGGATTAAACTAGTTGTGAGCAAATTGATGACGAGTTGGTTGTAATCCAAATCCAATAAATTTTCAACTAGTTTAACAAATGAGTTAATAACGGAATTCATAATCCCGTAAAAAATAGTAAAAAACATTAAGAAAGACACGCACTAATCAAAATACAAACACAGACACACAAACACAAAAAGTGCACACACAAACACATAGATAACATAACAAAATACACAAGGTAATACAGTATACAGAAAAACAAATTGTAAAAAAAAGAAATATATTATAAGACACAACCCACTCTAGTAGTTTTATGAATTTCACCATGTCTAGATCTAAACAATTTGCAAGTGTAAAGCACACGAAGATAAACGAGGCAAATTGCGGGTTGTACTAGTTGTGGGCGGATTGATAACGAGTATGTTTGTAATCCAAATCCAAAATAAGTAAAAAAAAAACAATAATATAGGCAAGTACTCATAACATACAAACAGAGACACACATGATTAAGGTACACACATTTACACATAAAAACACACACATAAACACATAGATAACATTAAAAACACTCACTGTAACACATCATACAGAAAAACAATGTGAAAAAAAAAATGCAGAAACACTATAGTAAACACCTACACACACCACCCAATATACTTCCAAAAAAATCATAGACAAAAACACCATATAAGAATGAAACACACAAACACATAGTGCACATCAAAACATATAGATAACAAAAAAAAAAATACATTGGGTAACACATTATACAGAAAAACAATGTGGAAAAAGAATAATACAGAAACGCTTTAATAAAAACCTATACACCCCACCAAATACACTTACAAAAAGAACATACATAAAAACACCATATAAGAAAGAAACACAGTACACATAAAAACATATAGATAACAAAAAAAATACACATGATAACCCATTATACAGAAAAACAAACTGAAAAAAGAAAAATACAATGTAAGACCCAAACTACTCTAGCAGTTCTATCAACTTCACTATCTCTAGATCTAAACAATTCGCAAGTGCAACGCACACAAAGATAAGGAGGCAAATTACGAGTTGGAATAGTTGTGGGTGGATTGATGACAAGTAAGTTGTAATTCAAATCAAACTCATTTTCAAAACGTTTAACAAATGAATTATACCAGATTTGACCATAATGGATTAGACTAAATTCATAAACCCGTAAAAAATAAGTAAAAAAATATTAATATAGGCAAACACTTATAAAATACAAACAGAGATGCACATGATAAAAGTACATGCATTAACACATAACAAAACACACATAAACACCTAGATAGCATTAAAATACTCACAGTAACACATTATACAAAAAAACAATGTGAAAAAATAAAAATACAAAAACACTGTAGTAAAAACCTACACACCCCACCCAATACACATACAAAAAAAACATACACAAAAACACCATATAAGAATGAAACACACAAACACATAGTACACATCAAAACAAATAGATAACAAAAAAAAATAAACATGGTAAAATATTATACAGAAAAAAAAATTGAAAAAAGAAAAATGCAATGTAAGACGCAAACTACTCTAGTAGTTCTATCAACTTTACTATCTCTAGATCTAAACAAATCGTGAGTGCAAAGTATACGGAGAAATAGAAGGAAAATTGCAGGTAGAACTAGTTGTGGGTGAATTGGTGACGAGTAGGTTGTAATTCAAATCCAACTCATTTTCAAACCGTTTAGTTATAAAAGATTGACCATAACGAGTTGAATTGAATTCGTAAACCTGTAAAAAAATAAGTAAAAAACAATAACATAGGCAAATACTCATAAAATACAAACAAAGACACACGTGATAATAGTACACGCACAACCACATAAAAACACACCCATAAACACATAGATAACATAAAAAATATTCACGATAACACATTATACAAAAAAATAATGTGAAAAAAAAAAATACAAAAACACTGTATTAAAAACCTACACACCCCACCAAATACACTTATAAAAAAAAATATACACAAAAACACCATATAAAAATGAAACACACGAACACATAGTGCACATAAAAACATATAGATAACACAAAAAAATACACATGGTAACACATTATACAAAAAAATAAATTGAAAAAAGAAAAATAAAATGTAAGACGCAAACTACTCTAGTAGTTCTATAAACTTCACTATGTCTAGTTCTAAATAATTCGCGAGTGCAAAGTACATGAAGATAAAGGAGGCAAATTATGGTTGGATTAGTTGTGGGTGGATTGATAATGAGTAAGTTGTAATCCAAAGTCAACTAAATTTCAAATCTTTTAACAAATGAGTTATTTACAAATTTGAACATAAAAGGTTGGATTAAATTCGTAAACCCGAAAAAAAAATAAGAAAAACATTAACATAGACAAACACCCATAAAATACAAACAGAGACACAAGATAAAAAATACACACACCAACACATAAAAACAAACACATTAACACATAGATAACTAAAAAAATACTCACGACAACACATTATACAGAAAAACAAAGTAGAAAAAGAAAAATACAAAAACATTATAATAAAAACTTACACAGCCCACCCAATACAGTTACAAAAGAACATACACAAAAATACCATACAAGGACGAAACACACAAACACAGTACACATAAAAACATAATAGATAACAAAAACAAATACACATGATAACACATTATATAGAAAAACAGATTGAAAAAGAAAAATACAATGTAAGACCCAAACTACTTTAATAGTTCTGTCAACTTCACTATCTTTAGATATAAACAATTCGCGAGTGCCATGCACAAAGATAAGGAGACAAATTACGGGTTGGAATAGTTGTGGATGGATTGATGACAAATAGGTTGTAATCCAAATCCAACTCATTTTCAAACCGTTTAACAAATGAGTTATAATAGATTTGACTATAATGAGTTAGATTAATTTCATAAACCCGTAAAAAATAATAAAAGAACATTAATATAGACAAGCACTCATAAAATACTTACAAAGACACATGATAAAACTATACGCATTAACACATAAAACACACATATAAACAAATAGATAACATTAAAAACATTCATGGTAACACATTATACAAAAAAAACAATGTGGAAAAAGAAAAATATAGAAACACTATAGTAAAAACCTACACACCCCACCCAATACACACAAAAAAAACATACACAAAAACACCATATAAGAATGAAACACACAAACACATAGTGCACGTCAAAACATATAGATAACAAAAAAAAATACACATGGTAACACATTATACAAAAAAACAAATTGAAAGAAGAAAAATACAATGTAAGACGCAAACTACTCTAGTAGTTCTATCAACTTCACTATCTCTAAATCTAAACAATTCGCGAGTGCAAAGCACACAGAGAAAAATGAGGCAAATTACAGGTTAGACTAGTTGTGGGTGGATTGGTGACGAGTAGGTTATAATACAAATCCAATTCATTTTCAAACTGTTTAACAAATGAGTTATAACAGATTTGACCATAACAAGTTGGATTAAATTTGTAAACCCGTAAAAAAATATTAACATAGGCAAGCACTCATTAATACAAACAAAGACACACATGATAAAAATACACGCACTAACACATAAAAACACACACATAAACACATAGATAACATAAAAAATATTCACGGTAACACATTATTTAGAAAAAATAATGTGAAAAAAGAAAAATATAAAAACACTGTAGTAAAAACCTACACACCCCACCCAATACATTTACAAAGAAAAACATACACAAAAACACTATATATGAACAAAACACACAAACATATAAAAACATATAGATAACATAAAAAAATATACATGATAACACATTATACAGAAAAACAATTTGAAAAAAGCAAAATACAATGTAAGACGTAAATTCCTCTAGTAGTTCTATCAACTTCACTATGTCTAGATCTAAACAATTCACGAGTGCAAAGCACACGAAAATAAAGGAGGCAAATTACGAGTTGGACTACTTGTGTGTGGATTGATGACGAGTAGGTTGTAATCCAAATCCAACTCATTTTCAAACCATTTAACAAATGAGTTATTTACGAATTTGATCATAACAAGTTGGATTAAATTCGTAAACCCATAAAAAATGAGTAAAAAACGAGTTAAAAACATTAACATAGGCAGGTATTCATAAAATACAAATAGAGACATGTGATAAAAGTGCAGGCACTAACACATGAAAACACACACATAAACACATTTGATAACATAAAAAATACTCACGGTAAGACATACATAAAAGCAATGTGGAAAAAGAAAAATAAGAAACATTGTAGTAAAAACCTACACACCCCACCCAATACACTAGCAAAACAAAACATACACAAAAACACCATATAAGAACGAAATACACAAACACATAGTGCACATAAAAACAAACCCCCCCCCCTCTCCCCCAATAAAAAAAAACTACAAAAATTCACACTATATCCGGAAAATCATAGTGATAAAAAAAATAGACACACAAATTCACAACAAAACGCAATATCAAATACACATAGTTGTAAAAGAATACAAAATACACACACAAACCCACTAATAAATATAGACTTTGAGTAATCTATCCATATCTAACTGACATTTACTTCAATTGATCTACTGGAGAACATGTATCTTTAAATGTTTGATATGTGTAAATGGAATCTTCAGTTACTCGTTGAGGAGTGTGAGTGCTATCTTATTATTAGGATGGTGGTGGGGCTGTTTGCAATAGTGGAGAAGTGGACATATGTTCAATAGTGGACTTATGTTCAATCCATTGGACATATGTATCTAACCCAATTTACTAATTTTATGGTAGTACTAAACTCATTTCTAACCCTCAAATATAAATTTTGTACCCAACCAACTAATTTGTAGGCAGATTGGTTACTAATAAATAAGGATTGTCATTCCTACATGTGTACTTAGTCTTAGCCTATAGATCTTCTCTTCCGGAAATATTTAATTAAGAAGGATAGTTCATGTCACAACCAGAACCTATTAGAAGTACTAGTCACATTGTTATATAACCTTGAGGTAACAACAGCTTGTTTCGAGAGATCACTGTTATATAACCTCGAGGTAACAACTTGTTTCTAGAGATTAAACATGGCTAATGAATGAGAAAATTTGACATCAATAATTAAAAAGGCAACAACACGACTCGCATTATTTAAGTACACCTGTGAATAGTGTGATTTTATGATGATTGCTAACAAGATATTATTATGATGCAGACATCAAACTTTTCAACATGATGAGTAGACTGTGATAAATTAAAGAAAGTTGTTACTTGGGATTGAAGGCTAAAGCAACAAAAGCAAGTTGTGTATAAAAGGTTTAAATGGGAAAACCAATTTCAGAAGGCATTGAAGGAGCTTGTACAAGCTAGATGGTGAACTATGACACAAACTACTCTAGTAACTCTGTAAACATTAAATTCAATACTGATTCAGTTTCCAGAAACGTTCTCACACATTAGCAATTTTTTTTCAATTAAAGTTCCATGGTTGTCAAGTTGGACAAACCTTGTGTAGGCATTGGTAGGTCGATGATCAGGAGCGACGCCATCAGAAGATGATTGATATTTTTTTACTCTTTTGTTCAGCTGAGAGCCTTTGCTCTACCTGCATCAGCTAGCTAATGAAAAATATTCACGTCTAAAATATGATGACTAGCAAAAGAACCGAATAAACACGCAAGACCTAAGTGCCTTTCCAGATTTAACCGACTACTTGTCACAGTAAGACAAAGCAGAAGTATAGCTGAAGAACAATTTATTTAATTGAGCCACTTAATGAAAGAAATGTCCTGCTTTAGCACGCATAAACCTGAGGATAAGCTACAAAATCTTGAAGTACAGACCTCTGCAATACCTGTTTCAATGCATTGTTGAAGACCTTGGACATAGCTGCAGCAACTTTTTCACAGAAGGCAGCATGAGCACCATCCAAAGGAAGTAAAAGCCGATAAATAGAGTTTGCAAAGGACTACAGAAAAATTTCAAATCAATATATGATACAAGAAGTATCGGGTCATTTCTACCCAAGCATTCGAATGGGCCAAAAAAATCAAAGAATCCTCAATATAATTGAATTTTTTAAATGCATTCAACTAAGCTCATTGGTAACAAGAAGTAGTATTTTGCACAAAAGAAAAGAAAAGAAAATGATCACAATTTGAAGTTCTACCTTCACATCTGAAGAGAAGTTTGTGACTATTTCTCTTGTATCCCACTTTCTTCGGTTGAAAATTCATCCACCTCAGCAAGATTTTCTCAGGTGATAGGCTCATCAGCTCCTCCACGTCCGAAAAAATCAGATTGCAACACATGCCATAATTCTACTAGTTGGTGCAGGACCAAAGGTGGTGAAAGAACATTTTTCACCTCACCGTCATCGATCAATCTTCAAATTGAGGTCTGCCAGCAGTTGTATCTAGGAATAACATGCATTAGCCAAAGTCAAATTTAATCCAAAATGCACAGTAAATTCTTATGTAGATAATATTTAATATCAGACAAAGGGATCCATGTTATAAAAAGCTTTGGGAATCCAACATCTCCTAAATTTTGGATAAGTGAATACTTCAAGAATCTCACCTTAATGATCTGAGATATTAATCCAAGTACAAGATGTCTCCGAAACAAAATAAAATTTAATGTCAATTCCAGTGATTACCAGACCTGTATATTATAATTGAGTAACAATTACAACCATGAATCATCCAAAACAAAAATGACGGTACATAATTCAACTAAATAAAATCAACCCAAAAGGAAGAAGGAACAAGAAGAATTAGAGAAAACAGGGGGTTTTGATCATCAGATTTAGCAAAATGGGTTGAAAAACTGATGGGTTGCTTAGTCTCCCAGCTTTGTACAATTTAACCTAAACCTTCTGCTAAATAACCCATCAGACAGATTATACTTCAAGATCTGAACTGATCCAACCAAACTAACCAATTCCAAGTTCTATTGACAGAATTCATGAAGCTAATTAAGCTTACACAGCCCAATCAGTTACCAAATTAACTAACCAAAGCACCAAACAGTAGACATCTAAAACTACTTCATATTCATAGTATTCAGGATTAAGGCAGTAGAACGTCTAAAACTACTTCATATTCGTAGTATTCAGGATTAAGGATAATGTGAAGAACTAAGGGAAAAGGAATCACCCAAAGAAATACAAGAAACGGTGGCACCAAGATTAAAATAGCACACAAACATAAATGACATTCTGAAACACCCACTAAGGAATGCGGGATATTAGAAGTTCACTCCATAAGAGAGCATCAATCCGTAAAAAACAATCATACAATCAAATCCGGAGTCCCTTTGTTGCCACTCCAAGGCAGAGTTGAGGCATAGGGTATAATTCCCATTTTTTTCACAGATTGGGTACTCTCTAGTTGATGGCCCGTTCATCAGTTGTGCCCGGGACTACCACATTGATAAGCGTACGGCATGACACAAAATGCTTCCAATTAATTGAACCAACAACAATATACAACAATCTTGAAAAATAAAGGGAAATCTCTAGACATATATATGGGTACAAGAAGCACAACAAGTGGGTGATGATCACCAAATAAGAACTCCATCCTTCGCAATTTCAAATAGGTCATCAGTTGAAGGATCCTATAGGAAGGCATCCATTTAAAGAGAATTCAGATCATGTTATGGGGTGATGAAATACCTGTGAAAGAGGGCGATGCCGCTAGAGTGCAACAGTTGAACCATGTGCTATCCACTTTAGTGGATACAGTACCTTTGTAAATCAAAATCATAAGCTAACAATTTGATTCTTACGTATCCAAAGCTTAAACGAGACATGCTCAGATAAATGTATTGGATTTGGTCTGTGGACTTGGACGGACCTAATGGGGATCATGCGTATTTATTCAAGAACTGTTAAACCATTTACCCAAAAAAAACCCCAAGGGACTCTTCCTAAATTCCCAGCAAAGCACCATAGATTGGCTGGAAGTCCCACTATATGGAAGCACTTGTTTCCATGAGTTGGATTACAAATTTAGTTCCATCTCAAACATAATTGCACCTTGAGGCCTCAAGAAGTTGAACTTTAGAACTAAAACAACCCTCTAAAAGGTTTTAAATTACCTCAGTTATGCCTTCAGGAAGAAAAATATTGAACATCCAAGCTTCCTCGCATTACTGATGATGTCGGTTGCAATCATCTTTTTCTCCTCCTCTACATTACCCCAAATTTTAAAGAAGAAAAGAATCAGTTTCAAGTATCTTAGTAGTGAAATGAAGCCAAAGACAAGCAAGAACCAATAGTATCACACAAAAATGGCTAGCACAATCCCAGACAGCTAGAAAAATACTTCCATAAAGAATGTACATGATTTTGTACCCGTCCATGTACATTATGTAGAATATATTATTTTCAAGACCTCCTTTATTATATCAAAATCTAATTATGCTCCAAATGCACCTAAAGGTTTAGCAATTACATACAAACAAACGGAAAAAAGAAATTTCGAAGTTGTAAATTCAAAACAATTGACAACACTTCCCTGCCTCTGAAATGATCAACTATGGACAACTCAGTACATGCTTTAGCTGCATAATTAAACAGCCCAGAGGACAAAGACAGAATTCGACTCCAATCTCAATATAACTTTTCACTTCCACAAAACTTTTAATGAAAAATACATATGGATAAAGGGACACACATGCATGCATAGCGTTTCAAGATGCAATGAATCAAATCATACACTGTCCTCCATACAAAGCATAATGCAATGTTGCTTCATATGGCTTGAATAAATAAAATAAGCAATGACAAAGAAGATCTTTAAGCAATATTATGAACAACTCGTAAAAAAAATTTAGAAGCTTTTCATTGCATAAATTAGAAGACGGCATACCCTTTTCTCCTTTTGTAACATGACTCCGATTGACCACTTGAGGCTGTACAGCACTAAGCAGCTCATGGAGGAAAATTCCATTTAACAAACTATTTTCCTTCAAAATCACAGTTCATATCTAAACCATAAACTGTAGTTGCAATTTGAAATTGGGCCACTTAAAACCAACTTAATAAGCAATTCAAATCACACTCAGATTAAATTTGCATTCAGAGGACAATAACTACATTACGCCAAACAAGTAATAGGCTTTAAGCATCAGTCTGCAGCATGACCACTGCAAGCAAGAAATGGTTATTCAGAAAGCTAAAGGTAGTTCTTACAAGCAAGTTCTACACTCATCAAGGATAAAAGGATCAAGGACATGTACTTCAAAACTTCCTATATGGCTCTGGCTTCCCGAATTCATCACTGCAGAGCTATCCTACTCTGAAAGAGGGAGAAGCAGGTGTACAATTAGCCCTTCAAGCACAAAGTTCAAGTAACAATAAACCAAATGTAAAATTAGCAAGATCTTAAAAATGGCTAAATCACGTAAAACAATGTATTCACATCTTGATTCTTGTCTCACGAAGTTGTTGATTCTCATTCCATCCTTTCCTGGCTTACATGTTAATCAATATTGATGTCCATTTCAATTAGATAACCTATATTTCCTCTCCGTGGACTTGTTATTTTTTAACCACATGGTTTTCGTTATCAAGGTTGCTAGCCCTAGAACTCTCACAAGATTTTAAGCCTCAGTTTTAGTGGTTGTGTAATCCAATTTTAATTTATAATGTCCTCAACTAGTACTCATATAAAAAGGCATGTAAACAAACCAACCTTCTTTGTGATTAGGATTTACCACGCACAGACAATTAGATTGCAAAACGAAAATGAGCACCAAATCTATATCACCATTAGGGGTATAAATACTAAGGTAGATTGGAACACTGGAAATTTGTTTAGTGCTGCCTGTTTCTCTATCTGTCTCATCAGCGATCTCCTTTCCAACAACAGCCATACAAAATAAAAACCGAATTTAGCATCTGAGACAGATGACAAAGAAAACCACTGATAAATAAACCTACAGATGCATATGAACCATAGAGGGAATAGATAGGGCTAGCACTACACTGGGATACACTTGACGGTAAGGCAAGTACTTAGAATCTTAGGCAGAAACAAACTAACATGCACAATGTATATTTCTGAGCAATTGGTATCCTAACAATACTTATCAAAATCAGAGGACCTCTTTCTTGGGGCATGAGAAAATTCCACATATTCTGTTCCTTCATCAAACCTTTGGAGCAGTAAAACAAGAGGTTGTCGAGTAACAATCCCTGCATAAGACATGAGCACATCAATCTAATGCTCATGGTAAAGGGATTTACATATGGATTCATATCATTATACCCGTACAATTATACATGTAACATTGGAAATACTAGCAGCATTAATTACCAGATCCACGAGGCAAAAAGTCTTGACCCAAATGACATTCTGAACGTCCACATAAGGAATGCAGGATATCAGAAGTTTCACTCCACAAGAGAGCATTCATCTATAAAATAAAATCATTACTAACGCTTCGTTCAATCAAATCCTGAGTCCTTTTGTTGCTACGCCATGGCAGAGTTGAGGCATAGGGTATCATTCCCATTCCTCTCTCACGGATTGAGTACTCCCTCACTATTGAACGCCCATTCATCGGTTGTGTGCTGGACTGTCACATTGATAAAAGCTTATTGCACGACACAAAATGCTTCTAATTAATTGAACCATAGTTGTTAGTATCGTACGATACACGATACGTATCGTACGATACGGAGGTAAAAAGATACGGATCGTAGTTATGAATCGTTTTTGCGTCGTATCGTCCGATACACGATACATTTTTACAATACGATACGTATTGGTACGATACGACCGATACGCGCAAAACCTGTTTTTTTTTTTTGAAACGACGTCGTTTTGTCTAAATAAGACACTAATTTTTTTTTTTTGTATAAAAATTTATGAATCTTGATTAATTTTATGGATTGAGTTCAAAATAGATGTTATAAATTTGGATTAAAAGTCTCTTTGGTGTCTGAAGTTTGAATTAGTGTACTATGGTTGTAAATTTTGCATTATAATATTAGTGAACTATGTTGATGACTTGAATAGGTGGTGGAGTATTAATGAGATGTTATATTTTTATGCGTGTAAGATTTTTTTTCAAAGGTATATATATTTTTTTATTATTTATTTAAAATTGCACTGTATCTTACAATACACTATTTTTAAAAAACGATACGGCTTCCGATACACGATTTAATAACTATGAATTGAACCAACAAAAATATACAACAATCTTGAAATATGAAGGGAAATCTTTAGACACATGCAAACAAAAAAGCACAACAAGTGGGAGATGATCACCAAATCAGAACTCCATCCTTCACAATTTAAAAGAGGTCATTAGTTGAAGGGTCTATAGGAAGGTATCATTTTAAGAATACACTTATGCAAGGTATTTATTGATACGTGAAACATAAGATGCTGGATTCTCTTACCATGTGATGCAATTTAGAAAATAGTAGATTTAAGGAATGTTCATGAGTTGTTTGCACCACGTCCTTTTCTTAGACTCAGATGGGATTGCAGAGAATACAAAAAACTGAAAAACTAATAAGCATAGAAGACAAAAAAAAATGATAAGTACAAGAACAGAATTTCGAATTGGTTAACAAAAATGGAAAAACCCAATCCCAAATTTTAAAAAAAATTTGTCTTTGCCACCCAAAACCTATGGAATAAGAGAAAGAAGTAGAATCAAAGAGGAAAAGAAACTCGAGCCTGATGACCTATGTAGTTATGTTACTTCGATTTCTGAAAACTGCAAAGTTCACATGGACTAAACCACATCGGTGAATACTAAAGCTCGGATGAGATGATATTTTTGACTTTCTCGGTAATACTGAAAATCAAAAAAACAATGTGGATTTCAATTGCTAGTTTTTTTTTTCACACACACACACACATCCATCCATATATGCACATGTAAATATTTACCTGAAGAAAGAGTTCACAATGGACATCATCATCAAGTTCTGATAGAAATCTGAAAGAAAAGAAGCTCCAACTCCATAAAATTCTCGTTCAAGTATTTCAGTCCCTACATCTTATGACCAATCAGCGAGTTTGAGGCCACCATTCTCTCTCATTGTCATGAACTGCAAGAACTGTGAGTATACCACATCAAGATGCAATCCACTAATATAGCAAAAATTGTACATGAATTTTTGAGCTGGACAGAGCTTACGCAAGTCTTCAATCTTCGAAGCTCCACCTATGTGAACTGGTTCGAAGTCATGGATCTGATAATAACATCCCTACATAACCAGTAATTATTGAATTTTTTCTCTCTTAAAATTTGTGGAGAGAAAGAAACTCAAAAAATTAGTTTATCTCTAAATCCAACAAATTTCCTCCCCCTATCTGTGTTCTTCTGTTTCTCTCAGGCTTGGAAGGTAGACTCAATAGTTAAAACCCGCTAAGTTAGGGCAACAGTTCAAAATTCTAGATCACTCTCCACAATGGAAATTTAATTATAAATGAAAAAGGTAAATTAAACCAAAGAAACAGAACAAAAAAAAAATGCAGAGCAAAATGGTGTCATCACATGATGTTTAGTTTTCCCTATCGTAGTAGTCCCCAAAAATTGTGATTCCAAATTCTATTACGTGTGACTTAAGGAGAGATCCAGAAGAAAGTAGAGCAAGATTGGCCAGAAAAAAACATAAGTGCAAATTTATCAAAATAAACATATTTTTTAATTTCCAAATCCATAATTGCAGAGAAAACACTCAGCTCCTATCATCATAAGCAACACCGAATCAATTATACAAAGCTAACAGTACATCTTGCATTATACAAACTTTCGGCCAATGCTAGAAATATGGGAATCTAATCTTTCAAAGCTATTAAACAAGCCATGTACACCGTTTTCCAGCAGAAAATTGAGACATGCATAAAACGTGGCTGACAGTACATCTAACTGATAAACATACAAAAAATACAAGCAAACATAAAAAACAAGCACATAGTAAACACAAAAAACACACACAAACACATTCATGACATAAAAATACAAATAATAGTAAATAAACACCCACACACACACATAAAAAATATAAAAACACATTAAGAAAATAAAAATACACTCAATATAATAAAAACATACACAGCCACACCCAAAGACAATACGCATAAAACGACATAGACAAAAACAAGTTGATGAAGGAAAAACACACTCACAAATACATTGATAAAAAATATTATAAATACACTAACAAAACACACACACACACACACTCTGATAAACACACACACATTAATAAAAAAAAATACAGGATACACAATAAAACATACATAGACACACTGATAAATATAGACTCTAAGTGTTCTATTCAACCAACATAGACTTTGAGTGATCTACTCGAGCATATTTCTTCAGTTGGTTGATATGTTTGAATGGAATCTTCAGTTCATCATTGAAACATCTGGGTGCAACCTTATTAGGATAATGGTGGTGTTTAAAATAGTAAAGCAGTGGTGGTTCAAGATGAGTACTTACTTATATTTAGTTCAACCCATTGAACACCCATATCCATCCCCACTTTACTAATTTGAGTGGCATTACCAAATCCACTTACAACCCACAAAAACAAATTAGGCACCCAACTCGCTAATTTGTAGGCATACTGGTTACTGATAAATAAGGAATGTCATTTCTACATGTTGGCTTTGTCTTAGCATCTAGCTCTTCCCTTGTGAAAAATATAATTAATAAAAGATAATTCATGACACAACCAAAAAATATTAGAAGTACTGGTCACATTGTTATGTGACCTCCATCCAAGTAACAACATTTTTTTTCTAGAGATTAAAACTGACTAACGAACGAGAAAATCTGACATCAACATTAACAAGTCTGTCAAGCCACAGCGCGACTCCCATTATTATGCACACACATGAATAATGCGATCTTATGATGATGGACAAGGTCTGTCATAACCATTATGCAAACATGATTTTACTATGATAGCATGATGCAAACATCTAACTTTCAACATAATGACCACAATATGACAAATTAAAGGAAGATGTTACCTGGATTGAAGGCCAAAGCATCAAGCAACAAAAGGAAGTTGCACATAAAAGGCATGAATGAGAAACAACTAATTTTGGAAGGTATTAATACAACTTGATGGTGAAATAAGACACAAAACTACTCTTGTCGCTCTATCAACTTCGCCATATCTACATCTAAACAATTTGCGAGTGAAAAGCGCACAAATATAGAGGCAAATTACAGGTTGGACTAGTTGTGGGCAGATTGATGATGAGTCAGTTGTAATCCAAATCTAATTAATTTCTAACTCATTTAACAAATGAGTTTTAACAGATTTGGTCATAATGGGTTGGATTAAATTCGTAAACCCTTAAAAAATAGTCAAAAATATTCACAAAGAAACGCACTAATAAAAATACAAATAGAGACACATGATAAAAATACATGCACTGGCACATGAAAACACAAACAAACACAAAAGCATACACAAAAACACATAGATAACCTAAAAAATACACACGGTAACATTATACAAAAAAACAAATTGAAAAAGAAAAATGCAGTGTAATACAAACTATTCTAGTAGCTCTATCAACTTCACCATGTCTAAATCTAAATAATTTGCGAGTGCAAAGTACATGAGGATAAAGGAGGCAAATTGCTGGTTGGAATAGTTGTGGGTGGATTGATGACGAGTAGGTTGTAATCCAAATCCAATTAATTTTCAACCCTGTTTATCAAAGGAGTTATAATAGAGTTGGTCATAACGGATTGGCTTAAATTAGTAAAATCGTAAAAAAATAGTCAAAAACATTAACATAAGCAAGCACCGATAAAAATACAAACAAAGACACACATGATGAAAGTACATGCACTAACACATAAACAGTTAGATAACATAAAAAATACACACGGTAACACATTATACAAAAAAACAAATTGAAAAAATAAAAATACAGAAACACTAAAGTAAAAACATACACAACCAACCCAATACACTTAGAAAACACATACACATAAACATCATAAAAGAACGATACACACAAACACATAGTGCACATAAAACAACACTCCCCCTGCCACCGCCACAATAAACATACACACTAGATCTAGAAAATCATAGAAAAACAGACACACTAATACACAGCAAAATGCAATAACAAATACACATAGTTATAGAAGAATAAAAGATACACACACATACACACTTATAAATATAGACTTTGAGTGATCTATCCATATCCAATTGACATTTACTTTAACTGATCTACCCGAGAGCATGTATCTCCAGATGGTCGATATGTGTAAATCGAGAGAATGTACCGAAGACTACTGGAGAGCTCTACAAAGAATTAAAAATGTGTTAAATTATCAATGAACAAAACCAACAAACAAATAGCACTTGACGTCAGATTTGAAGTTCCGTGAGATAACAAAACAGATCCTAATAAAGAAATCAACGAATTATAAGTACCACGATTAACAATCAAAGATCTCGAAAAACTATACATATAAAACAGATAAAAAAAAACAATCCGAAATCAAATCTCTTAGCCAATAATTCATATTTGAAAAGAGAAGAGACAAGATTAATGAAGACTTACCAGAACTATACAAGCAATTACAAATATATGTTGAATAATTAATGAACAAAACCATCGAACATCTAGCCCATGAAGTCAGATTTTAAGTCCAATGAGACCACAAAATAGATACACATCAAGAAATCAAGAAATTAGAAAAACCAAAATTAACAATCAAAGAAAATCAAAGATCCCAAAAAATCTTTAACACAGAAAAAAAAAGGTAAAAAGATAAACAATGAAAAATCAAAACTCTCAACCCATGATGAGATTTGAAGAAGATAGCAAACAAGATTAGTGTATGGCAAGGTGTGATTCAATCACAAAAAAAAAAAAATCACAATATTATCTTCAAAGAAACAAAAGAAGAAAAAAGAGAGATCTAACGTGACAACCGATGACGGCGCTAGAAGGCAAGGTCGACAACGGTGATGTAAGATATTCATTCTTTTGCATGATCGGAGATGATTTTCCTTAACCAGAAGCAATTCAGCTTCAGATACCTTTACAAAATTCTGCAGCCTGAAAAATCAACAATATGTTTGACAGGCATTTTCTTAAAATTCCAACCAGATAAGAAAAAGGATTCAAAAAGCATATGCAGTCACTGCTCTAGCATGAGCAACCCCACACACCATGCATTCCAAATGTTGCACAACAATGAACTCAGCTAGTTATGTTGGAAACTTGGAATAAACATATTTAAGCATATCTAGGAATAACTAATAACAAGTTGCTATATGAATTTGCATGCAGTTTTTATAATTTATAAGACCGAAAAAAAGTTGAGTATATTTCCAAATTATGAAAATCTATCCATACCAAGGTTACTCCTGAAGTGTGTTATATATTCATACTCGATACAACATACCACTCTCACATGAACCATACAGTTTGGCTGAAAGATTAGAAATAAGAAAAGTCAATAAACTATCCTTTTTTCTTTCACAATACCCCCCCCCCCCCCCAAAAAAAAAAAAAAACAAAAATCCAAGAAAACATTAGGATACCTTACCTGCTGAAATCTATTGTCAAGCTAGAATATTGCTATTAGTAGTGAAGTCATAATTTTAATCCAGTGGATCCAATCTATAATAATTGAGATGTAGCATGGTATTTTGAATTTTATGAGGTTTCATCAATCAACTACTTAATTGTAGATTATCATGGCATCTATGTACCCCATAACTGATCAATGAATATAGGATTTCAAAGAAATCTAGACAGTAGTGATATCTTTCTATGAAATAGTTTAACATAAGTTGCCTGAACACCTCAATACAATCTTAGTGTTCTTGTCTAATAATATGAGCTACCCAAGTACACATATATAAAGGTATCTCCCGTTTTCCAGATGAGTAAAGAAAAATGAACTATTTCATACTTGAGAATCCTACAAAATTAGAATAAATTTACTTCAAGGTTTCTATAAATCATATTATATTAATTGTGAGAAAATTCATCTTAAATATGAAGAAGTCCATTCCATGACAAGTGGAATTATGAAAAATTACACAACCTTAAATATTTCCAAATAGGCCCAATGGTTTTTTGAATTTCAGATAACCCCCACTGAAGAATACTTGCCTCTGCCCATGATAACTATGGAACACAAGAAAATCTATAGAGAATGCATGTGCAATCAATTCAAACAATAAAATTATAGATGATTATCTTCATATTGTAGCCCTACACTCCCAAACCTAACAAAGTATTCACATAGGTATATGATAAAATTATACATGAATGGCAAGGTCCCATTTAGTTTGACTTCTATTCACATGGATTTAATGCCCGAAACAAACAACAGAACTTCAGAATTCAAAAGTGACTTACCTTCTCAATATGTGATGGAACCATATTCTCAATGTCGTGCACAATACTATCAGGTTGACCCTCTACAATAATCCCGTTACTATAACATCAATCATTCAAATTCTGTATCTAATGACATTTAGACATCTCCTTTTTCTGGGAAGTAAGGTACCTCGGCTGTCTAACCTTTATATCTCTTCTTTCTCAAGACTGGCTAACACGTTACTTATAGCACTTTGAAGCTTGTTGGGTAAGGGATCGTGTCCATCCATGAGGCCGATGAGTTATGTCTGGCGGCCATACTTTGATCACTCTGTATTGGTATTAAAAACGAAAAAAACATGCAGTACAAGGGTAATATGTAAACAAGAAACTATTTGGATGGTTGCAGTTAATGGGAGATGCTGAACTCACCAACTGCTACTTTTGTCAGTCCAGCAAAAAATCAATCGGTGTTAAGTTCGCAGCTGCAAAGATCAGACAACATGAAGAAGGGTAATATGTAAACAAGTGATTTACGTTCTCAATATATGACCGCACCATATTCTCAATGTCCTGCACAACGCTGGGATACAACTTGACAGTTACAATCTTAGGCAGAAACAAATTAACAATCACAATGCATATTTCTGAGCAAGTGGTATCCTAACAATACTTACCAAAATCAGAGAACCTCTTTCTTGGGGCATGAGCAAATTCTGAATATTTTCTTCCTTCGTCAACCCTTGGGAGCTGTAAAACAAGAGGTCGTCGAGTAACAGTCCCTGCATAAGGCATGAGCACATCATTCTAATGCTCGTGGGATTTATAAATGGATGGACATATTAGATTCATATCATTATACCCACAGCGTACAATTATACAGGTAATATTGGAAATACTAACAACATGAATTACCTGATCCACGAGGCAAAAAGTCTTCCAACGATGCTCTCAAGCACCGAAGACTTCCCCGAGCTCTACAAACAATTAAAAATACATGTCAAATAAGTAATGAACCAAAAAAAAAAACAACGAACAACAGATTTGAAGTTCAGTGAGACAACAAAACAGATACAGATCAAGAAATCAACAAATTAGAACTACCACGATTTATAATCAAAGAAACTCAAAAGGTTTCGAAAATCTATACACTGGAAAAAGATAGAAAGATAAAGAATGTGAAATCAAAACTCTCAGCCCATATTCAGATTTGACGAGGAGAACAGACAACATCATTGAAGACTTCCGAGAGCTCTATAAGCAATTAAAAATATGTGTTCAATAATCAACGATTTGAAGTCTACAACAAAACAGATGTACATCAATATATCAACAAAAGAGAACTACCAAGATTGACAATCAAAGAAAATCAAATATCTCCTAAATCAGTACACAGAAAAAAAAAAAGAAAAAGAACGAAAGAAAGATAACGACGGCGATGGAAGGCATGGCGTCCCAGAGAGTGTGTAAAGAGATCTCTTCACCATGATCGCCTAGGGCAGATTATATCTCTGAATCGATTAGGGTTGAGAGAGTGAGGAAGGAAGCGCAAGAAGTGGTAAGAAGGGAGGGCGGTGATTGATCAAAACTGGAGACTTCAAATTTATTGTCGAACGAACCAAAGTTTTTAAACGTTGGAGTGTCGCGGTGACTTGCAAAACGGGTTTTCTTTGTTTCCTTTTCTGTCGCTGTTTTTTTTTCAAACAAATGACACTTTATATGATGTTTATATATATTCTTATAATTTATACCATAAAATATTAAAGTCCTTTTTTTGGTAAGTATAAAATATTAAGGGATGAAAAATGGGTAGTAATTGAGCAGAAAATGCTAGACACCAAAAAAAAAAAAAAAAAAAGAGTCAAAACACACATATATATCTCAACCTATTTTATTGATTTTTTTATTGAATTATTGTTTGTTTTCGTGGCCTCAAATTCATGTTGTTATATCAAACATTACAGTTATTTTTAAATAATTCTTAAAAACAATCTTAATTCTTTTTTGATTAATATCCAACATTATTTCAAAAAATTATAAATGTACACTATAATTCAAGATAAAGCTTATTTGTAATACAAATATTTAAGAAAACAAATTTATGAGAAAGATATTCACGATAAGTGTATCTATTACTTCATTCACCTTTCTCACACAATGGAAGAAAAATCATAACCTTTTACTCCCTTGTGACCCTGCAGTTGGTATACATTAAGTGATTTTTATCCATACTTTCCTTTTTAAATTTGGGATGAAAGGAATTTTTAAGTTCAAAGTACATTTAGCATGACCGAATTGGTTGTATTAGTTGCATTTTATAGTGTTACAAAAGTTTACTTGATTGTATCAAGGTACATTTTTTTTCTAAATTAAAAATTTGTTAGAAATGATTGTGTAGACCTTAGTCACATGATTAGCCTTCATACCTCACTCTTTATCGTCTAGAGCGCTCGCTCATTCACGAATTAGTAGTGAACTCGGCATCAACCCGCCCTCCAAAGTCACTAAATTCGTGAATTCAAATATTAAATTAATAGATTAAATATATAACCTAGTACCCAAAGTCAAAAGTCCTAAAACCTAACCTTGAACCAGCCCAAGTAGGCAAAAACTGATTCATTTGTTGTACTCACTTCATCAAGAGGCTTTCCAACTCATCAAGAGGGCTCACGTGCACATATTGAGAGTTCAATTGTCTAGCTGTCATATTAAATAGATAGATATGCGACCCATTATTTACAAATCAATGATACATATAGCTTGGTAAGCGTGGCTTGGCAATAGCCATCAAGGGCTTAGCCTTGGGCATTGTCATACCATAAACCTCTTTTGAATCAATATCCTCTGCCCTCATTCCTTCAGGTGGGCTCCAATCAAAGCAATGAAAGAGTCGAGCCAAAGCCATCAACACAAGCGTCACGCCAAGAGGCGCGCCAGGGCACTTCCTCTTGCCCGCACTAAATGGCAATATCTTGAAATCGGCTCCGTGGCTTATTTCAACTCGGTTGCCGTCGCCCGAAAAATGCCTCTCCGGCCGGAATTCACCAACGTCATCCCATATCGCTGGATTCCGACCGAGGCCGTGCGTGTTGATGAAGACACGGGTCTTAGCAGGGATGTAAAAGCCGTTGATTGTGGTAGCGCGTGTGGATTCATGTGGGATGAGAAATGGTCCGGCTGGGTGCATTCGAAAAGTTTCACGTACAACACAACGTAGGTAATTAAGGTGGGATAGATCAGATTCCAAGACCATGCGGTGTGGGCCTACAACCATGTCTAGCTCTTGTTGTATATTGTGAAGGACACGTGGATGTTTGATCACCTCAGCCATTGCCCATTCGTTGGTCACAGCTGAAGTATCTGTGGCTGCAGCTATCATATCCTACAATGCCAAAGCATCAACCAAGACTTGATAAAGACGACTTTAATAAGATTGAGTTCTAATTTTACCCAGTAAAACTGATATTTTAGATTATATGTGCGAGTAACATACCTGAATTAGGGCTTTAATCTCAATATCATTCATATGCTCTTTCCCATCTTCCCCGGCAAAGTTAACAAAATATCAACAAAATCCAAATCTCCATCACATTTCACTCCTTCTGTTTCCTTTCTCTTTCTATGTTCTTCAATGATTTTCATGTGAAAATCATCTACCCTCTTCTCCACCTCCCTCATTTTCTTTTCACATCCATAAGGATCCAACCACCTCCAAAATGGCAGATAATCACCCAAATAAATCAATCCCAGAAGCCAAAACAACTCATGGGTTATGTGCATGAACTCCAGGGCCTCCTGTGGGCCTGCCGTTTCCGACCCGAAATACTGCTTCCCAAGCAACATTCTTGTCACATTGTTCATTGAAAACCCACCCAAAGCTTCCCTCAAATTCAGTGCCTCTCCAGTATGGGCCCTGGCCCATACATCTTTAACAAGATGATGGGCTTCTTCGGCCCTATGCTTTGCAAAGGACTCGAGTCTCTTTGTTGTTAATAGTTGCTCCATGCAAATTCTTCTCATTCGCTTCCACTTCGGCCCTAGAGGAGCCAATGCAACATCCCCACAGCCGTAGGCGAGATGGACTGCGGCGAGTGTCCGTGGCCGGGAGGCGAAGATGTCATCTTGCCGAAGAAGTATTTCACGTATGATTTCAGGGTCATTGGTGGTGATGGCGTCGACAGTGCCGAGTCGGAGGTAGACCAAAGGCCCGTATTTCTCACAGAAGGAAGCTAGGTCTCTGTGAGGCAACTGGCTCAGTTGGAGAAGGTTGCCAACAATGGGCCATCTTGGGGGGCCAGGAGGGAGCCTATTGGTTCTGTTTTGGGACTTTTTTCTAAGCCATAACCAAGAAATATTGAATATTATGAGAGATACACATACAATGGTCCAAGCAAAGGTGTAGAAATCCATTACTGCAACAAGTTTCACCAGCTAATGGGCTCAGTAGAGGACATTAAGCTTCTTACTGTGGGTTAAGTAGAGAAAAGAGAATGATTAGCTATATCATGATCTTGGCATGAAGTGAAGTAGTTAAAAGATGATGGAGAATTAATTGTAGTAGTAGTAGTAGTAGGATGAGACTTAACTAAATTAGATGTTATAGGGTTGGATTTAATTTTTCTTAATACTGGTCCAATGCTATAATGTTCAATAATACCATATATATATATATATATATTATCGATCAAATCTATGTAAGAGGTGGTATAAAATTAGTCTTGCTTTATACCCGAACCAGAAATCCTTTCAGTCCTTTGTTGGGTCGTTTGGTATCCATAATCATTATTTTTAAAAGAAGGCTTGCTTGGTAGGTGATGCATGCCTAACGTGACTGTACCATATGTAAACCTGCTTCAAAGAAATGGTATTTGCATGGCTTTTTTCATATAGAAGATAGGTACAAGTCTGGTAGGCTAATAATTTCAAACTTCACCTTATCAATATCTGATTAGATTGTGATTTGATCATAACCATATATATGGTGTAATTAAGTGTGACCTTTATCAGGTAGAGATGGAACCAAACATTAAGCTTGAGTCACGGATACTACTTAACTAGAGGCTTTTAGAATTTAATCCATTGTTTTGGTTAGGTGGTCCTATTCAAATGGGATTTGACAAATGCTTAAATCGATGACATAATTTTATTAATTTAAAACAAAAATTATGGAAACATTATAAATTTTATCCCTCAATACAACATAATTACATCTAGTTTTATTAGGCTAGCTTGTCACGGACACAAAGTACTAATAATTATTCAAAACAAAACATGTTGTACATGACATATTTTTAATAAATATGTTTCTCATTTTAATTGTAAACCAATGACTTTCAAGTTTCGTGCAAATGATTGCTTCTCATTTTCTTCCTCTCGTTATTAAATGTGTCAATATATTTTTATGAAGTCTTTGACTTCCACCACCACATGACCTTTGGCTCCTCTTTACGAAATTATCATCACCATATGCCATAAATATCAACTGCTTCTGCAGTTCCCTTCAACTCAGAATAAAAATAGAAAAGAGTTTATTCCACAAGATTTTCATAATTATTATTTTTCGGGTAACAGAGAGAAATCTTTAATCTCTCTCCAATGGATAGAAGCGCGTTTAAACAGAGTATCCATCATTACATGTACAATTACATCAAGTCAATTGAAACAATAGTATGACTGCACCAAAATCCGCCCTCGGCTCAAACAGTTAATTAACAAGATTTGAAATTTAAAAAAGCAGACGGCGAGTGGGGCAAAACGTGAAATGATTGAAAATGGTAGAATAGGTATAGTGTCTGCAATAGCTACAGCAAAAGCACATAAGACTTCTGGTCTCCATTTTTGTCATATGCTTCACCCACCATTTATCCACACTTAACTCCTACCTCTATCACATCAAAGATATTGTGCACCGTCCATTTGCGTAAAGCTGGGGCTAGCAGCATCTTTTCTTTTTTTTTTTCCTTTTTGTAAGAAGAAAATAATATTCCTTGTAAAATTAAATTGATATAAAATATAGTGAAAGATACTCGAATCCGACCACTCTATTGTGTGCGTCATTCCCTAGTTTGGAGTTTGGACCATTACCTCTATTTTCAATGTTGGAATCACAGGTTGCCGATACCTTAATTTTTTCAAAGATTGTGGGCTTATAATATTTTCTCGTGTTTAATGACTTTCTTTCTTGTTACCCTTTATAAGGAGAAAGCAACATTAAAGGGTTGGTCTATACTTGAGTACAAGACCTATTTTCTTCCCTCTCCTTCACGTGCATCAAGGCAAATAGTGTTTGATTGCTGAGAAAATCGAAGAAACCAGTAGAAATCTCCTCTCCTCATTTAAACTGAATGAACAATCACCTGCCACAATGTAATAGAAACCATCAAAATCATGCAAACCGAAGAATATTTTTGAAATTAATGATCAGTCTAATGACTACAATTATTATTAAACTTTAAAATTATGAATTTAAATTTCGTTACCTATTACCAATGTCCGACCAAAAAGTAAAGAACAACCTTCATTGTTTACACCGTCCCTATATGATGTCTAAACATAAACCCCAAATGATTCCGAATCCTCACACACAAGTCAACCACTCTGCAGTATATAGTACTATTTTTTTAATTTTTTGTAATGAGTAAAGGCCGTTGGTCCCACCTTACATAGTAAAACCAGTATCTACTATATATAATACTATCTGTCCACAAGGAACTAATAAATTATTTGCCTGTCGGATTATCAGAAACTAATTAGTTCCATTTAATGGAGAAAAATGGTTAGCCTCCAGAAATACAGAGAAGAGGACAATTAAGGAAACTACAGGCATGCATGTACACTTAATTCAAAGACAAACAGCTACTAGAAGTGATGAGGAAAGGTTGGACTCTTGGAGACAATATTAAATTTAAGATGCTTCCCATTGACGGGGACAAAAATCTTCGGAGTGGAGGCAACTGATTAAATGAACCATAACAAAGCTTAGCCTCAAAACAATCACAACAAACAACTAATTAAATCCCATTGGTGGTTCACTAGTTGAGTCGGACCTTTGACAATCTAGAGGTTTCAGATTTAATTCCTTCATACACCTAAGCTAACCACCCTTGTCCGACATGTTATAACTAAGCTCTAAACTACGGTGACTAGTCACTGAGCTCAAAAAAATAGTAGACGCAAACCTACACACCAGGTCGCCCAAAAAAACTGATTAAATGAATCCATGGGATCACATTCCCAAGAACTAGCAATTTCTTTGTTCTTGTGAAGAGTTCAACACCAATTTGCTCACCTAAAAACCATTTTGTTAGAAGAATGCAACTGAACACATACACCGGCAAACAACTTGCACAGTTTCCCTCGAGAATAGGAACAGAACCTAACCATGATAACCCACAAAGGAAAGGGGAGATAAAAGCCTAGACGGATGACTGACTACAGATTTATAGAGTCCATGGAGCTCACAAGCCTTCCATCAAAACTTCAAGTGCTATACACAGCAATATATTGATAAAGAACCATGCAATGATATTACGATACACAAATTATTGGAAAGAAAATGTATCTGAAAAAATCATTAGAGAAGCAACTTTATATCATTCAAAACAAAAACAAAATTGGCAGCTTCTAAACAAGCAACAATAGCAGAGCCAGTTAAATTCACAAATTTAAATCATCTGGCCAGCATACTTTCTCTTGACATCATACATATACTATAAGCAAAAACAGAAAATTTGCTATCCTACTTGGTCAATAGGAAGTTATTTTTCTATTTCTAGCTGCACCCTGTATATCAAGACCTCCGCAGAAATTTTTGAAAGGGGTTCTTCACTACATATTATGCTTCCAAACTATGCTAAATATAATCAATCCTCTTATTACCCAACCGATGACAATGGCCCTGACATGTTGGATTCACGGGAAAATGCTGCAATCAATTTTTCCTTTGTCAGTTGTTCTGATCCTTGAGACTTGATGACAAACGTGTGAAACACTTTATCGTTCCCTGTCGCAAGTTTTGACTCAACAACTGTGATCTGGGCCTCTTTGAGAGCTTGAATGACTCTTGATACCGGGTGAGTATCCAAAGGGCAGCTCACTCTTACAATAACCTCATCATGGACAACTTGAATTTCAATATCAGGACTTTCTGAATTTGAATTAGCTTCAAAGGCCAATTCATCTCTTGATGTGGTTCCTAGTCTTTCCCTCTCCGATTCCATGTCCTTGAGCTTCTTCTGAAGATCAGTTATGTAAGCAATCGCGTCTCCCAACAGGGAGGCTTTGTCCATCTTGGAGATATTGGGCACAACAGCTCGCAATGCATAGAAGCGTTGGTTCAACTTCTCGCGCCTCTGCCTTTCTGCCTCCACATGATTGAGGGCCTCCTCTCTTCCATTAGCAGGCTTTCGGCCACGCTTTCGAGGCCTCTTGTCATTGGCCAGGCCTGTTCGCTCTTCTTTGCATGAAGCCTCAACATCTGAATGCTCGGACTCAGCACTCTGGGAAATGATAGTCCTTGAGGTGGCCCCAGTAAAATCAATTTGCATTTGTGCTGGTCTTTGAGGCTGGAAATTGTTAAGCCGGAATTCTTCCCTAACGCCATTGATGGGTTCCTGTAAATGGTTTGATGGGGTCTGAGGACTGTAAATCTCTACTGTGCCTCCCTGCTTCACCCCATTGAAATGTGCCCAATTTAAACCATGAAGACCATTTATAGTATTTGTTAACTGTAGCCTGTTCCCATTTGAGTTCACTTCCCATGACCTCTCGTCTGCTTTCCTAACAGCAAGTTTTTCCCTAAACTGGGGACGACTCAAGTTCAAATCCTGCCCAAAAATCTTTGGAATTCCATCTGGCCGCTCGCCACCAATACACATATTAGAGAGCTGAGCATTTCCATCCTTCTTCTCAGTTATCACCGGCAAGGCTACCATTGGTTTCGACCTGCCTTGCGATGAAAACGAGAACAAGGATCTTATTGACTGCAACAGCTCTAAACTTTCAGGTATGGATCTCACTGATCCCAATTCAACTACTCCAATATCAGTTGGGATCAGAACAATAGTTTGGATACCTGCAGACCTTGCGAGTAATGATCGGATGCAGTAATCCGTTGAGGACTTCAAAGCATCCGAGAGCCATATATGCCTCTCGGATGCAAAACACCTCCCTGGACCACCTTCCCCTCGAGGGAATGAAAAGTACATCGACGCAAGAAAGAACATTTCAGTATCTGTCACCCTATCCAATCCGAAAGCATAAGTATCCTCATCTAATCCCCCAAACATGACTTGTAATTTATAAAGCACCCTTTTCCTCATCCTCTGTTGGGTCTCATCTTGAAGCCGAGGATTGAGAAATCGGGTAACTTCAGACTCCTCTCCCTCCCTTGGTTCTCTACAAGAACCATCACCCCATCCCAGAACCAAATCACCAGACTTAGATCGCGAAATTTGCCAAAAAATCGCATAATTCCAACTAAAATTGACCGCGTTTGGGCTGTCCACGAGATCTGAAAGCTTATTCTGCAAATTTTCATCATTCCCCATTGCCGTTAACAAGCATTCTGCTGAAACCGAGCTCGAAATCAAGTAATCAAAAGCCCTAGTACCCAAAACTGCTTTAACTATGGCCTTATCTTCCTCATTCCATCCCATACCACTGATACCCACCTCTACTTTCATCTCTAATCCGCAAAACAGCAACACCCACCAACCAAAAGACTAAAAATCTCGATACCCAGATCGAAATATACCCTCAAAACAATGGAAGTAAACCAGTCTCTACTCACGAATTAAAATTCAATACATTCAACATAAGTACAAGCCAAACCAAAACAAACCCGTCTTCTCATTTACACTACAAGCCATCATCATTGTCAATATCCATTTGGTCATACCTCAAGTTTCAGATCTCAAGAGCTCTATATCCAAGTTATCAGCAAAAAAAAGGGAAAACCCGCAAAATTTCAAACTACAAAACAAGTCTATATATCGAAAAAATACACAGTTGAAAGAACATACAAACCAGTACGGGAGGTTAGGAAGCAGAAGAGCAACCACTTTGAAATGAAAGTATTCCAGGAAAGTAACAGTTCAATTGGGAAATATCTCTTCCCGGAAAATAAACGTTGGGGGATTTCAGACAGACTAACGAGAGCTTTCTCTCTTTCCTAACAAAGTGAAGTTTGGAGAGAGACGGGGGCGCTCGTTTTGGTTTCTCAATCATAACCGCATGAATTTACACTATGGTTAGTATAGGGGTTAAAAATGGTACCAGGGTTGAGTTAAAGAAAAAGAGTACTTCAAGGTTTGCCGGTTGAGTGAAAAACGGCAACAATTTTGTATGGTTATTCTTTAATCTCTGATCACTTATCATAAATAAAATTAAGTAAAATTTAATGCTTTAGTAAAAAAAAAAAAAGTGAATTATATTTTATACCCTAAAATATTTTAAGATTCTCATTTTATAACATCAAAGAATAAATTTTTTATATTACACTCTTAATGTATCAAAAGTATTACAATGAAACTATTCTATTAAGTTTTGGTTAGTTTTCCATCGGGGTTAGTAAGTTGACTTTTGATAAAAAAAAAAAATTGAAGTTAACAAAAGGGTCGGATTGTAACATTTTTGATACATTAAGGGTACAATATAAAAAATTTAATATTTGAGAGTAAAATACAAAGAATATTAAAATCTTACAAGGTGCAAAGGGTGAAAAAACCCTAAAAAAATCTAAAATTTGCATGGGATGAATGGGCAATTCACTCTCACATATGGTACATAATTTATCATTTAATAAAATTTTAAAAATATTAAAGATAATCTATATTCATGTGTTAATAAGTGCTATATATGTATCATAGGACATTAATTATAGCATGACAAAATCATAATTGTATAAGTAAACATTTCTTTAATGGTAAGACATCTAGATGTTGGTGCCTTTCATGTCATACGGGGAAGGAAGATTCCCTCCAAAAAAAAAAATTTCCTTACAACATTGGATTAGCTACAACAAATTCTAGTGAAATTCTAACAATTATACATTAATTTTGTGACCCGTACATAGTGCATAATTTAGTATTGATTGATATTGTGAAAAAGTGTTAGAGGAAATATAAATTCTTGAATAGCAAATCTTATCCTACTAGTGAAAAAGAAATTTGAATCCTTGTATAATGAATTTCATTGTTTATTTATAGCTTTGAGAAGGGATTAAGGGTAGAATCTAGAAGTCTTACAAATTAAGAAAAACTTTTTGTTTTTAAGGAATAATTAATTGACATTAGTAAGCTTACGAATGTTTAGCAAGTTGAGTAGAAGGGCCCAGCCCAAATACCTTGTACAAGTGGAAGATGTCGTGATCAAGTTATCTTTAGCTTTTTGATCGTGTTGTTTTCTTTTTACACCAAGGTTAATAGTTAAAAGCAAAAGGAAATCCTAGGAATCCAACAGCTTTGTTTATGTCCTAGGTTTTGGGCAATGATGGAGATTAAGGTGCAAGTAGAACATATTATAACACCATGGCCCTTGATTGAGTAGAATCTAAGGCAGATAAAGTTACTTAAAATGATTCTATAAGACTATTACTCTTACTTAATTGTGGGCGCATTTCATTCTCATTCTACCATATATATCTTGTCTTTTTTTTTTTTTTTGGGGGGTA